TCAACGTCTTTGCGGTTGTGTAAAGGTATGGGGCCCGCGCATTATTTGGCATACCTGGCTCAATTTATGTTAAAAGAAGGCTGAGTTTCACAGCAGTAACTGCCTCCAGAGAAACATGCAGCTTTTAGTTACCACTGTTTGTCCTGCTACAGCTGAAGCAAGTGGCGCAGGTGATATAGGTGCTTTTGAAAGTTTTAAGTAGGTACTACGATGCTGTCCATATAGACCTCGCCATCTTTGACAGGCCCGCCAACGCTCAAATCAGTTTGCTGCTGCAGTTCACAAAATCCCAACCAACACATGGGTATACTCCAGTCTGCGAGTCTACGGGTGGAAAGTGGTCGTGCGCATATCAACAGGTTGGGTGGAAAATTTGCAAGAATGCGCCGGCTTAGTGAAACGCTAAGTACACTATTGATTCGTCTAGTTGATGAAGCAATATCCCTGAATGTAGTGTCTGGATCTTTTGCTTACGGTGATCTTGTTCAGGGGACTAGAGTATCACAAGCCACCTTCCAGCTTTTAACATTATTCGAAACCGTGTTGTACCCAAATACGTTCATCGATGCCTGTACTTTAGCCAATCATCCGTCTGTCGCTCAATCTGCCCTTTATGCTGTGGATGGGGGCTTTCGACACCAGTGGAATGTAGCTTGGGGCTGACCCATGGATTAGCTTAATATGATGTGCAGGGCAACCAGCAGGAGGCCAGCTTACTGGCAGCTAATCTTCATTTTAAGTACATCCGCGACTTCCGTCTCGATACTAATCATTCCTGCGGTTTTCCCAGCCAAACAATCCGTCGAATCCCCCAATAAAGGTCTGGTTGCACAGCCAATAAGCGGGGATGCATGCTCCGAGCACTGTTCTCCCAGTGCGCTACTGAGTCCCACACACGGAGACTGTCTCTCACCTTGCTAAGTTGCTGACTCAAACCCCCGTCAATGTGGATGAATTGCGCGTTGATGAGGAGACCAGGAAGTGCTGCCTCCTGGAGCTTCTTTGCGAAAGTCACCACAACGCGCAGCTGTGGCAGTATGCGTGGCTTCCAGAGGAGTCACCCCTGATACACCTAGGACTATGTCATGGTGCGCTGGTTGATCATGAAATCCATGGACGATACTTATACAAGCCGATTCTGATCTGAAGTAGCATTTAGCCGCCGTAGATATTCCAGGCCTCGCATTCTGCCGCCCTCTAGCAAAGTGAGTCCTACAGACTCTGACTGGTCTCACTGCCGTTGTTTACGCATGGTCTGGTATGCGCTTGCAGTTTCGGATTAAAGGTCAGAATCCCTCACAATAGATGTATGTGCATTGTTGAGGGTTTTCTCGGGCTGCTTATGGTGCTACATGGTGTCAGGAAAGGGCGGGAGGTGGCGCACTTGCATACGGTGTAATTTTCTGAACGAGGTTGCAGTCAAGCAGAAATCTTGGATGGCTCATTGTTGATAGCCATCCACTTCTTTTCCATACCCTCATCAAAATCAAGAGTAAGGGGATGCTCAAGTCAATATGGGGCATTAACAAATCCAATCAGCACACAGGTATACTCGGGTTTGCCAGTGCGGGCGTGGCATGCTATTTTGTGCCTGCCAACTGGGTGATTATATTAACGTTAGACTGGAGGCTAGGGCAGACTTACAGATCCCCTTCATCCGTAGGCTCTGGAAGCAGGGCGACTCCGCTGCTCTTTCTAAGTTGAAGATGCAGGACCTGCTCTTCTTTTTACCTGGAATTCAAAGTAGTTCATGGTTTGTGCACGTTTCACCGATAGGTTGTTCAATCGTTGAGTGGCTGCCTTTACGGTGGCCACCTGACAAGATACTTCGAGTGGGCCTCAGACAAACCACGAATTAGATAGCTGTTGTCTACGGTGTGTCTTTCAAGCCAAGATTCCGAGATTCTAAACACGGTGATATATCGAAACGTCACCTGGCCTAAGTTTTCGGAGTTGTGCCAAAGCTTGATATCGAGTCTGATCTTGGTGTAAACCGATTAGTCAGGGGCTGTATTAGCGTATTAACTCCAGTAAGCTCTGCAGGTAGACTAATTTCTCTTAATATTCATCGAGCCACCGTCAAAACATTCTTATGACAGTAAATGTGCTGCAGAGCTATCGGCGGGTTACAAAAAGAGATAAATGTTCCATCGGCTAGTAAAATCGAATACCTGTCAGTCCTCACGACCTTCATACCTTTCTGATCTAAAAAATCCCATTAACGCATCCATAAAGAGTTTCTTGGCTTTCAAATTATGTCTCCCTACCAGCTCTAGTTCTGCTGCATCCAGATCGCATTGCAAGCTGGCCTGGGGCACCCCACCAGGCGTCGCGCCGTCAACTTTGTCGCCATAGGGTTTTCCGCGCACACTGTTGCCCAAACCATGATTGACTGAATAAATAAATAACTTTTTGAAAGCTAGACAGCCGCTGCAAGAAAACTTGCTATCCCACTGCAAAAACAGATAGTGGACGCTTGGGGAAAATGCTGCACCATCTGGAGTCATAAACTGTAATTCTCCACGTAAGTCCCCTTACGAAGAAACTTTATACCCGACTGGACAAAAAACTTGATAGCGTTTCATGAGCAGCGTTTTGATCATGCAGGCTTTTCTTGTAGCAGGCGTGGCTACACTTGAACATTTTCCACTACCTTAATTATTTTAAACAACGAAGTAGTCATGATTTGACTAGATGGTTCTCTGTTCGAATATCTTGCGTCCTCACGGTGCGACTGGATCAAAATAGCATACCACAGTGTTGTATGCATGCGTGCGCTACAAAGTATGTGCAAGTAGCTGTGAGTGCTCGGAGTACTTACGAGGTGCACCAACACACTTGCTGTCTGATCTGCTCCTGCGAGGCTCAGGAATGGAAAGCAGGGAGCTCTTCTACTATGCATTCATTAATTTTTAATAATTTTGTAGAGAGTTGGGTGTAACGCGTCTCCCTACCGAGGCGCTGCATGAAGAGCAAAGCTAGCCAGTTCGCATGGCTTCATGCAGCTGTTCACCACTCTTCCACTGCCTGTCAATGCATTGGGCTGTCAAGTTTCCCTGCAACTGTTGGCTACCTTTGCTCGACTTATTTTTCCATGTACTAATTGTATGCTCGCCAGCGGCACTGTGATAGAAAATACTATCTGTCGTTGGACGTTGACGGTGCTGCAATGCATTGTGCCGGCAAAGGCGGGCTTGGAGGCCGATGTGAGTGCAGTAAACTCACTAAGTGAAGAAGCAGACAATTTTTCAGCCGATCAATCGCTTATGGTTGCTTCGATGAGGCTACAGAAACCAGAACGATGCGACGGTCATACGGAGTGCTAGATACTTAGAGATTATGTAATCCGTTTGCATTGCACTGTGGCCCATTGACGTCTCCAGGCGTGTTTATTGGTAAAAACCTAATTTGATGCTAACTTCATTCATAGACATAAAGCTGGCTGATGCGACGTATTGCTACACACCAAGTCTTCGTACAGGTCTAGCTCATTAGCTGATGCCGAGGAGAAGCTGGTAAAGCTTAACCACAGGAATCTATCCGTGGATCAATTGATTAAAAAACTAGGAAATTTGGATCGCAACGCCACATTTAGGAAAAGCAACCACAACATAAAGTGATTCATTTAGTTCACTAACACTACAATGTACGTGCAGAAGTTGAAAGGCTCTCGCAGCACTCCTACAGAACTAGGTGCCCTGCACACCCACAGTCCGCCAAGGCTCTCAATCCCTAAAGAATGTAAGTGCCAATGTACTACAATCCCTACCAGAATACGCTAGAGATTTTGTATGACTCTAATGATATTGTGGAAGCTTGTTGCTCGATACTTGGATACAATTGGGTGCTACTCCCCCGTAGTAAAACTCAACAACCAAAATGAGCTCAATGATGGACAGAGTTGGAGACTGGCAAATGCCGAAACTTAGTTTTTGGATAGCAGCTTGAAGTTCAAATGGCACTGATGTTTACTGGGTCATTGTGGAATCTAATTCGCCGAAGCCCCGACCTGCTTTGCACGCAACAGTAAACGCCGAGAAAATCTTTCACTAACAAAGTTATTTCAGATATTGATTTGGCATAGAGCCGGCTGCTCCTGTAACACGTTGAATCGTACCTAGTAGCGAGGATTCTGCTTATTGGTGCTGGGGTCTGACTTGCATTTGTGCAGCAGGCCCAGTGAGCGTGGAAGTGTAGCAACATGCATTGAGGTCAGAGGCGTTTTATGGAATACTTACATCGTTTTCGGAGCGAAAAGCATATTCGCTTTTTAAATACAGTATTGAGGGCTATAGATAGATTGGGTTGAGTGGTCATCGAGTTTGAGATCGTCACGCAGGCGCATGCAACCTGCTTTTCTGATGAGTTCTAGTGTTGTGCCGAGCCCCCGCGACACTGGAACTCATCAGAAAGAGCCATTACTAAAGACGGCTTTTTATTGGGGTCCCAGTTCTGTGGAGGGAGGCAGTAGAATAGGTGAGGAGCTAGCTAGAGTATAGCTACAGTACGTATTCAGGGAGTAGTTTGGCCTCTTGGGGTTTCCTAACGATTCGAAGGGCTCTCTACGCTGGCCAACAGTGGTTATTAGGCGAGGGCCCTGCGTCCAAAGACCCTAGCGCTTCGAGTGAGTCTTCGGGAGCATGTCTTCAACTGCGACGAAAGCAGCGGGAAGCGCGATTGTAGTGTTCGTTCACTACAGGAATTAAAGCAGTACCCAGGCGCTTCAATAGTTTGAGATGTGACAGGCAAGCCAAAAACCGCCTAATAAAGCTGGAAGCATATACGATTGAATCACAATGCATCCAGCACTTCATATGATCTGAAAGCCTGTGGTGAGGCGTATCCCCAAACTCGATGACCACGACGGTGCTGATTTGCCCTCCACTTTCTTTCCCACAAGGGTACAAAGCCACTGATGTTTGCGGGGGGCTGCCTGATAAAAGATTCACGCAATCTTTTCTTTCACCCAACTGCTGTGGAATATCGTGCTCAAATGCTCTTTATGGGCCCGCTTTCTTCGCCAAGTTGAGGGATTCACGTCTTAAGACATGCAGCAGTGTCTGGGATGATTCAATAATCTGGCAATAGCAGAAGCAAGGTAAATGGTAAGAAAGATATGCCGCACCGCACCAAAAAAGAAGCTTGAGTTTTGAATAGCTGGGATCGTGGCATTGAATAGCCTCACCGACCTTGATATATGCAGCTTCCGTCTCTTGGATCGTCTTTTCATACTCATCGCGAGCCTGCATATTTCGGTCTTGATTCACTGCACAATCGATGCATTATATATTACAGTTTCTCACATCGGAAGGCCCAGCAAGGCCTTAGATCGTTGCTTGTTGGACCTAAGTGGCTTGCTGTACTACCCATTCCGCAGAGGCGGCTTTACGCCAGAGAGGATTGGTCTTTTTATACTTTTGGCTAATGGATGTGCTGGTCACGGCATTTCTACACTAATTATGCGAGGATATTTGGACAATCGACCTGTGATTTTTTGAAGCTTTTCAGTAAGCGTAGCAATGCCCCTTTGAATTTTCTCTTTCTCCTCAGCCTCCTGCAGAGACAGTGCCTAATTGGCTGTCCACTATCCAAAAGTCCAAATAATAAGGCCTCCGCTCACAAGAGTTACTAGCTTCCCCCTGAACTGTGACATCTGCAAGCTTTAGGGACGAGATAAAGACAATTATGTGATATTAGAGTCAACAACGTACAGCTTGGATGTTCCTGGCTAGATCATCGCGCTTCTTTTTGAGCTCCTCAATGCACCTGAGCAGCTCGCTGCCACAGGCTGAGAGATTCGCATTCTGGGGTTGGACTGACATTTCTCATACTCTTGAGTGAAGCTACGCTATTTAGTTCATTGATACTGGGGATAAGACCAGCGCAGAGAGGGGGCGATATTCCCTGGCATGCAACAGATACTGTAGAACGATTCCACTTTGAAAGAAGTATCCATAGATCTTGCCACAAATAGTTTGCTTCTACACGTTTCGCATTTAGATTTATAGTTTTGTGCGGCTTGTTTTCTACAAATTGCAATACAAGCCTATATAAGATGCGGCAGTAATCAGCCCCAGAGCTGGTGCATCCTGCGCAACCATTTGAGGTCACTTTTGAGGGAAAGAGTAGCAGCTGTCCCAGTATCCGGAGAAATATAGCCACATAATATACTTGATGAATTGAATCCTGTTGTTCACTTTCGCATTAGGCTCATTTAACGCATCCCTGCCTAGTGGCGCACCACTAGGAGGACCAACTTTCACCTCTAGGCTCTCGCAGCCGAACTGCCCCACAAGCAAAATTAGAAGCCTGGTGAGCCAAAAGAAGAAATTGCTTTGACTGTGACCCTTCCAGGCTTTCCACTTCATATTCTCAATGTAAGGCAAGATTTATCTCCACTTCAAAGCATTGGCTAAGTGTTACTTTATACCCTCTGTAAGGTACTCTCAAAGGCATTATCTCCAGCTAGTTACAGCGTTGTATTGTGAATGAGTTATGCAATAAGCAGAGCGAAGCACGATTTGACCAGGCCCATGGCTGGTTTGCCTTGGAATGTGAGATAGGAAGCCGTCCAAGCAGCTTCCCTTCTCGAAAAAGGCAACAAAACGGACGACCGAAAATAGAAGAAAGTTTCACACATCACAATTATTGCTAATAGTCTAAGTAGTTGCACGCTCTTTTGATTTGCCGTAAGTCTCCTTCGTGGACTGCGGGAGCCTTAGCTATCCAAGAGTATCTGGACTGTTGAGAAAATATTTCTAGGGAATTTAGACAAACACATCGTGAAAAAACTTGGCTGCGCACCGATGTTGATTCACAAATGATCCAGAGAGCGGCAACTTACAATGGACACTAAGCAGTGTGAGCTTCATCCTGAGCACCAAGCCAGGCTGAACAATGGCCAGAAGATATTTAGTTTCAGCTAGACAAACCTATTTGCCTTGTTGTAACGTCAATAGGCAATGTTTTGCCGTGTTTCAGTGTGTACGTGAGTACTGTTTTAATCTACCTAGCAGCGGACTCTTGAACAATATCTTCGTCTCTGCCCTCGTCTGTTTGCCGCTAGGTGTTACTTACAGCGACAGGTGAGCCGCGTGCTCTGCGGTGAGCAAGCCACATTTCAGAACCAAGAAAAAATGTGTGTAGTATGAGTTTTCGGTTTGGCTAATCACATGTAGTACAAGCTTCATGATAGATTGCTTGATTTCAGATGGACATACTTTTACGGGATATTACACCTGGGATGGATGGGCTACATCTCTCCACTTCGTTGAAAGCATCACAATTATTGCTAACAGCATGCAACGATAACCCATTGAAGTATCTGTGGGAGCAAGGAACTTTTTCTGCATACGCCCAAAGCTTATAGGAAAACAGCATCTCTGTAATATTTGGGCAAGAGAGGTCCCGTTGCTCGTGCAGCAAGCGGATCGTGGCTTGAAACGCTTCATACAGGGCGGTGGCCACATCTGAAACATCTCCGCCACTGCTTCATAAGAAAATGATACGCAGCTCATACTGCTCTGCAGCTGAAGGGAATGAGCGAGCCAAAACATTTGCTCGCCTGGCAATCTCCAGGTGGGTTGAGGAGAAATAAAAGCCATGGGGCTTCCCGTAGGCGCAGGAAGCTTAACTCGGAGCGAGAATACAGCGCGAAGGCAAAAAAGAATTAAACATCTTCTCACCGCACATCAAATTTGAAAAAAAAACGTAGGCGTATTAACTATAGGCGCAAGAGAGGACGTAGTGAGGCTGTGGCGCTGGAGTGGATCACAACGGTGGCCCAATTGGGTGCCTCCGCAGGTGCCAGTAAAAAAGCCTAAATGGCAAACAGTCACGGAGCCTCTCAGCCCTTCATCTAACTACTACAAACATGAATGTACTCATGAGAGCCTGATCCATTATCAATACAGTTATTGCTACATAGGGGAGAGCTGAGGACTTGTTCTTTTGCCAATCCAAGTCACTCGGCGTCTGCCCCCCACCCCACCACCCCTTGCTGATGCTAGCTCAGCCAATAAGCAGAGCTAATATACACAGGAGGGGACACTACAGAGCTATGCCCTAGCCCTATACGATGCCTTTCTTCTTCAGACAAACGAGCATAAATGGGCTGTTGGCTAACATCAGCTATACATTGATTAATTTTGCTAAATGAAATTTCATGCACAAGAGTACACATAAGTTCATATTTGCTAGCAAGCGGGTACACTAGTGCAGGTAGAGGGCGTAAAAGCAAGTGGATAGATGAAGAGATGAATGCATGGTGAATTGGCAGTCACATAAATTGCATCGGAATGTGCGCTTCTCCAGGCACGAATAACACAGTGAGACTTGAAAGCATTAGAGTTCTCGTTGAAAGCAGGGCAGGCTGGGTTTCTTGCGCAGCGAGTCCAATGCACACACAAGGACAAGCTCAGGAGGGACACTGCATTTGTTGGTGAAAGGAGGAATCACATTGTGAAATACCCGAAATCGTCTTCTATTCACATTAGCCTAAAAGTCAAAGCTTTGAAAGTAAGCCGATATTGAAGTCAAGGCGCTCCCGGACGGTACATTATTAGTATGGCAACTGACTCCTTGCACTTTGGAAAGAAGACATCAGGCAAACACATTTAACGAAATCGACAATAAAATTCGAATGCTATGGAGAAATAAATTGAACGATTGTTGACAATTTAAGAAGGCCATTTTGGGTAGGAAGGATACAAGTACAGGTTTCGGTTTTGCGCATCAGGCAAATTGACGTTCTTGGGCAGTACCAATATTTCCCCGTGCACAGCCTAATTCTCCGTAGATATGTTACACAGGCATCGAATTGTTTGATGGCAAAGACGGCTAGTTCTAGGTTGGTGCTGGATGATTATTGTCACTACCTAGACTACCCTTGGGGAGAAATGATGCATACTGGCGAGCATGGCAGATGCGCCAACTTATGATTTTGTGGTGGAGTTATCTGGTCTTCAGTTTTGTAGATAATAGACGAAATATGTACAATTCTAAAGCCGGTATTATTGGGGATATCCGTACAAACGCTTCCTCTCCAGTGGTGCAGCTGAGTGGAAGCGCCTTGGTACTGTGGTAGCGGCAGAGACCGCACGTATAAACGTTTGGGGATTACGCCTCCTAGTACACAGTATACGTTTTAACTTCATTATTTGTGCTTTATGAGTATTATAGGAAGACTCAACCACAATTATTTCGGAAAACACTTGCATCTATGCGGCTTCCGTTGCTTACTACTCTCGGCCACGCGGCAGCACACACACCAAAAGTCTCTGAGTATCTCTTAGTTTGCCTCCAGAGCGTCTGCACGAATATCTATGAATCAATTAAGACCCTCTCAGGTGTACTCTCTTGGGACGCAGCTCTGGGTATGCGCCCCTCCACTGGTCGGAACTGCCTCACTCGCACAATGGGCATTTATTGTTCCACCATATAGCACGTTGAGGGTAAAGGGTTGTGATAGTACTAATATTGCGGCTAATAGATAAGACTCATTGCACTTCACGCTGGGATGGATTGATTTGCGTTTACAAGAGTGGCCTGCGGGACAGATAGAACAAACCAAGGGCGAATCGCCGACAAATTTGAAGGGTTTCTCTCGGTTAAAGGCATTCGGAGAGCATGATGGATCCTGCAGATGGAAACTGGAGCGAATTTAACAAGTCCGCTAGTGTCTTGCGGGATACACCGTCTGACGGTCGCCCCTCCTTATCCCGTTTTCAGTATCCCAAGGTTAGAAGGCCTTGGCATTCGCAGAGCAAACCTAAAAATCTACAGAACCTCAAATGCTTTGGAGCAGTAGAATCAGAAAAACACGTTTATCAAACTGGGAAGGCTAAAGTAGAAATAGACCTCGCGTGTACCGACGAAGCAAAGCACGGCAAACCGGCGTATACACTTGAGAGTTGGCAATCATTGGCTTCTACAGTGCTGCAGCAAGCCAACACTCTCAAGGAAGATTCTAGCAACACTAAACGACACAAATGTCTGTCGATGCTGAAAGACATTTTTATCGAAGCCCCTGTACCTCGTGCCTTCTACAACCGGGCCTTTCCTTTGCTGATCGACTCTCTCCTGCTGTGCCTTTCGGATCCCACTGAGGCAGCACGACATACAGCTGCCTGCTTACTGTGCAAGTTTTTAAATGAGATTACAGATGTCGATAGCCACCTCAGAAATGTGCTCCGTGCTCTGGTCCCACGCTTTGGCTCTGAGGATATCGACGGTGTGGCACACCTTCCCCCCATTATGCGTCCTGCACCCGAATATAAGCCTCTCCAGTTGACGCCGGTGGAGAAGAGTGAGGACGTACGCCAGGAACTGTTGCAAGTACTGCTCGCCGTGCTCGATCGGAGCTCAGACGAATCTGCTTGGAACTATCTCGACATGGTGACAGGTCTGCTGCGCGCTGGAGCTATGGATTTGTGCCCCACCATAAAACTTGTGGCTTTACAAGCGATTGCAGAGTTTTGCGATCGTCACCAGCATATGCTACTCCATTTTACTGAGCCCTTGTCAAGATCGATTCTTTCGTGCCTTGTACATCAGCATGCAAAGATCAGGATGGGGGCGCTTCGGACGCTTACGCACGTGCTCCGTTGTGGCCTGTACAAGTATACCTGTGAAATTGTCCAAATGCTTTCTGGATGGCGTGATCCAAACTTTGTCCCCATCAAGGCCTTGTACGAAGTAACCACCATCCGTAATTACTTTGCTGAGCTGCTTTCGGATCATTCACCTGTGGTTCGAATGTTCTTTTTTGAAATTCTCACATGGTGGCTACTCGAGTTTGATGATAAGGCTGACTACGAAAGTTGGTTGTTCCCATACCTTCTTAGCGGACTCTTTGACCCATTCAGACCTATACAGCAGCTGGTCTTTGTCCTTCTAGAGAGGCTTGGAAGACACTACGAGGCTACTCATGAAAAGGAGCTTCGTGAGATAAAGCAGCTTGGGGCTCCTGAACCTTGGAGCTACGAAGGGAAAGTTTTGCTAGCATTTCCTCTGGGAGGCTATTTGGATACGGCGGAGGCCCGAGATAAGATGGAAGAGACAAATCAGTTTATATCTTTTGTTGGATCTTATTCTCAGCGCCTGCGTAAGCTAGGCTTCGAGGGGTATTCTCTCTCAAGTTCAGCAATTGAAAAATTCCTTGCGGCTGGGGAGGCACTTATAGGCAACCCCCCAAGGCCCTGCTTGGGGTCACGAATGATGGTAAGGACGTACTTCAGACGCTATGCCAAAGCCCTGTTCGAGCGTGTAGAGGACTTCAAAGAAGTCACCCATGCGATCTCAGCTCGCCTGCTCGTGGTGTCACTAGCGTACATAGAAGAGGCGGCTGTAGAGTGGCTAGATGACTGTCTACGGATCTGCTCTCATGTTTTGTCAGCACAGCACCGCCATTCCAAAGAGGCTGTGAAAACATATAGCATGGCAGTGCGCTTACTGGGAGTCTTTATAGACCCCGAAAACTACTGGGACATCGTGAAAGTTGCCCTTGAGGAACACAGCCTTGATGATCCGGGTCAGCAAATCGGTATGATAGGTTTGCTTGATTTGTTGCTAGAGGGCACCTTTATGGCGTTACAAAATGCCTACGATTCCACGCTCGGTTTGGGTCGCCTCGGTCCTATCGTGCCAAAGATTACTGACACCCTTGCGCGCACCTACCTCTTGCAAGAGCAATTTGCCAACTTCGCAGCAGAAAGTGTGAGAAAGGTTGTCAAGACACTGTTGTCTGGAATAGTGCGGCAAAAAGAAGCCATTCCTGAAGCGACATGGCAAAACATTTTCAGCACTGTTTGTTCTGTAACTGCTTTAACCAATGGGCTGGACGATGAAGAGCGTGCGATTATACCTGCAGACCTCCAGGAGTTACTGGAGAAGGTGGCTAAGTATAACTTGACTACAAGCAGTATTGTACCTGGTACACCGAATGAGAGAATAATATGGATCTACGCAGATGTATCTACGAGGCTGCCTCCTACAAATTTAGCCTCTCTCATCGCATATATCAAGTGCTTGCCAGACGAGCGCATTCTTGAAGAGGAATCCTTCTATATACTCCGTGAAAAGCTTCAACAACTTTCTGCGGCAACTCATTCAAAGGCAACACGCTGCCTTGCAATAAGAACAGCACTGAGGCTCGCTAGACGTTTGGTGCTAATGGCTCCTTCCAGCGGCAATATACTGCACAATCGTGACCAAAGTGTTGAAGTCCAAAGTAGTCTCCGAACTTCATCAATTGTGTGTGAACAACAGGAAAGTGGGTCACAACGAACCAAGGAGTTAGCTGAAATGCGTACGGTTGAACCCAACCAAGAGCAAAGCATGGAAAGCTCAGGACCTTTAGCGAGGCGGAAGACCCCAACACAAGCAGCAGCAGAGGTCCTCTCTTATATAGTACTCAGCCAGCTACGGGATAATCGTTCTGTAGAGGACCTTGGAGACACGCTACAAGCTATAACGGATTTCGTTACTCTGTTACAGTCAGAAACAAGTGCTACCTGCAGTGCGCTGCAAGAGACGCTGGCTAGATCCGGTCTTGCTGAAGATATGGGATGGCTTCTACAAGAAACTCGCCTGCACACAAAGCTCTTTTGTGTAGCCTCTGAGGCATATGCACACAAATGTGCCGCTACGTACCCAGGTAAAACACCTGCTATGATTTTGGAGGACATGCCGTTGGAAAAGAGGCGGGAACTGAGACTGTCTGCAATAAGCGCTGCATCAGCTCTTAAGGACCAAGCAGTGCTGCTACTGCGACTTTCTCTAGGAAGTGTAACAAAAGAGGTGGAAACCCTCAAGAGAATAATCAGCAATGCTATTGTCGCACTCCACCCTCCCGCCAAACTCCAAAGACTGTCAGCGGGGAAGGCCTATGAGTCATTGGATGAGTACGGCTCTCCTACTCGGCAGCTTACTGCTCACGACACTTTTGACCAGTTTGGCACACGTTTATCTGGTTTAAAGGAAAATAGACCTGGTGGAAGGAAGGATGCATCAGCAGCAGGAGGCGACTGCACTGACCTCCACTGTAGTTCGTGGTTGCCGTACCAGACACAAAGTCCCTGGTTTCTTTTCCAAATTGCCAGCTGTCTCGTCGATGCAGTAGTAGATGGGATCGCATCCAATATAGGTGTTTTCAGCGAAACGGAGCTTACTAACTCGGCAGACGAGCGCTCGCAGGATAGGCGTCTCCCGCTCCTGACAATGCCGAGGGCTTGGCGATTACCACTGTATAGCCACCTTCACTTACATGCAGCGCGAAACTTCTTGCTTGAAATCTTGACAGAGTCTGAAATCTTTCAGGCAGTTGACAGCTGCGTTAGGCATATAGTGGAAATGCAAAATACAACCTCGGAGGTTTCTCCATTTATGAACGAATCCGTCGAAGAGGGGTCAACGCTGCAGACAGAGGCGACTCAAAATCTGAAAGCAATACTGAAGATGGCACAAAAACAAATTATTAGTGTGCCTGCTGGAGTACAGAAGGAGCAAGCAAGGCACGCTCTAATTCACGTCATTCTACTGCTGAAGTGCCTCTGCCCCGCCGCTTTAGAGAAATGTTTGAGGGAGTATGAGGCTTCCAGACATTTCAGGCGTCATGAACTGTTGACTCAGCTCTTGCATGGCCCCAGTCCTGTTTTTTCTGGCTTTGTCAATGTGACACGAGATGCTAAAATATCGGGAGTCAATGAATAAGCAAACGAGAATCATAGGCAACCAGTTCGTGCCGTAGTAAAAGTACATGTTTTCTGTAGCCTTCGGCACTGCGTTTGTGTCTAATAGAAAGCACATACTATCCAGGAATTGGTTGAGGGGTTTCCTCGACAGATCATGAATGGAACGCTGCAGTAAGTGAACTGGTGGTGTGGGCTAAGCTAGACTTGAGCAGTTTCTACTAAACGCACCCAATATGAATTGAATATTGAGTATTGCTGTTCGTATATCTTATTTATTGCAGATTTGCGATAGGTTGCTTCAGGATGACGCCATGCGTGTGGTAAATTACGCGCGTTTTGTAGATAGCCGTGAATGCTTGGATTGATTAAAGAGTGCAGTAAGTTCAGTCCCATCTGCGCATCTCCTCTCATGCGCGATCCTGGAGGGGAGAGGGCAAGGAAAGGGTCGAGATGTTTTTGGAAGACAGTCAGTAACTTCGTATTGAGCTTTGAATTTTCTGAAGTTAAGTGTCAATTTACGGCGCCTTAAAATTGATCTTTACAGCTGGCCCCTGTAGTGCAACGAACAGCTTTCACCATGTAAGGAAGCGCAGGATAGCTAATGTTTGGCATACAGTATATGAGGGGTGCCGGCATGGGCTGCAGCCCTGCTTGGAAGCAAGCTATGCTATGCATGCAAGAGTTTGGGTAGTAACTTTTCCTCTAAGCACCACCGTTATTGCCCTTGGGAGCAGCAAGTCAACCGTCACATTAGCGCCTATATAGGAAGAGATACTTCTTTTTGGATATCAGGTGCTTATGCGCAAACTATGGTACGTTTTGGCCTAAATCCTACTTAACTCAATGGATTCCAAAGGCTTTGCAAGGACAAAATAATCGCAAATGAATCTATGCGTTAAAAACATGACTTGTGTCAAGGAGAGACATTTTCGTGGCTAGGATACGAAAGGATACAGAAAATTTAACACCTGTTGAAAACAAAAATACTTGTTGCCAATCCTGAAAGTTTGGAACAGAATGACTTAATTTGGTGATGCAATATCTTTTCAAAAACTGACATCTGGAAGGCAGAGTCGCTAAGAAGCGTCAGTTAGTCATGGACACTAGAGCTATGCGCGATCCCACTGTCCTTGGCAAAATTTTACGATCTGGACTGATACAATGATCATTCCAAATGCACTCAGCATGTCAAGAGCACATACCACTGTGTCTGAGGGTACGCAGTTCTGGAGAGAAAAAAAGCTCGAAGAAGCGCTTCTGGTTTGCCCTTAGGCAGCTGACATCCAAGAAAAGAACTCCTTTGTCTGCAGCCTTTTGAGCGTGCATACTGCACACTGGCGTTCTTTCAGATGCGACCTACCTCAGCGTAAGGAATTTGTATTGGCCATAAAGTCTTGAATATTCCACCCTACTACAATTGCCCGGCTGTCTTAGCTACTTGATTCTCTGGAGTGATCTAGAATCGACATTTATATTAAGAAGTTAGACCAAATCCATGGGATGGAGATCCTTGCCATGAGCAGTGCATGTATTCAAGAAAACCTCAATAACATGCTCAGCTCACCGAGTTCGTGCTTTAGCTAGAGAGAAGCAGCCATTCGAGATTGAGCTTGGCCGTAGTAAGCATCATGTAAATACGCGGAGACTTGATTTATAGGTCATTTTGATATTGAAAAAGACCAAACCTGGTTTCGCCGCAACTCCGGCTATGAACATGTCGAAAAATAAATACTCTTTCATTATCCATGGTTGTTCGAAAGTCATGGCGACCTAACTTGCTACTTTGCAAAAAGGATGGATAATGCTTCTCAAAAAAATTTTATTTTGATGATACATCATGGCCATACACCAATGAGGAATGTCGGCTTGATGCCAGAGCTGCCGTTCTTAAAGGGCTCAGTTTTCTATGGCCGTGGCAATGCACTCAGTTAACTTGCCTGAAGTCGAGCTTCTTCAAGCTTTACCATAGACAGATAGTTCGGCACCCCTTCATCTGTAAGCCAACATAATGGGGTGTTTCGGGAATTCACGCCACTTGGTCCTTTACCCACGAAAGGCTGGCTGCAAAATGGACATAAATGAAGGGAACCCCCCGGTCCCCACGCTGCAGTGGAGAGGCTGCAGGTACCGCATTCCTTGGGAACACAGGGTCCACCATATGGCCAGACCATTTCAGGGTCAGGTGGTTTGGGCCCTCCAGCGATGGTAGATGATGAGTCATCCATACGTAACGGTGGCGCCGAAAGGGTCTTATCCTTCTCGACTGTGTAGGCATCCCGGAGTAAGCAAGCAACGTAGCGTACGGGAAGCCCAGTAGCCGCACACCAAGGAAAATATAAGTCGCAATTAGGGCAGGAACATTCCCAGTAGTAGCTTAGTGACTTGCATCCGGGGCAGAGGAGCTTATCATAGGCCCTAAGAGGCTCGCGCTCACGACGCTCTGCAAAGAGTAAGATACTTGTGGTCTTCAGGTGCTGGCTCTCCCTTGATGATGCAGGAGAGCTCATCTCTAGCACATGCAGCGCTTGTGATGAGAGCTCCCATTCTTTTGCTTTGCAGGCGGAAACAAAGAGTAGGTGGGCTCGAACATGACGGGGAACCTCTTGCGAGCAGCACTCCCAAAGTCTCACAGCCGCACAAAGAGCCGCACGAAATCGTCGCTCAGAGTGATGAAGACAGCAAAGCAGGTACAGATGGTACTCTGCTGCCCCGAGCCACTGTTTCTCTTCTTCTAAATTGGGGGAGAAGTGCCCGGTGAGTGCTACAGATGGTGTGGCCCTATAAGGCCTGTCAGTGCTGCTGGGAATCTCATATGTCAAACAATATTGTTCGTTTGTACGAGCATTGGTCGAACAGCTCTGCCGAATCAACAGTGCAGCCATGACACGCATGTTGCGCTGTCTTTGGGGACTCCATGTGGATGACTCAAGTTGGCTTGTGAAGATGTCCAGTCCCTGCTCTGCTGCCTCGGGGTCGCCCAAAGAAATAGAGGTTTCATCTGCATGAAGGATACCGCCAACACCCTGCTGGTGCTGCACGGCTGCCTTATAAGTAGCAGAGATCGCTTGCAGCTTCGTGTTGTTGCAGTGCTCTCTGGCCAGTGAGATGGCCATTGTCCATTCTCCACTATGCAATGCTGCATTCAAGGCAAGCTCTGGCATCTCCGCCTTAAGGAAAGCCTCTGCGCTGGCTGATCCCTTCCCAATAGCAGCAAGTAAGTGAGCCGCACGCAATAAAACCTGTTGTTCTTCTTCATGAAGACCACTGGTAGTGCGTTCCAGCGACTCGTAGTCCTCGGAAAAGAAGTATGATTCAAAAAGTCCCTCTCGAGGCACAAGTGACCGATAGAGGTCGATTGCTCGTGACCACTGCCTTCGTTCTTTCCAGGCATCAGCCAAGGCCTCGCGAACATTATTCGTAACAGTTTGATCTCCACGACCTTTTGAGGACTCAGTCAGCCTCAGAGTATCTGATGCTTCCTCCCACATTCCGAAAGTAGCAAAAAGGTAAGCAGCTTGATCCCATTTTTGCAGACTCTCATAGAATACTCCCGCCCCCAAAATGTCCCCAGCTAAAGCCTTGAGTAGGGGCCTGCCTTCCCCTGTTTCGCCTAATCGGCGAGCCTGTTTGAGCACCTGGATGCAACAATAATCTTCACATCTGCGCACCCGCAAAAGTCTAGCGCTGTAGAATGTTTGTTTTCAGGACGCGTTCTCTATGAGCAGAACTTTGACTATATCTTTCAGTGATCCTGGTGTCATCTGAGCTCAGTATATATTGAAGGCTGTATGTCACTGCAGTACAGCATTAGAACCGGTATAGTAAAAGGCTATTCAAGTCATACACACCTCACTAACGCCTCTTCAATGGCGTCTACGTCTTCCATTAACAACGCGGCGTCTGCAATGAGCTTCCACAAGGTGGGATGGTTAAACCTTGCTGCCAGTGCAGTAGCCCGCCGTAGTCCCACTAGCGCTCCTGACTCATCTGTTCGTAATTGTTCCAGGCTGATCAATTGTCTCATTTGCACTAGTGGTTCTGCATCATACCGTATCAAGAAGTCATGTTCAGAAGCCGCTGCTTGCCCTTGTTGGAAACAGGAGAGGCACAAAGCTTTTGCACAGAGGTTTGACAGCTCAATCAGGTACATCGGCCCACATGGGGGCTTATCGTTTGCCTGAAGGCTCATGTTATATGGCTGATCAGCTTCTTGATGTGTAGTGCAGATTAGTATCATCCGAGACCCTTGCAATACTGCGATCATGTTGTCTTGATCAGATGCCCACAGGTAATCTAGAGCGTCCTCTATGGTGTCGCATAGCTTAGCACCAAAACCTGCTGATGGCCGTAGGACACATATGGGGAAAACCACTGGGGTAGTAACTTGGAAACCATGGCTACGTTACTGCACATACGGCGATATCTGTGATTGACTATACGTTGTATCATGCCGCAGTAGCATGGGGTGTATGTAATAATCAATCGTTACTGCTTTCTGAGCATTGTATGACTTACCGGTAGGTCCATGTGCAACTACAGCATTCAAGATATGCAAGAACCCCTGCTGGTCCGAGCCTGCCACTGCTGTGCATCCAGCGCTAAGCCTCAGATTTAGTAGTCCACTTGGTGCTAGACCGGAGGCCTCAAGTTTTACGTGTGGCACAGTAGGCGATAGCCGAAGGCGCAGCAGCTGACCTTCTGTTGTTCCCAACACTATGCAGTCTTCACGCCCACTTAAAGTGGATATCTCTCCTTTGCCTTTTTTGAATAAAGGTTCTTCTATGAGAGAGTCAAGGTCTAAAAGTAAAGCTAAGGGAGCCTCTTTGCTGTCATCCTTCCCGTCTAGACGGTAAAGCCAGAGATGTTGCGAGCTGCCAGCAATAACTAGCCACTGAGAAAGAAGTACTGCAAAGCGGGGCCCAAGCGGAGACACCACGGTCTCGATTGTGTTGCCAAAGATGTCGCAGAGTTCTACAGGAAAACCGTCGTATTTTCGTTCCTGCTGCGGCTTTTGCAAGCCAGGTTCACAAAATACATTTTCATCGAGGAGCCTGTACGGCCCTTCCTGGTGCTGCAGCTGATGCTGCCAAGCGCTACATGACTCTTCATCCCAGAAGATTCTTGGTGGCAACACGGGTGTGGCGTGTGCCATAACTGCACAGTGCCTCTCGCCTGAGACGAGGAGACGAGGGCCCGGAAACACCCGTATGCAGCGGCAACCACCTTGCTCGCCCGTAAAGGAAACCTCTGTTGCTAGCTGCTGGTGTATTACCGGACGAGCAATAGCTAGTGCATGATCCCCGAACGAACAGCATACAGCATCCTGACGCACTGACACTAGAAAAAGTCCTAGATCTGCGGCTGCTGCAAGCATTCCCCCTTCAAAGCCCCACGCGAGCGACCGAGGCTCGCCACTGACCAAATCTAGAGAAGCAACTACCTCACCGCTAGCCTGAATGAGCTGCAAGAGGCTCGTTCGGACAGCACTGTCCTGGCGTATGCTTTTTTCTGTTGTTTCTGGTGTTGCGCTGAAGGACCGGATGCGCGGCAAGACATCTGAAGTAGGCAGACCTAGCAAGGCAGCGTAGGTTCCGGCAGGGCTCCATTCTGCAGCCACGCATGAAGAAAGCCTGGTATCTATGTGATAGGGTTGGGAATCCCCGGCAGACTGCAACAACAGGGCGTGACCACTGCGATAGGCAACCAGTAACGGTTGAAGTGACCAAGATCCTGGTTGCCATGCCAGAGCTGCACGCAAAACAGATCAATAAATACCACTTCCGTGCTTGATAGGCACTAAAAAAACCAATTACATGTGAAATGCTTTCTACCAAGATTTGTGGCTGTGGTCTTCACCCGTGATCCTTTCTGTAGTGCTATCATGAGCTCTTGGAGCTCGCCTCTGAATGAGAAGACCCCGGGAATCGTAAAGAAGAATTTCGCCGTCATGCGTTGCCAGAGCAAATCCACTGCCGTCAGGGCGAGCACAAAAGCAAGAACAAGGCTTTTTCACATCGCGCGACCAGAGAACCACACCCTCAGACGTCCCCCTCAGCAGGCGGCCATCATCTAATGCGCAGATGTGCACTTGCGGCGCGAAATCAGCTGATGAGACACATGTGAGGCCCACCAATTCCCCAGAAGCCTCAAGGGAGAAGTACGAGTGACGTTGCCATTGTCCACCAGCCTCCTCCCAAACGCCGACGTAGCCATATGAATCTCCTGTCACTACTAATCCTTTTGCATCTGCACACACGTAGCACACTGGAGCCTGAAGCAACGTACACATGACACAAAAGCAGAAATAATAATCCGTATGAAGTGCCGTACGACGACAGAATGCGTTGCTTGTCTGGAAGTATGTAAAGAGAGGTTCTTTGCTTACTGTGTGCCCGGAGTAGCACTGAATGTGATGAGCTTCTCCAAGCTTCCTCTGAAAAGTGTTACTTTCTCCTGTAGTAGGAGTAGCAGTGATGGAGGATCGAGGGGTAACCCTCAGAGTGTTCAGGGTTCCGTCGTCGGTCCCGAGGAAAAGCCAGTCTCCGAGCCACGCAACGCTGCGAACCGAGCAACATGGCAATGTTCGATCCAGCCAGATCTGCATTATTCGGTCCCTGCAACATGAAGAACTAGCAAGTCATGAAATGTAAGCTAAGATGCTTATGCACTGGTTCGCAAAGCCACCAGTGGGAGTGACGGAATTTGGTGGGCCAATATGGCATTTATTGACGCGAAAACGACTAATAATAGTATATATGTGTGTATTTCAAGAATCCATTGACATTTCGGATAGCAGATAGCATGTTGTCCCTCCGCACCTGAAATTTTCAATCGCGAGCCTTGGGGCTGCAATTGTGCCACTGTTCGCGAACCTGGGCAGGACGCAACGGCAGCAGGAGCTCTACTGCATTGAAAAACCTTTGAAACGCCTTGAAGGTATCTCTTCGTTGGGTTCCATGCGCCCCTTCTGAGGAAATTAATGCTTGTTTCCACCGGGGTGAGCGGGGCTTGTTACTGAACTACTTCGATATCGTTTTACAATCGTGTTTAGAATACAGCGCCGTCGAGCGGTCCAGCAATGGGAGAGGCATTAAAAGCGGACCCAACTGGTGATTTTGCACCTCTTAGGCTCTTTTACTTGTTATATGCTTAAACCCTGTCGCACAGAGCCTTGCCTATGGTGTATTGCCGTAGAAACTCGGCACTGTATTGCTATCATTTTCCTTGTTAACTGCTCAAGGCGCATCCTTCCATTAGCCTAGCGCGAATGAGTGGCAGGTTTTTTTGGGATAACCCTAACTGCTTTGGGAAACGTCTGGCAGTTCCTGGGGTGACCCTATATGAGAGAGACCTACAATGCATACAGAAGCTTGCTTCGGGAGCTTTAACCGCCTTAGACCCCGGAACGAAGGAGCTGTTGCTTTACAGGACTGTAAATCAGAAAGGAACAGTTACAAAGGCCCTTAGTTGGCGAAATTCACCTTGCGGCACCAAGCAAAACAACCTTATTGTACGGCCACACCAACAAGAGCCCCGTAGCCCAGAGCCTTTCAGGCACGATGTGGAAGGGCCGGAAGAAAAGGAATTACTTGAAGATGTATCAGCTGAGCGAGACAAAGATTTGCCTCAGAGGAAGGATGAAAAATTTAGAGTTTTCATCCGGGCACTAATGATAGCTGACACAGTCGCTGGGCAAAAGGAACAGCAGAGATGGGCCCAAGAGAAGCGCGCTACAGAGAAATTGCGCCAGTCTTACTTCGATAGCAAGGAAGAGAGGAAAATGCAGCCGCTCGCTGCTGAGGAGCTGGATGGAAATGTAGTGCAGGCGGGGGTAATGCTAAAGCATCAAATTGAGGAAAGGGCTAAACAGAGAATGAGGGCATGTGAGGAGACAAGCGCTGCACTGGAAGCCATGAGGAAGCAGTTACAGGACTCTGAACAAGCAGAAATCGAGGGGAATAACGCGAAAAAGGAAAAGGTATGCTCCACAAAACCAAGGCCCGGGAACGCCGATCGCCTAAAACCTATAAAGCAAAGCGGTCTGAGTGGAGAAACGAGTTCCACGCAGTCAGTAGCTTACAGGAGGTGCGATCGGATTTGTCTTGCCTAAATTGATTAGTGGCACGGTAAAAGTCTTTCTGCTTGTGCTTTCTTATTAAGAAAACAGCTACCCTCCGCTTTCATTTGTGTGATTACTGCAGATTAGAAGTCTGCATAGGGATTTGATGCTGGAGAATGAAGCACTCCGACTAAGACGCAAAGCTGCACATGCCCAGAAGCAAGCTGATGAGGCTGCAGCCCTTGCCTGCGCGGCGAAAATCCAACAGCGCGAGGAGATGATAAGGAAGAGAAGAGACGAGATTAGGGCTTGTGCTCTTGATAGAAGTGAAAGACTTACGGCCCATGGAGCAGCCGCACTAACTGCAGCCCAGGTAAGGTCTGTATCTAGCTTCTGCTTTTCTCTGTGTTGAGGCTAGCTACAGCACGAAAGCTCGGAATATTGCGCTTCCTAACACCTACAAATTTAGGAGTTCAAGAAGGTATTGCTGACTTTGTCAGATACAGGAAAGTTTACGCCAGGAACGTCAGCAAGCTCAATGGGAGGCCAATGTGAACGACGCCGAAGAGAAGAAGCAGAAAAATAGGCAGTTCCGGGTCCGGCAGCTGATAGCAAGTAGAGAAGGGCAACTCGAAGAGAAGAGACGGGAGGAAGAGCGACGGAAAAGAGATGATTTGGAATATGCTGAATTTCTGCGAGCAGCGGCAGTCGCTGCTGATGCTAAGGAAGAGCAGCAGCGCCAGGAGCAGCGTAGGCGCTGTTGGCAGGTAAGGCTGGAGCAGGAAAGGCAAGCAAAAGAAAGAGAACAATTAAAGAAGCAGGAGCGCGAGCGGATGGTAGCAGACGAACAAAAGGCGGTTGCTTACATCGATGAAGAAGATCGCACATTCCAGCGATTCGCGGAGGACATTATAGAGGCAGCAAAGGAAGCTGGAGCAGAATGGCGCATATTGGAAGTTACCAAGCAGAGGCTGCTGAGCCGTAGCAGTATTAGTAGACCCAGACGCACAACTGAGGACGAAGACGAATAGATCATGTACTCACTTTCACCTTCATCTCTACACAGGCGAATGCTATCAAGGTTTAGGCCTTCTTCCATAATTTCGTCTTCTGTCGGCTTAAAGAGCTAAACTAGTGTTCGAAGCTGGATGCGCAGTTGTTCTAGCTGTTTCTTAGGGCCCTGGCAGCATACCAGGCACAGTCAAGCTACAGTCACTTGTATGGTTTTCCGTCTAGAACAGTTGGGCCACAGCCCGCACCCCTTAAGAGGGGTTTCGTCTCATATTACACAAGCACTGGAAAGCTTACACACCGGAAGCGATTTTAGGCTACTGAAAGCAGAATGGTAAAAGAGGAAAGCTGTGGATACGAGCAATGCCAGGTATTGTGGATGTCCTTGCAATTTACTTCTGGGTAAGAGTAAATCGATAATATCAGACAAAGGCACAAGACTAAGGGTTCGCTAGGGCATGGGCACAGCGAATTAAGCCTACACAATTAAATTCGCATCACATACTCCGACCTCGCAAAAATGAATGCTCAACTGTGAATCGCACTCCAGTAAGGCTCTCTCGGCTACTTGCTGTATTGTGTATTATTGGCACAACCATGATAAGCCGTTTCAGCCTGACTCCAGCTTACGTGCAGGGAGTGAGAGGGTTAACCCTCCTCATACTGCTGGTATCGTGCTGTGGTTGGCCGCACCTGCATCCCTACGTCTTAGAGGGCGCACGCCCGCTGTACGGACAGAACCAATTTGTCTCTCAGGACATTTAAGTGGCAACTCACTTGAGAGAGGTGCGCTTTATGATGTCTTGGCCTTATTAAATGCATAAATGAGCAGCCTGCAGGAACTCCGAGGGCTAGAAATCTCACGAAAACAACTTGCCGTTTACTTTTGCATTAGCAGCCTGCTGCACATTGTTCGGGTTTAATAAATGCGTGATCAGGTTTTAAAAAGTGAAATAAAATTGATAGCTTTTAAATTTGTACCGGATCAATGAAACCTTGGCAGCATTGCTGTACTCGTGTTGTACCCACCTCGGTCGGATGGCTGCTGGTGACCCGGAATCATTGTCCGAGTCTACACAGCCTTAACCACATCGATCCATTGCTTGGCTAGTAGCAGTATATGCGGAAGTCCATATGATCGACAGCGAATGTGAAAAAGAAGACTTGACCTTGTCTCCTTTCGCTATACCAATTAAGGGAGGCACCAGTATTTTCGTTGGGAGACGGGAAAGGTATGGGCTTGGTGGTGCCACTGACCGGGAAAATCTGGAGAGCAAGGAGTTCAAAGTGTCTCACCATAATTCAATTAATAAGTTTTGGCCTTTAAAACATAGGCTGATAGTTTGTATCTTGTTGTTTGGAGCATGGAAATAAGGCCTACGGGACCGGTCAACATACCACCGCCTGGGACAATGAAAGAGCCTCAGGTGATGCCCTTACCACTACATGGGCAGGCTCAGCAACAAGCGCTGGTTCACCGGCTTCGACGAGAGCTAAATAGGCTTGCAGACAGCAATAGGGGAACTCGGCTTCTCGGGGCCAAGTCCATCCTGTCCATCTACAGTGAAGAAGCCGTCAGGCGAAACTTACCATGCGACCATGTTTCCAACGCCAGTACTGGCCATATGGATAAGTCCAAGGACATTAATAGCCAGAATAATATCTTTTCTGGGGTTTTCATGAGTAGCGTGTATACCCCAGTATCGGGCTTATGCGCAGACGAGGCCTCAGAAGCCTGCAGGTCGACAGCGTTGGAGCTGTTGCAGCTGGCAGTAAAAACGTTCCTCTCACACGAGGAAGTGGTAGCCCTCTGCAGCGGTACGACGAACAGCAGCAGCGACTATCACACTCGGGGTTCCGTCTGGAGTTGCTCCTGTGGACCTAACTCCTGCAGTGGACATGACAGCTGTGGTGATAGTGGGGACATCAGAAGCGTCAGCTGGTATAAAGGCACACAAGATACAAAGCCACTGGTGGTGCTTCTTTCTGAAAGGCTAGTAGATGCTTCCGGGAGAGGGGAAAAAAGCGAGGAGCTGCGTTTTGTACTCTTACAGTTCCTGCGGCACCTCTTGCTAAAGCATGCCAAAGACCCGCCTCTGTCACCCAGAGGAGCAGGCAGGGATCAGCAGAAGACGTCATCAGAAGATTGCAAGGATGGGTGGGACGCAACAGCTTTTGCAGACTCGCTGCTAACAGGGATTGCAGGGGCCTTAAAGGACAAAAGCCCGTCCAACGCCATAGAGGCATGCCGACTGCTCACTGCACTGTCACCAAAGCTGCAAGTAACTGTCCTTTTGCAGGTAAGCCGTCATTATGGATAAAGGCTTATTGCACGTTGGTTTCCACAGTAATGGCAACTTCCAGACAAATCTTTTGGCTCACGATGAACGATGGATACCGGCCTTTGTAGCACCTCCAATCTTTTTGGATGTCTTTTTCAGAGCAGTAAAACACTGATAGAGCAGCTCACTTGCTGCCTGAGGAGACCCCAACGAGCTGTTCGATGGGTAAGCGGCAAGAGACTTGCTGATTTTCTCACTAGAAGCCCATTTGTTTTGACGCTCTCGGCGTTGCACCTACAGTGGACTTTGGAGGCATGCACGGAAACAAAATAGAGCACTAGCCAAATGAGAGAGATACATCGGTGGGAAGGAGCGCCAATTTTTCGGTCGTGCGCAAATTACTGCCTTTCGAAAGAACGGCGACATGTAGCTGCCTGCTTTGTATGCAGCACGCAATCGATGCCTTTGATGGGCTTTTGGTGACGATTTCGTCCGCTAGACCAGCCGAAAAGTCTGTTGCTGTTGCCGCTAGCCTAGTAAAAGCTGCAAGCACTGCATTGAGACCTATCCTTCAGCAGGAAGTAGCGGGACAGAACAAGTGAGTTAGCAGGATGTTTCTGGAAAGCAGCCAAGGCTGTCATCAAGTTTACCGGTAAATACGGACAGAACAGTGCCACTGAGTCAGTTCCTTCAGGTTAAGAACGTTACAGATGCTTCAGCGACTGCTAGAGGAGATGGCACCACGCATTTTACTGCGCTCCAACGTGATACCGCAGCTGCTGCAACTGGTACTGCTCGTACTCGGTGATACAGATAGGGAACTGGCAGAAGAGGCCGAAAAGCTCTTGCTGGTAAGGCCTAAATAGCTCTGCCCTTATGCTCTGAGGGATCTGGCGGTCCAAAAGGGGTTTTCCAAACAAAATGGTCAGACATGACTTACCTCTCACATGCGCTCTGCAGAGTGCTGCTCCTCGATGCGTCTACTTCTATCGGAGAAAGGATCACATACGTAAAGTGAAGATGAACCAATGCAAGTCATTAGCGCGAGGACAGGACGAAGGAGATACTAGTATTTCAAGTAGCGGGGCAAGTAGTACCGAAGGCTCTTCGAAGGTTTGTAGGGTCTTCATCTACGCGGTAGTGCCTGCTAGACACGTGTTTCACAATTGCTTGCTGACAACAGCATCTGTCCTTGGAGGTTGCCCTGGAGCGTCTACACTTCCGGGAGATGCTACTGCTGCTCTTAACTTTGCTGGCATCGGTTTGTGGCCGTTTCCATAAACTGTGTTGCTGTAGGAGGACGGCGAAGAAGATTTAGGAGGCTGTTCACGTCATGAGGCTACATATTGGGTCTCACGCTTGGAACAATTGAACCTCAAAGAGCAAGACCGATCACCGAAACAGCTGATTGTAGAGTTGGCTGGAATATACTTGAAGCAATTGATGGCCGACGTGAGAAATTCTGTTGCAACTGTTAGTGAAGTGCTCAGCTCATAGCAGGTTTCCACTGGCATTGGTGTAAGCCCATCCAAATCGATACTGATCAGCGATGGCTTCGGGTGCTCTGAAAAGCCTCACGAGAGTGTAAGTGCTCCTGTCATTGCAGCTGCTACCGCGCTTAACAAGTTGGTCGGCAGAAGACAGAATTGCTTCCTTACGCTCCCTTGTCGGCTTGCTTCGTATAAGCGGAGGCCACATTCTACAGGAGCTGCCGCAGCTTCTTCTGCAGCTTTATGGAGCTTGCGCTGCAGCCGATACTGGGTCCTCTGTGCCCAGGCAGCAGCAGCAAGGGTCTCCATTACTTCTTCTTGTACAGCACGCAATGGTGCGGGAACTAGACGACAAGAATTCGTCAGGACTTACATGCAACCGTAGCGACATCGAGCCATGGCACTGCGGAGGCTTACAGGACTTGGGAGTCTGCAGCTCCATGCGCATTGCGCTCGAAGCTGTCGAGCTTTCTTTGCAGTGCGCAGGGCAGATAGCAATACAGCTGCCTCCATGTACCTGGCTGCCTCTTATTGTCACTCATTTGGGACTGCAGGAGGATGCTCAGCTGTACATCTGCCGCAAACAGAAGACGCTGGAGTCTTCTACTGTAGAGTCCACGAATCAGCAAAGTACTGACAGGCCAAGTGCTACCACAGAAGTGGAGCTTTCATTTGTAAGAAAATTTTCTGGAGGCTACCCGCAAATTGTGGAAATGATGGGTCTGGGGACGTCTGGGCTCCGCAAGAGGGCGCAAAGAACGGCCAGCACGTCTGCTTGTGGGAGCCGCGTATTAGCGAAGGGACATCTGTGCTCTATTGAAATGAAGAAACAAGCGTGGCTGCTGCTGGCACGTCTTCTTCGGGGTTTAAAGCTGCAACAGAAAATTCAAGGTTGTCAAACGAGCCAGCAGGCAGGGCAACACATAACGGATGCCCGTGGGGCGTATACACTGGGAGAGGACGAGCTCTGGCTACTCATGCAAACTATCGAGCATTCTCAGTCTTTTGAAGCAAGCCGAGGTGCTTCAAACATACCGGCAGTATCCGGTGAAACAGAAAACAATGAGGCGATTCTGCCGTATGTTGCGGCTCCCCTGTTAGAGCTTCTGCGTGTAGCTGGAGATTCTTGCAGATCCGAAGCCAAGCGGCTCTTTGCAGCCGCACTGCTGCAACAGGTTTACTCTCAGAGTCAAGTAGACATAGCAAGAGCAACGGTGCGCCTCACTAGCGTCAAAGGTACAACCAACGCCTTGCCATTGCAAGGACAATCAGTTGGGGGGATGTCATGACAAATGAGGAAATTTGCTTTGGCTTCGGCCCATCACTCCCTCACCATAGGGTTACGGTTTCTGGTGATTGCTTCTACCTGTTCTGCTAGCAGAATCATATGTACTGTCTGTTCTGCTTCCTATGGCAGGTCCAACGTGTCTGCGATTGTACGGGCTTAAGTCGGCTAACGCTATATCTAGATTTTATCGACGATTTTATTCGTGCGAACGTGAAGACTTCTGTGTTTCGAGGGGATTCAAGCAGTACTGATGCCCCCACAGAGGGGCACAAAATGTCCGAACTCACAAAGGAGAAAGAGGAACTTCAGTCTCTATGGAGTAGCCGAGACCCTCGACGGATGTTGCTGCTGCATGCCCTTTATGGTGCACAGGAAGCAGCAGACGCATATGAGGAGATATCCGAGGCACATAAATGTGTGTGGATTGAAGATCTTTTAAAGGTATTGTAGATGATGACTCCATGAGCTGTTCAGGAAGCCCTACACTTCGATGGCTAGAATATATATATAAATTTGAAGTGTTGCGTGTATTACTTATGCAGGTATTACAACTACAGGGTGCCTCCCTAAATTCTGCCGCTACAGTGCGCGCCGACATGCTATCAGCCTGTCTGGCACTGTTTTCTCTCCCCCTTTTCATCCCTCTCGCACGGTGAGTTGCCCACGCTTATCTGTATGCTAGTAGAAGGAGCGAAAATTTGTTGGAAGTGTCCAGAAATCGTTTTATGAATTTTTTCTCCTTCAGGCCGTATGGATGCTGGGTACTGGAGCACCTCTTGGCCCCTAACCTCCGCTGGCGCCCGGGCGAAGCAAATGCGAAGTTGCGCAAGGTACGCTTACACACGAGGAAGCGAATGAGCACACACACACAAATACCTTCTGGACCACAGTAAACAAATCGAATTTGTATCAGCTTTGGAATGGCTCAGGTGGCATTGCTGTGCGTGTCTCAACTAATTCCCACACTGTCCTTGAAATGTGGGCCTACAAACTTGGAAATGGAAAATGGGATACACGATTCGACAGCTCAGTTGGTGGAGATAGGCTGCATGGAAAATAATGTCGCAACAGGGGCTTTGCAACGGGACCAAGCTAACAACGATAGGCAGCAACGGCTTAATCCAGAATCAGCAGAGCAACTTGAGGAAGAAACCAGAGCTGGGTCAGTTGCACAGGCCGTGTCATTGCTCTCCCCTCTATTGGTTACATGCATGGATGACGACTGGAACGCCGATGTGCGCGCGCTAGCAGTTCAAGTTGTCCGTCAGGTATTCCTAGACCTCCATGTGAGCGAGCCGAATTTGGCTATTTCAATATTACGGATGCGGCACGCCGCTACTCCACGTGACTGTCATCAGTGACTACACTTCTTTTGATTTAGTACTCCCTATCGTCCCACGACTAGCATCTTTAGAATTCCACCTGAGCATAACCATATCTTGTGCTCTGTGTCTCCGCCACTGTTTAGGGGACAGGATATCAAAATGATGCAGTACGGGAGCTAGCTGCGGCAACTGTATACCCGTTGCAGCAGCGACTTGATGACGCTCGAGACGACATCCGCCTTTCTGCCGCGGCTGCACTGGAGGCACTGCTGATGCAGAGGCCCTTTCTGCTCCACCGTGGCATTGCTGCCGAAGTATACAAACGACTGAGCATCTGTTTGGATGACCGCAGCGAGAATCTGGCAAAAGCAGCAGAAGCAGCTCTTGTGGCTGGCGCTGGCGTTATGAAGGATACCTTACTTGAGGTCACATAGCCACGTTTCTTTGCCAACAAATGAAGTGGATGATGCACTTATCTAGGCGCCCAATTATGAGCCTAGGCTGGTTGAACTCCCGAATCCCATATTTGCTTTTTAAAAAGTTGAACACTCCAGCACGCGGCATGCCTTGGAGGAAGGCTGGGAGAAAGTGGCGTGGTTGCATTTTTTGTCGCAGGAGCTTCAAGAATCAGAGTCCAACTGCCTTTACCCTGAGCGGTACAGACAACTTATGCAAAAGTTGCAGGTATTGCAGGAGCCGAGGCCTGACAGTGGTGATTGACCTTCTACACTTGAGGTGAATAGAGTGTCGGTTTCAAGTCGATAAAGGAGAGTGAAGAGGGCAGAACCTACGGATTTGTAGGGATGGACATTTTTGGCACGTATGTTTTTGCTTTCCGTCTATTGTGGAGTGCATCATTTCAAACTATAATCTATGTGGGTCGTGAAGGCACAAAATATTACTTACTTCAATGCAACACAAGACTAGCCCGGACAGAGGAAACTTAACTTGGCCCTGTAGGTACCTCAGCCCACTGAATTACATACTTCAATGTAGCAGGAGTACTGCATAACGAGAAGTACAGCAAGGAAGCTGCTTTCTCTATCCGCTTCCACCACAATACTCCTTTTTCGTCAGTTGCTGCCAAGGCTTGCTCTCAATATAAAGAACAGCTAAGCCGTCGGCAGCATGCATGAAACTCCGATTTCGGGGAAGCAGAGAAGAGCATATACCATGGAACCTTTGAGCGAAAGGTAGTTTTCTATTTTGGGGCTTCCACTGATATCGTTATGACGCATTGAATGGGAGTGGACATGTCCAATATTTGGACTTCCGACGCATTCTCTTCGTGGCCTTTCACGAATAAAATGACACTGAGGCGTTTCAAAAGTTGCCACTTAAGAAGTGAGCAAACTCCGTATGCTCGAACACGCCATCTGCAACTGGTGCTGCCTCAAAGGATATTTCAGACGGCCTCCATGCTGGCATGACAACGGCAGGAAAGTAGTCGATAGAAGGAATAATTTGACTAACGTATCTTGTTGGCCCAGTATTCTGCTACTTGCAAATTCACCATTTCGACAGTAGTGTGTCTCAGGGGAGGTGGTCTTTTTTGCAGTTCCCGCGTGGCCCTGGGATACCGCTTATTGCGAACTCCCTACCTTTCGGACGCCAAATATTTTCTATGCAATTCCTACACGGCTTGTACTGAACGTCCGATAAAACCAAGTTTTAAGGATGAAATGTAGCAGTTCTTATTAGAATGCATGAGTTCTTAGAAAGCTGCTTCCATATTTGCTCCCACTAATCGCCATGTCTCGCAGAAGAAGGTCTGTCGAGCTAGATAAAACCAAGTAATTGTAAGCGCTTCTTCTTAATTTTACTTAAAGAGCGCACGATTCAGCCGTAGAATGCACGAAGAGCCCAGGCTGAGCGTGGGGTGAGCAGGGTAAGGCAAAAAGTGCACTCGCTTGCTAAAATGTAGGAGAGCGGTTTGTACTGTCTTGTGCGATTACAAGGCATGTCCCGCACCTTGTCCAAGATCACTGCCAATCTGTACTTGGTGTTTTACTGATGACAACGTTGATTCTGAACGAATGCACACAGTTCTTTAGAAAAGTGGTGAATCTCGATCCTCTTGTAGGCGTATAAGAGCAAATTTTGATTCTCTATCGCTTTTCTGTAAAAGCTCAGAGCCGAAATGTATGCTGCCGTACAAAATCAACTGGTCCAACGAGAACTTGACTTATTGAATGTAGTGTCCATCTGAAGCACTCGGCTGGTGAAAAGGTCCGCTGTTATGCTGCTTCGTTTGCATAAAGAAGCAAGAGAGGCCTCTCCAGTCAGTACCTATTATATAGTGTACATGTGATACAATAAGGTTTCAGGAGATAAGGTTTGCAATCAGCAGTTCTCACCATGTATCCAGTGACTACTGTATCCGTATACTAATGCTTTAGGTACTGAACAAAACAGTTACATGTAGCAGCAACGCTCTGCGCAGCAGATGACACAGCCGAGCAGCTCTCTAAATTTCAGCTACGAACCTCAAGGCAATGACTCAATTCAGCCTCTGTCATCACCTCCCCTTTCTGCAGATTCGCACATGAAATGAGTCTGAGATTACATATGCACCTAGGACAATACAAATGGCTTACGCATCTGAGAATGCGCAAGTATACAGTGAATCCAGCGTGCTGTTCATGGCAATCCTATTAATGCCGTACTGTCAGTAGCAGCCTCGTTAGCTCTTCGGGAGATATTTCGTTTGTGTCACTGCCTTTGCTTAGCTGCTTAAATGCGTCGATAATGTCAGAATGGTGGAAAGCTTTAGATGCCCGTTGATTAAGGTAGAGCTCCAGGAAGCGCTCAAAAGCGACACTGTGTGACTTCGAGGGGGTATCATGCGCAGCCCCTATCTGGCCCTCTGCTCTTTGTCGGTGCAGTACGCCGGATGCACCTCTGCATTCACTCATAACATTGCCAAGCTCCAATAGAGTTGGTGCTTCACCAAGGGCACAAAGGAGATTTGGGATCTCTTCAATGGGCACGTCCTCTCCAAGCCTCCTCCGACGTGTCGTGTGCTCTCCCTGGCTTCGCAGCTGTGCGTAGTAGAAGAATTCCTTGGCTATACGATACAAGTCACCCTGTGTTGCAAGAGCTCCACAAGCATCGAGGTTCGTTCCTTGATCCATAAAAGTGTTCCGACTACTTCCGTAAACTAGCCGGGTAAGTGTGGGGCGATTCACTCTTCCTTATCTACGCAAAACAGGGGTTTCTGTTGTGTATAAAGGTGCTTTAAGCGGACTAGGGCCTTACAGTCACTCCACCAGGAAGCCGCTCCACGATTGACGCCGTTCCAGATGGTCCTGTGGGGGCATGTACATGCAAGAAGTGGGCAATCAGGAGGAAAATCTCCTGCAGATGAAAAGGCTGACAATTCTCTCTAAAAATCTATCGTTTGTTGCTCAGAGGGCATCCGCACTTCGAAGAAACTCCCTTTTTGCTGCAGCATGGTTCGCCGTCCACTGCAGGACTGTCAAGTCGCTTCCTCCGCACGTAAAGACGGAAGTGCACCCAGCGTGAGGAGCTGAGGCAGCTAATGCGATGATTGGGCCAGCGTGTGCAGCCACATTGAAGTTTTTAAAGGGGTCCCTACAGATTGAAAGGGGTTAACACAGCACCGCACCATCGTGTGTGCATATCAAACTACCTGGGTAATGGAGGGCTACGATGGTGCAACAGGAAAAAACACATCATTTATCGACAATTTATACCAGAACCATGGAAAGCTGCCCTACATACCCGTCAAGCGGGAGCTGGTAGACCCCGAGTAGCTGTTCCTTGCACGCTCCAATGAGGATCGGACTATACAGAAACCCATTGAGCCACGTAAGTTACCACAAAGAGTGCGTTGTCAGCTGCGATAGTAATCAAGCGTCTATTCATACATGCACGAAATAGACTTTCAGACCCTGTGGAGGGCTTCGTGGAGTGCTTGCAAGCCAGGTCACCTGAACGTCGCCGGAGATTCGGCTTCGGTCCACTCTTGCATCACCGCTAACTGCAGTATACCATTGTGCCCCATGGCAGCAGAGGCCGTCTAAAGTCCGACAGACAGCAAACTGGAATCTTTCATTTCAAACTGTGTATCTAGTGGACTTCAGCTTGACATGATCAATCGAGGCATAATCCAGTGGTCTTTTCCGAGTCTTGCGGCAATGAGCGTACATTCGAGGCGCGGAATTTACCGCCTGCGTTTGAGGCAGTTACTCACCTTGACGCATGACATTGAATTTGCGCTCCAAATCTTTGCCTTTGCGTCACTAGAATATACTAGGACCTCGGTGTCTGTATTCCCAACCTATAGCCAACACACCCAATGCCCCAACTCTTAAAGGTTGAAGGTTCTAGTCACTGTGAGGGCAGGAAAGCTGCCGTACCACCGTTATAGAAACACCGAGAAAAGCTAGACTATATCGAGTAACCAGTAACCCAATGCTTTTGCCTAGCTTACAGGGGAAGGCAAGGCTAGACAACCAGAAGGTATGGCGCGTTGCTCGATAATGCACGATTGCCGCTGCATAAGCCCTACGGGCATAAGGTAAGGCCTAGTCTCGCATTATAAGCTTACAAAAAATGCTGCCAGGGAGTAAAAGGAAATGCCTGTGCTCTTCTTGAGGCAGGCTTAGCAGAGAGGGTATTTTCATTATTTCTCAAGTGAAAGCCATGCCAATCAAACTCACTGACAAGTGCAGAATATCATTTTTGACGCGTCACCCACCTGTGTGCTCAAATGAATTGGGAACGTCGTACTCAACAAGTTTTCGATCTTCACCAACGCTGAAGAGGCGGGGGTATCCTCCGCTGTATAAGTGAGGCGATGCGACAGGAAGCAGCTGCTGTGTCGGTCGCCATAAAGAAGGTTGCACTGCTGCTGCTCCAGTGACTGGAGTGTGTCCATTGACAACCGACGGCAAGCTGTGAGGGGGAGGAAATTCTCCATGGACATGACCGAAGGTCAGACCACAAATGCTCTTGTAGTGCGACCGACGCTTCCCTAAATAGACAAACCAAGGGCAGCTGATATACACATGAGGAAGCTTCTCTGGGGTTACCCCTGGAACACAGCGGAGGCCTAAGGGATTTGCAATGCTCATCAAAATAAATAGCACTGACCAGCAAAGGCCCACTCCTCCGGTAGCTGCGAGTTCCCCATACGATGGTCGAAACTAAATACACACAAAATATTCGAGAATCTGAAAAAATCAATTACCGTTGGAACGTGCAACATTTAGTAGGTTTACTCATTGCTCGCAGAAAGGGATCCGATTAGGTGCACACGTCATGGGTGTCACCGGAAAAGGCAGACGACATTGTCTGCATGGGCGACCGCCAGGTGCGCGGAATCGTGGCTGAATGCGCACTTTGTATATGACAACACAACACAAGAGGGAAGCACAAGACTGGAATGCTCCAAATGTTGCTTGAGGGCGTCTGATGAGTACCTAACCTCCACAAGTTGTCACAATGAACTGAAAGGGTGCATTGGGTAAATGGCTCACGTGTGTGACTCCATCGCGGCTTTCTCGTACTCCAATGAGCTCCACCAGATTCCCCCATTCGCCAACAGTAGTTGCTAGCGGATCCAAGCTCTCTGAGTTTCTTAATTCGCAAATCTTCAGCGTGCCGTTGCTAAATCCAATAGCTAGATATCTACCAGATGGGCTGAACGCCGCAGCCTGTAGTCACATTTGTCTTGGGTGGAATTTTCCGATATGAACATCTGCAAGATCCTATTTTTACAGCAGTTGTAAGCCGCAAACAAGCTTTGCAGGGTTGCTCTAGACAATCATATTGTGTATGGCCTCAATCCTACGGTTGGAGACAGCTTGTCGAAGCAGATGCTGCTCAGCATTGTATGACTCTCCGTATTCCATAGCTTCAAGTAACCTAAACATCTGGCAAGCAGCAAACCTTTGTTTACATGCATAAAAAAAGGCAGATTGCATTGACATAGCCGATGGGGCTACCAGAAAGCAGGTGAGAGAGATCGAAATGTGTGAACTATGGAGAGATTTGTGGGACACTATGCAACTTGCCTGTAACCCCTGCAATTGCGAGAATTGGGCCGTGCGGGTGACATACAATTGCTGTTGGCAGTGCATCAAGCCCATCAAATACACGGACCACCCTGCACCATGAAACGTGCGCGCTACAAGTGGTTTTGAGTGTCGACTAGTGGGAATAAGCAGCGCTTGTATGGCAGTATCGACTAAGCGCATCTTTATACAATTGTACCGCATGCTCACTCTTCCTTCGTGGTATGCTCGCGTGCATGAGCAAAGTTATTTGGGAAAACCTCAAGGATCCACGCCTTTGATGTCGAAAGCACGAAATTTGGCAGTCGGCTGGCATCATGTAGCCATTGACGGTGAGCGCTGGAGGTGGGCTTCGCCAACGAGCAAAATTCGTGGGCTTCGTGTGAAGATGCAGGATCTGAGCGTAGTATGTCAACAGGCTAAAAACGCAAGCAATCAAAAGGTTCTTGCTTAATCTAAGGAGCACTGAGAGCTGGAATCTGACTGAAGAATAACAAGTACAGAGAATAATGGGTGTCATACTGCTTTAGGTCGCCGACACGAACTAAACAGCTGATGTTAGCACGCCAAATGCGTCTATGTACGGAAAAGCGCCAGCGTACCCAAGCCAAATTCCATTGTTTCGTCGAAAGAAAGGCACTTTATTTGACCCTAAGGTAGCAAACTGAAAGGACCAGCTTGAAGGGATGCATAAAATCGTATACTGGTGCTCCAGTAGCGTTCAAACTAGATCCAGCGAGTACTGAAAAAATGCTAATAGGCACTTGCCAAAGGTTCCATCAAACTACCGATTCACATCTGACCGCATTTAGGTCTTCGAAACATCGAACAAGACGCAGCTGTGGGTCGTAGAAACTGTGCAGACGCAGTGCACACGGGTGGTAGGCACGTCCACCCTGTCTGCGCCAGCCATTCAGGATGTGGTATCTCATATGAAAAAAAAGTGGACACGTTCCACATTCGTAGACAGATTGACACGTGGCCTACCAAACAGCTCCATCTGAAAAGCCTGAAACAATCCAACGAGCTTGGAATGTCTTGAGACATGTGACGCATGCGTTTCGCAGTTTGAGGATAGACACAGCTCGCCGTTCATCTGGCCTACTCAGCCTACGAATGACCATGCGTAGCAGCAAATGCTCGATCGCTCCCCTAATTAGCTAGGATGAAAACTATGGCAACCGCCTGGCCCCCGCTTTTGTGGCTTGGCGTGCAACCACTTTGTATGTTCGCCATAGCATAGCGGCATGCCCCAGCACTTTTGCGGACCCGTCAAGAATAAGGCTAAGATTCCACACTACCACGTCTCCGTCGGTGGTACCTGAGAAAGACAACATGATCATCATTGCAAAGCGTTCTGCACTGATTCATAGTAGGGGAGGAATCCTTGTAGTTCAGTGTTCTTAGGTAACTTGGGAGTCGATGAGAATTCTTGGGTCATAAGTTGATAGAAGCCTACCAGAAAGCGCTTTCGTAGACTGCGGTATAAAGACGGATGTAGTTATATCCCCCACCTTCTGTTGAAAAGTTTTAGACTGTAGCGCTGGGGAGTAGAAGTGAAAGGACACGTCATCCCAGTGCCAATACCAGAACAATATGCGTCGGCGACCGCTTGTCAAAAGCTCGTTTACATCCCATTGATTAAAACGGATCTCGTGCTGCAGAAAACCCAGCAAAAAATGTTGATACGTCCTCGTTGCGCTACAAACGATGCATGATCTAATTACGTACTTTCAACCATCAAGGACAATATGTGCTGCACGCAAAAATAGCTATTGGCGCATAGCATAGCTGGAGCAGGAGGGCATTTTGAACACATCTGTGCTTTGCATTACGGGATGATGAACAGGGAGTACCTGGATATCTGGGATTGCAATAACCGCCATCCTCAAAGGAGCATTCCTGCGTTTCACGTAAAGAGACTCCCACTTAATGTGACTTCAACAGCTAGTCATTACTGAACTTTCCAAGCGTCCGTCTAACAGAATAGACGTAAGTAAAATCAACGGCCTACCCAAATTCCTTCCAATTCCAAATAGCCACTCCCTGATACATATCTGAAGTAGCGGTGGCCAAAATGCCAGGGGAGGAGTCACGGTAGCCTGAAGCTTGACATGCGGATTTGCTTGGTATGTCTTCGGATTCAGCTATCTGATGATTTGTTTCCCGCAAAATGCATTTTTCGGACATAGGAGACGATAGCGTGGCGAGGAGAGTTGCATCTGGTGTGAAGTCCACAGAAGTTATTCCTGGCAAAATAAAACAGCGTGGTCAACCGGTGTTACAACAACACATTCGAAAGCTCTGTTTTAGCAATCGGTATAAACGGAAAGCGCACAGTCAGTGATGATAGCCTACCCAATGGATGAGGATTCATATAAATCTTAACCTGTTTTGCTTCTGCTGCATTCCAAATAACTAGGAGGCTCTCCTGTACATGCAAAAGTGAACAGGCTTGCACAGCACAAAATTCGTAGCCTCGGCACTTCAAATGAAGAGCTAAATAGAGTCCAATCAAGCACGATGTTTCTTTAATATACCATATGGGGCTGATAATTAGTGTTTTGTCGGAAGATCGGTCCATAAGTGCAAGACAGACTCAGTGCACGCTACCTTTCCAATGTCACCAGTTGCAATCCACTTTCTATCTTGGGAGACAGCAACAGCTGATATGCGGTTGGTGTGACCGCGCAAGAGCACTTGAGAAGCGAATCTGGTAGGGTCCCCCCCTTCATCCGCGTAAAAATGTACTACTCCCGTGTTGGAGGCGGGAAAGAATACGGCCTTTCTTCCCCCGTTGCTTCTACCGAGACTATGCACTCCATTCTGAATTCCACTGTCGTAGCCATATACCCACTCGAGCTTCTGTCCGCAATCACAGATATGAGTGGTAGGTACATGACTAGCTGTGGCAGTCAAAATGGATAGCGGGCCAGCTGGCCAAAGCCGGTGGGGACGACGGGGCGACTGACGTTGGCTTGCTGCCTTTAAAGCTTACTATTGGACTGCCGAGGTCACTGCTACTTGAATGGTCACATTCGATAGGTGCAGAGGGCTCTTGGTGACGTGAACCTGCTGGGTTATTTGTGCTGTGCTCATTTAAATGCTGTCGCTCAGGGGAGATAATTTCATCACCATGGGGGGAGACGTCTTTCATTGTTGTTGCACCTGTGGAGAGTACAGTTGAGCACTGCCCATGAGTAAATCTGTAACAAGTAGGTGGTTGGCAGTTTTTGGCCCCATATACTGGGCAAAAATCTTGTCTGTGCATGTGCCATCCAGAGTTACTACACTCATCTGCATAATTCCCGACGGCGAGAAGCGACTAATTGGGAATACCAAGATATGATATTGACAAGAGAATTGACAGCGTAATGCAGTCAGCATTATCTCACTTTCATTTTTAACCGACCGCAGGGGTCAAGTCCCAGGATCACCTTTCTCGTATCAATGCCCATGTGTTAAAACGGCCATCTCAGGAAGTGGCTATAAGATGCCATCTCTTAGGATGCATAAGAAACCTAATAATCTCTAAGGATCCGAACTTTATTCACTAAAAACGACGTGTTTCGCAGGCAAGTTAGTGCGGTGCTCACAGGGGAGGCCACCATGACAGCATCGGCACGCGCTTGTTAATCTTGTCGTTAGCTGTGCAGTAGCAGCGCTGACTGCAGCTATATATCAAGAAATCAATGTTGATTGCATACATTCTTGAAGATTGAACATATGCAGGGGTTAGATAACTCTAACTAGGCATGCGGGTGCATGGGGAGGCAGCCCCATAAAAAGTGAAAAAAACAATATCTCTGCGTCATCTGTATGCGCTCTGATTCATGAGATAATTCTAAATGATCTCATCAACTATTAAATGTATCGATTAGAATCATTCGTGGGGAATATCTGGAAGCCGACACGACCTTACATCGTCTTCTCAAGCCTAAATAGTAACCAATTGGCCACGGAGCAATTACGACAGACACTTCCTCTTTCCAGATAGCTTTCGATTTTACTCATCCAAATGCCTCAGAGCAAGCGTTTTACCTAGCCTGCGAACTGCAGTAGCATGAACAGCAGCCAGATGCACGCGTGTTTTGGTGTACGCTTAGAAAACCTCCAGCCACCCCGTTCCATACAGGATTCGCTACACAAAGGAATGCCTCTTGTAAATAAAATATATCTTTGTATCTTTCTACATGGGTCGGACTCTCCGTAAGAGAAGATTGATGCAGGCAATGCTCTGCCCCGTCCTTATTTGTCACCTACTGGGTCACCTGTAAAGTGTTAGGGGTCTTCTTGGCAGATAAGAGAAAGCCAGGCTGGACTACCTACGCTCTGTATTAATTAAGCAAGATATGTCTGCTCAGCTTACTTCACTGGCTTTTCAGGCCAACAAATGCTGAGGAGTTAGCTGGACCACTGGTTTCATGGCTGAGCTGGCTTGCTGCCATTGCCGTGCATAGAGAAGATCGATGAAAGAATTAATTTCTCAGGAGTACCAACGCCCCCATGATTGTCCGAAAAGAGCGAGACGTGGATGTCTCACAGGAGACTGCCGGATCTGGCACCTCTCCAGAAGAGGCTGAAGAAAATAAATCCAGTAACACCAGAGGACTAGTCCAAAGTTCCATGCTATTTTCTCCAACTGCCAATCAGCGCTACATCCATCCTCTTCCCGGGGGACCGCAAGGGTTCATGCACTCCCCCACCGAGTCGGAAGAACTTGAGTCATCTAGAAAACAGATAGTGGATCTGTCGACCCCGCTAGCAGAGGACCTGTTCGAATGGGAGACACGTACGTGTGATCCACCATATTACCTGCAAGGTGAGCAGGAATCCACCGCTCTACAAAGATAAGACTTCTCGTTGTGCAGTAAACAGAGCCTAAGTACTCTAGTTGTAGGATTCAGGGATACAAAATAAGCGTACACCAGTCAATAGGACGTGATACCCGTGAGGCAACCACTTTGCAGTATGCTGTAATGCTCAGTGGGCATATTTTGTTTTTCTTGGGTAGTGCCTGTGCCATCTGACACATAGCTAATGAATTATTCGAGACTGCTGAAAAGCAAGCAGAGCGACAAGCACTCAAAACCCACCCCGAAGTCGTATCAGCCTTAGAGGACACTTGGAGCCTTTTTTCTAAGGATGATCAAAATCGTGTTCCTCAGGCGGAATACACTCGGGTAAGAGAAGAGTCCCAAGTTGCATGCACTCCTCACCGGTAGCACTTGTATTCCCGCAGTGGTAGCAGTCACCATGCTTTCCTGGGACGCTTCACCCTAGTGCCTCCGTGTAGGATGCTGCAGAGCTTTTGTCTCGTATTATGTATGCTCAAAAGCGATTAGTTGTAACGGCTTGATTGCTCAAAGGTAAAGTCTGAGCCAAGCTTTGGCTGTCCATCTGAAATCGCGAATATTTCTGGCTTGGGTTCCCAGGTTCTCCTTAGACTGTGCCTGGTTCTAGTTCCTGAGCTAAGGGGTCGTCAAGTGGTGGACTTGATAGAGACCGAATGGCAACACGATTCGAAGGGGGAAGACGCCCTTTCTCGTGAGGCATTCTTTGAATCATTTTTCGAGCTGGCTGATATCTGGACGCCAGGGATAGAGGGCCATGCATATGCTGACTTCCTACGAAGGCTCTTCCGCCGTATCACCGTTAAAAGGAATGGCCAACGAGATGGTGCCAAAGAACCCAAGTTAGTGCCAAAGATAGTGGTTAAGGTCCTTAACAAGGGCGTAACGGTACGTTATTCCTGCTCTATTGTTCTGCCTGTTCCCAAAGCTGGAAAAACATATATGCTCAAGGGTGCAGTAAGAAAAGGCCAGCAGGATGTGATTTTGTGAAATGAGAGTACAGAAGCCAGAAAACCAAGACCATGAGCAAGATGACATTCAGCAAGTAAAGCTTGTTGTTGGTTCGGCTGCCGATGGTACATGCATAGCCGAATGGAGCAAGGCGGAGCACAAGGCACTCGAGGCACTGGTAGTCGCACATATTAACGGTGAGGAAGACCTTGAGAGCATTGAGTTGAAGGAAGAAGTATCGTACAGGTGTGTGGAATCCTCTGCTAGCGAACCTCTATGTACTGAGTGGGCGGACCCGGCAAATATCGCGCCCATCGGCGCCGCAGCGCGGGCATTCCTGGCGAGCGTCTTTTCTATAGCTCTGAAAGCAGTTATCCAAGCAAAACAGCAGCAGCCCAATAACTGCATTGCCTCGTCTAGTTCCCATGCAAACCACGCGTCAGCCCGCCATCAGGAAGAGAGCCTGCAAGAAACAAAGGAGTTAGTTACTGCTGAGCCATCGTCTCCCCCACTACTGCAGTCGCCTCGCATTCGCCAACATTTTGCATACTACAATAGCAAAAGTGACTTGCCCCTACGAATTTCTGGGGTTTCGCAAGAAGAACTTAGAAAGTTCAACTCAATTGGATTGCCAGTACAAATGGAAGGTGTAAAGAGGCTTGTCCTACTCTCGGGAGTACCGCAGCTGCTAGTGGAAGAGCAGCTAACGAAGCAGGAGCAGCCACAGCAGCAGCAGACGCCGCTAGATGAGCATGGAAAGGTGTTAAATTCCGAAGAGAGCATGATGACCTATCACGTAGAGGACAGTCAATCCGTGTTGTTCCAAGATCTCAGATCGTTCAGCGGAAAAGAGATCTCTATTGACGAAATTAAAAAGATGCTTACATCCAGTGAGGAAACGAAACCGCCTCAACTAGCTGCCTCTGTAGATTCAGGACTGGAGCGTGAAACAGTTTCTGAACTACAGTCTAAGCAGGAATCCGTGCTTAAGGCAGAAGCAGAGCCGGAGGTAGAGCAAGAACCAGGGTCTCACTCACAGCCACATGAGCAACGCGACAAGACACTAGATGTGGATTCAGACTCGGAAATTAATCATGAAGCTCGTATCCAGAAGGATATACATATTAGTGCTGAAAGCACCACGGTACAAGAGCCTCCAGGCGCTGCCACAGGAGAGGGAACATTGGTGGAGAAGTCACCGATAGTGACAGAAGACGCAACGTCTGTTCAGTTGCGGAAGGCCGATGCCAACCATCGTTCGCGGCCACTGCGACACGGAGGACTCTCCAGGGCTCGTATCTTTCACAGTTCCTTTGACGACTCACTTCAGAAAATCCAGAACAAGACATTTCGAAGATCTATACTGATAAACGGAGTCGGCGGCGTCGTTGCTTGCCCCCAACCTAAAACAAAAGGTTTTTCTTTTTTACGTGGCCCTCTAGAATCAAGGACGAAGGGTATGCGAAATAAACATGAGATAGGATTCCTACGTGGAAGCTAGGTCAATTATCGTTTGCCCAACTCTCAGAGGACAAACCACATGTATTCAAATCCAAAATGGCAGCATATAAGGCCGGCGTCTGTTTCTAATACTGTTTTTAGTTAGTTCCCACCGATGCGTGCATCCAGTACTTTTGTCGTTGTTGTTTTCCCAGCTTCAGCGCCCCAGAGTTCGAAGGTGCCAAGCTGCGGGGAAGCACAGGGTCCCGTTCAAATGGAGTTTGAAAATAATGGTTAGCTTTTCCCTGTAGCAGATGAAGCTCACTATGCAGAACAAGGTGCTCTGCTTGGCTGGTGACGCTTGCTGAAAATATGCGGATGCCCGACGGTGACTCACAGCCCTCTGCACAGGCCTGTCCCACGAATGGATCTGCAGAACTTGTAAGCAGTGAGGGCTTGGTTAAAGATCCATGGCCAAAAGATTACCTTCAGCCCGAGACAACACTGGAATACAAGCCCGCAGTGGAGCAGGAAGAGCTGGCTTTTGCGTATGAGCCCAAACAGGCTATCCTCCTTATAGGCCCAAACACCCCGGGTAAGTTGCTGCTGGGAAATCTGCACTTTTCACATGGAATTGTCCCTGTAGTTACGTTCCCTGCTTGAGCCGGTCCGACAGATGCAGTGCTGACGTCAAATGAGGTGGACGTGTTGATGGTTTTGGGGAAGAGGCAGACCAACATGCCCTAGCTTGTCCAGGTGCATGCGCCCTGTACGCTGATAGAGACGAGCCGCATGGCTTACAAGCTGGCGACGAACCTAGGGCTGGAGTGGCTTCAGGCAGAATATCTACTCTCGGCGCTCTGCAAGATCAGTCGTTCTTTACTCACGCCTTTGGCCAGGCGGTGAGCTTTCCTTTGCCCCGGGCACACACCCCATGTTCGGCACTGCTTAGCACTGAAGATGGCACTGCAAAGCCCTAATTCTTAGCAATGTGGCCGTCGGTTTTACTTGAGCTGTCCAATGTTTTTTCTGTACTGCGCAGCTTAACACGCATGTTGCAGCGAGGAGCACGAGTGCCCATATTGGAGGCCCTTCTGCTTACTTTGGAGTTTATGGCGAGCAAGCGTTCGCGCACTGCTGGGTATGTCTTGGAGCTGCCTTCTGGATTCGAGCAGGTAAAGAAAACGACGAAACATGCCGCTTAATATACAGTGCTAAAGAGTGACACACATCTCGCCAAACATGCTGGACCAAGAAATGCAGCAATTGGTCTCACCCCTTTACAGCTCACAAGAAGGCCATCATGATAATGGCGTTATTCAAGGCGTTTTGGGGTTGTGCAAGAAGTTGGAAGAGCCATTCTAAGTTACACGCTAGCAGCCTGTCGTAGTTTAGTACACTGTTGGAAGGGTATCACAGAAGATGTCATGTTTACTGGACTTCTCAGGATATCAACTTTTTTTTAAGACATCTCAGAGACTTGAGTGGGCGGCGGCGGCTCAACTGGCCAGCGTTGCTCTTGCGTCACGCTCACATTTGTGAACAGCGAAAAGGGTGCCTCACAGGTGATGTGCATCCTGCTGCACATCAGAGTCGGCCTAGCCAAAGAAATTTCACAGCACCACCAAACGGAGTGTTCTCTCAAGATTCATCCGTTGAATCGAATAAAGCCAAACCTGGCAGCGAGACTCAACATTCTGTCAGTGAAACAGCGGAAGGAATCGTCTCTTCTCTTGGGATATCCTCGGATTCTGGGCCTTTGCAAATAGCTGGGGGTACTAGCATAGAAGTCTCGAGTCTAGATAATATCCAAGTCAATGGAATGGAACATGGTAAAGGCTTACACAGACTACGACAAACGCATCGTTTATGCTGCTAGACAATCCCTAAGTTTTTGAGGGTCGATCCAGTTACACTGCGCTAGCCTGCCTGCGTGGCTAAGTGCTTGTGGTGCAGCTGTCGATGGCTCAATAGATGATAGGCAGCATACAGATTCTGACACGCGATATCCGCCGCTGGTGCCAAAGGAAGCACGGATTGTGGAGAAAGGGCGTATTGAGGACAAACTCAGCGAATGCTGTTTGGACTTGGAGCACCTACCTGCAGAGCATTCTGCAGTCCCAGTCAATGCGAAAGGCCACAAGGAGAGAGAGCAGGCTGGCGGAATACTTAACAGAAACTGTGACATGCAGGATGCCAGTACTGAGAACTTCCCTGGTGCTGGGACAGATAAGAGCAAGATTGCACAACCAAAGGAAACTACTGCGGACGTGGCAAGACACGTAGAGAACCCGCTTAGTGCAGATGCAGAGCCCTACGTGGAAGCCGCTGAGTTTCCGCCCCGAAGTAGCAAACAAGTGCACAATGCAGGTATGCAAGAGCGGCTGTTCAGTGCTTAGACTGGAAAAATTTTATGCTGTCCTACCGCCAGAAGGCAGAAAACATGAGAACACGAGACTATCGCAAACGGCTTGAACTGCTCAGGAAAATATTCCCGCACCGGCTAAGCTGACGATAAAACTGACTCCCACGATACTTCCACTGCTCCTGATTATGCTGGAACATTGGCTTCAGGTGCAAATAATTCGTCAGATAAGATCAATGCACGCAGCTGGCCCCTCCATGCCGGCTCTATTGTAAATGAAACCAATGGGGGAGCCGGCTCTGATGAACGTTCCGACCACCTGGCGTTGCTGACTGAATATGGTGGCTCCGGTGCTTGCTCCTCTAGCTCCTGCGACTGGGATGCAGAAGCTGACAGTGTGATGAAAGCCGCCGCCAAGGGTCCCATGCAGCCACAGCCAAATCCCCTGGTCGATGCCTTTCCTGGACGTGCAGTGTTCCTGCATATAAACCCAGGAGACAAATCCTTCACTTCGATGTCAGTCAAGCAGTTATTAGGCTATAGGCCACTTGACTGCTCAAAGATATCAAAAACTACTGCGCCGCAAACACACTGCTATTAAAAAACTAACTAAACGCTTTGCCCTTTCTGCACGCACTACTAGGAGCTCAATTTTGTGGTGTGAACCACGGCTGATTTTGCGTGCATTAAAAGGTGCTATCCGGCTTTAGAAAATGTGTACTCTGTCACAGGGTGGACACAAGCAATGGCATTGTGCCCGACGAATTTCGAACTGATGGCACTGTAGGTAAGGGCTTCCTCGCCTTTTGTGATACAACCACGTTGAGCGGAGCTCTTGTGGGTGTCTGTTCTTTGCGACAAGCAAACATGTCCTTCTCCAGTAGAGCTTCTGCCTCTGTCAGGAGGATAGTCAGATAACTGTCCGGTGTCTTGGAGACACTTCTCTACTTCGCAACAATTGGGGGGCGAAGCCGCCATGATGAGCTTGCAAAGCCCCAACAAATAGTCAGTGAGAACCCCTGTTAAGTCTGTTGAGCTCGATTATATGCTTGTTTGCAGAAGGCACTGCGGATATTGAAAATGATGAAAGTATGGACTTCAGCGATAGGAAGGATCTATTAGAGGTACGGCCACTCAAAGCTTTTGGCCAGTTTAACGCTCTTAGGCAACTATCCTGGCGTTGATACCTTCAAGGTCATGCCACTCTTAGTGAATGAATTTCTTGGCTGAATCCACATTTGCCGCGTACTATTTAAGCACATGGCTTCAAATAAATCCTGCCAGACGATGCACTATGTCTCACCAACATTGATTTTTTATCATCTATCTAATACATTGTAAACTCTGCAGGAGCTCAGAAAAACATGGCCACCCGATTTTGATGGATTGTCCAACCCAAGCCAGGCTGCCTCTGAGTTAGCAGACAGCAGTGAATATGAATTGTTGACGTCTTCTTTGCTGCTCCAAAATATGTTGCAGCTGCTAGGCCCAGAGCGCGTAGTCTTCTTTCCACTTGGAGAGGGTCAGCCGCATCGAATTTCCTTCTTCAGTTCTAACAGAAATCCCGCAAAGTTTTCTCTCATCGGCTAGTGGTGTCTGACCTACGCATTTAAATTGTTGTATAGTCTTTGATGCGTGTAATTTAGACCATGGACAAGACGGCACCGCTTCACTGGAGCAGCAAGTGATAATGGCGGGGCCTCGAGACTCTGCCGCTTTGGAATTTTTAAAAGTCCGCCTCATTGGTGAAGTTGCTTCCCCTGTGCCAGGTGCGGCAGATGTTCAAAATTTAAGTGAGCTTCTGGAGCGAAGCGACTCATCTCAGGATCGAGTAGGTGATGAAGATAACGAGGAAAATGAATTGAGAGGTGGTCAGGTGCCGGAAGGGGATACAGATGTGATCAATTCTACCAACGAGAGCGCAACGAATGCCGACGAAATCGACACAGAGAGCCTTTCAGAAGCTGACGCCACCGCAGTCAAAAGTTCGAAGGTGATAGTCTCTTCCAAGAGAGGTCCAATGGTGGATGACATTTGGGGGCAGCCTCAGCTCGACTCGCAAGCCTGCTCACAGAATGTACTCTTGAAAGATGCTAATGCATCTGAAAACACATTTTCAGACTTGGTAAACACTGATGATTACTCAAAAGGACAAGACCAACAGGAGGGACTTCATTCTACGGAACCGCTGGCAGACTTCAGTCAGTTACTCCAGCGGCGGTGGACATCGTGGGGTCGTTGTTGCCCTGTAACCCTACAGGAGGAGGGTAAGGCAGTTGAAGGACAAACGCGCTATGCGGTGGAGTTTTCTGGGAGGCTCTTTCTCACGGCAGATGAAGAAAAATATGAAAAGTTTCTGCGTGACCCTAAGCGATACGTTGGCAGCCCTCCTTCGCTTCCCCCAACTACATGCGTATATCTCTTCGGACCATCCTATGCTGGAGCTTCAAAGCAGGCAAAAATGCTTAGTCAGACTTACGGATTTGTTGCCGTGGATGTCAGCAAAGAATTGGAGGAGGGATATCGCCGGGTTGTAAAGGAAAGACAGGACCCTCTGCAAAAACAGGAGCATGAGAGTGAAGAGCAGGTGCCCGCCAATCCACTAGAAAAACAATGCCTGGCAGAACAAGAAGCAACAATTCATATGCACGTAGAGTACAGCCATGAAAGGCTGGCTACCGACCTAGAAGCACTGAAAGCACTTCAAAATGCTGACAAGCCCATTGACGGAGGCACAGTAGCGACACAGGGCCCGCGAAGTCCTGCAAATAGCTCGCAGCACTCATTTTCGAGTGCAGGAGCCTCTACCTCGGGACATGCCAATAGCTTCAGAGAGCAGCAAACCCCAAGGGGGTTCACCGAGACTGAAGAATCTCCTTTCAGTCACCAATCTAGCGGTACTAGGGAAACCTTTTTTACGCTTTCTGAAAATGAGGTGCAACAACTGCAAGAAGGCCAAGCCTTAGGTACTAGGAACACACAGTCATATGAATGAGCCCCGGTTGCACAGATCAAGTGTTCATGTTCGAATATTGTTTAGGGGACTCTGATATGCGTAGCTATCTCTTGCTGCTCTTCCGCATGTGGCAGGAGACGACACGGTAGCAAGGCTTATTGTGCACCTCCTTGGTGTGGAGGAAAATCTAAAACGGGCCGATGCAATCGACAAATATAGAGCCGACACGGAAGAATATGAATCAGTAAGTCAATGCATCTGTACGAAGGCCGTCTCTCTAATTCTGTGTGCCTTCACTCTCAATGCAAGAGGCCAACTGTAGGCAGCATGCTCTTGAAATTGATTCTTCTCACCCACAGAGTGCACAGCTGGTATTGCTTCAGACAGAAAACTGCTTTGGGTGACCCGTGGTGGCTGGCGCAGCATTACGGGCAACCAAGCTCCAGTGCAAAGGATGAAGTTGACCTGACAGACGAAATGAATGAAGAGAAGGCAGATGCTGATACCTCTGCAGAGGGTACTGGATATATCAAGGAGGTGCCTCCACCCCCGCCTACCGCTCCTCCGCCATTACTGAAGTTAACAAAGGGCTGTGTGCTCGTACACCTCCCTCCTACGCAAACATTTCTTGAGCAAATGGCTAGATTAGGCATTGTCTTCGATCATCTAATTCATTTGACGAACAACCCACAAGACGTGGCAGAGGCGGAGACCGCAGGGGCGACCCAGTATGCTTTCACAAACTTTGATACCACCTTTGAAGATGACATGGAGCATCCAGAAGTCAATCTTGCGGAGCACGAGTTAGAAAAGGAGGCTGATGAAGCCCTTGTTCTTGATATCGATATGCGCCCAAGTATGCGATCCCTGTCAGAAACCAAGGTTCTAGGGCATGCAAGCATTAAGGTAGAAATATGCGAATTTCGACGCTCTCTGCGATTATGGTGTAATGGCATTCTCTCATACGAATAGCGGGCAAACTTCAGGGTGGTGATGAAGGCCATTGCCCAATCCTTTAGTGCTGCGGTGGAGTTCAGGGAAAATTGAGGCATTACTCTCAGACTCGCTGAAGCATCGCCGAATCCGGCAGCTGGTGGACCCGTTTTTACTAAAACCAGATCCACCCGAGTGTGTGACTGATCCCCCATACCTTGCAGAGGTGGGCCTGGCATTTTGAGCAAACGCTAGCGTCAAGCAGCTTCCCTTGATCAAACGTCTTTCCAAATATTGAAGCCCTTAGGCTTGGCCTTAAATCCAGATGCGTTTGGAATGTAGATATACTCTCGTATAGAGCAAATAACTTCTTTCGAGCACCCTCCAGAAGGCGAGGAGTGGGAAACTGCTTCCAAGAGTTTTCCATTCCTTCCGCCCCTGCCACTGGTACTTTACGGTGAGTTCTGTACCAGGTCGCTGTTCCTAATCTTCCCATGTGGCACATGGCGTTGTCATTGCTTGACCATTCTATCAATTTCTTCCTGAATTTTGTCAGCTTAGCATGCATCTGCACAGCAAGGCGAGGAGGGAGGTGCGCGGTTTTGGACTGTTTGTGCGCCCACTGCGCAGGGGACTTTGGGGAGTACTGCCCTGTTGCACTTCGTGATGAGCGCTGGCTGCTACCAGGGAAGCCCCAGCTCAGCCTGCAGGTACGGCAGCGGGTGTATAATTTTTTTGACGAGGAAAAGAAGTACAGGTTTGCTGCAGACACCCCGCGTTACCTGCCATTATTCGGCAAGTGTAACGATACATGTGAAACAGGCAACGTTGAGGTGCCTCCCCCCCGGTGAGTTGACATCGCTACTTATTCCTTCCTAAAATTTTTGAACAAGCGAGAAACGCGCTTACTTGGATAATGGCATGTGCAAAGGAAACTCCTTTCTTGTGGGATGGCATTTCAGCATCGCGTTCTTGGGATCGCCAGGTTCGGAGGTGGAGAAGCACTTGGTGCACTTGAGCAAACTGTACGCTGTGCCTATCCTCGATTTGCCATCGGCTTTTTCTAAGGCTTTCAAATCAGAGCTGTTGGTGCGCTGGAGGCAGGCAAAACAAAAAGCTCTGGAGGCCCCTGAAAGCCTACTTGGAAACGGCCAGCGCACAGACGATAAAAATGAACACGCCCTGAGGCAGCTATCTTCGTTAACTCGGAGCAATGTGTTTGATGCCGATGATGATGAATTAAAGCAAGCATGGCTTTCTATGCAGCAAGAAACGCAGCAAACAATATATCTGGAAGCCCTTAGAAGTGTCCTTCACACCGAAATAGGGCCTACCTTCATACACGGTCAGATGTTTAAGCACATACACTGTGAACCCCAACAAGGAGCAGGTTTCCCTCACAGTGCTGGATATTCATATACACTGTGAAAGTGTAGGGCATATTGAGAGGAGGGCGCTGCCGCCAACACTTAAGGAAGCACAGGCTCCTATGGCTTGTGGTCTGCCACTGTCACTGGCAAGACACTGCCACACTGTAGTGCGTATCAGTTTTGCCATATGGGTGGGGTTTCATCAGCTGGCGTCGCTGAAAATCCTCTATTTCCTCATGAAGGAGCAGCACTAGGTGTAGATGAGACCGAGTCCTCAATAAACATTGGCGACGTGATGGACAAGGCAGGGAGACTCCCAGACTGCGTTGTCATATTCTTGTGTGCCACCCATCACTTATGTACCCTGAAAAGCAGCCGTAGTAGTAGCTCTTTGGAGCCCTTGATTCCTCATAACACCGCAGTAATTTTTATTTTGGCGATGCAGATGCACAGACGAAGTAGCACTTTCTCGTTGCTTGGATCTCAAAAAATTCAGTAGTGAAGCTGAGAGTGCGGAGCAAAGACAGAATTCGACAAGGAAACAGGTCTGCGATAGCACCATGACGCGAGCTGTTCTATCCACGATTGAGCTTCAGCAGCTACTTCACTACCGACACTGGCAGGAAACGAACTGTGGGTTCAAGCTGATCTGAGTCTGCAGAGCCAAACAAATGGAGAGAACGCTTTTTCCGCTGGTCCTTTTGCTTATGAAAGCAGCGGTAGCGAGGCATCTGATTTCGGCGACGGAGAGGAAGGGCCCACGTCGGTCTTGTCATCATTAACAAAAGCTCGCAAGGCGTTTCTCGAAGAAAAAGCCGCGCGCGATGCAGTCCTTTTGCAGAGTGCAAAGTCTTTCGCCATGGCGAGGGTGCCCATTCTCACTGTTCGATCGGAGCTCTGCGAAGGCACGCTTTTCGCTGCCGTCACGCATTTCTTGGAGCGATTCATGAACCATAGAAAGAGTCTTATCCTTAGTTCTCAGTGCATACCACTTCCCAAGGTAAGAAGCACTGCAATACATTGGGTCAAAGAAAATGGTCCAAAGATTGGCTTGCTTTTTTGTGGAGGCTCCTGCCCAGCTTCACTGCGATAAGACCTTTCCTGCGTTAAGTGGCTCGATGCATCGCCTTCTCACGCCGAGTGCGTGAAAGTGATTTAATAGTTTTTGAAAGTAGCATCCTGACCAAACCGCCTTAGTCCCGAGAAACACGAAGCAGACCGTGTGTGCGGTGCCGCAATGAGCCTGCAGTCCTTCTACCAGAAACTCCTCCATGCTCGGGTAGCAAGGCTCTCCAAGTACCAAATTTGCTCGCCGATGGATGTTGATGCAATGGTGCGCTAAAACCGTTCGCTCAGGTGGCACAGATCTATAACCTAGGACCTAGTCACTCTCTGGAGCCATCACTGCGCCTGGTAGAATATGGCCTACCCGTTTCTCTAGTTTCAGTGTCGTTCTCTCGCTTTTTCTCTCGTTCAGAGACTCACAGACTGTGCAAAATACCCTGTCCTCCTTCGAGACAGCATTTACTTCCCCGCTGATAACGAGCAAGGTCGTCGCCTCTTCTGCCAGATTCCCTCAAAATTCTTGAATGGCACGAATCCACCACCAAGGCAATACGTCCCTGCATGTGTTTTCCTTGGCCCACAAAACAGCAATTGCAGCCAGGTCAGCCGAAAAACAAGTGGGCGCCCTGTATGCAACTGCCATATTCTTGCCGATTAACCGTCATAGACAAAAGTACACCAATAGGAGCCTTGCTAGAAGTGAGTTTGCCCGTTCCGGCCACAGTTTCGCGTAAGAGCTCCACAGCAGCGAGAAACGGCCCTTCAAGATATGTGCAAGAGATTTTTAACAGGTAGCAAGGGAAGTTGCAGAGTGGTGTGGAGCGCTTCACGTTAGTCTACCCCAGCTGATACAGGAAACGGTAACGTCTTCTGTTCTGTCCAGCCTCGGAAGGCGTATTGTAGAAGATCTGCAGCAGTAAGCCAATGGGTAGAGGCCCTTTACAAAGTTGGAGCGGTTGCATTCTCTTCTATGCAGTGCCTGGGACAAGAAAGTAGCACATTTCTTTCTCATGTCCCTACTCTTCGTTTCTCTTATGTTCAGAGGCAAGGCTGCAGCCGCATGCTGCTTATGCCGCCTCATGGCAGCTCGTCTCCGCTCTCAAACGGCCAGGCAAAGGGGTTTTCTACTTGATGGACGGGGTTCTGAGGGCGTAAGGGTTTGTCAACTGATGGAACTGCTGCAAGCGGGTTCACGGAAACTCACAAGTCTTGCGCGGAGACACCTCCGAGAGCACGATCGTGGAACTGCTTCAAGCCTCACAGAAAGGATGATCTCAACAGGAGATAGCCATCCACTATGCGATAAAGAACTGGGGGACGAAATCTCGTCCTTGGAGCTTGCGCAGTCTCAAGAGAATTGGACAGACTACAACGAGGCTGACTCGAAAGGGGCAGGTAACCCAATTCCAAATTTCTGAACAGACATGGGGACGTCTTCAGGAGTATTCAGTAACCTTTCACCCTGTCACAGCTTACCAAATCAGGACCAGCCCCTTCTGACCCTCAGGTGCAATATTCAGGTCTGACAGGTGTCAGAGCTGGCGAAATATCTACCAGTTCTCCTTCCGCAGGGGCTTGTCAAGGAATGCATGAGTCTCCCCCACATAGAGGGAAGCATGATTGCCCACCAAAGAAAAGCGTAAGCCCTCCAGCTGAAGCGCTCGAGGGTATACGGCAGCAAATTGATATTGTCTTCGTGTTCGAACCCACACAAGACGATCCACTTGTGGAGGGCCGGGCAACCCATGACGGTGGTCCCCAGTTGCCGAAGTGCAGCGCAGCAACTGCGCGTAAGTCTTGCTGCCTGGCACACCAAAAATAGGGACTATTTTGAGGGTGTTTGCAAAAGATCAAGCAAGCGATGCAGAACCGCAGTGGGGGCCGCTGCGTAGCAAAGAAGCTACGAGTTGTTGAAGCGTGCTGCAGGGCTATTTCACCTCCATGGAGACGATCGCGATATTATTTTGCACCCAGAACTAGCTGCCGAAAGGCGCCTGCGTCAAGAAGAGGCAGTGAAGCAACAGGTGGAAGAATTTCGCTCCCTCGGTGTTCGAATAGTGTAAGCGAGCGTGTACACCAGTTGCTCAACTAGTTGAAGGATAAAGGTGGCTGAGCGCTCCTGAAATACAGGACTTTGCCGTCTTAAACCGCACATTAACACACGCGCCGAGCACCAGGTGCCAGCTAGCATTGATGAGCTTCACTATGGACGTCACGAGCGCCTCATGGGCTATCCTGGCTTTTTAGGTGCTGCAATGCGCCTTTCCGGTGAATGCTCACAGGACTGTTCCTGCTGGAAAATCCGCATGGATGCAATTTGATGTCGTACAGCGAGAGATCGAGGTTAGACTCGCTCTACAGGCCTTCGAAAAGTCTCAAATGTTTCCTAGAACGCATTTCGTGGGCTGTGCCGGAAGCGAGCGGCGATAAGTGCTTGCCACGTGTGCCTTCCATTGCGCTGCAAAGGGAATGCTCCGTCGGCGGCACAGCTACGAACGCCTGAAGGCCCAAGGACTGGCAGCTCGGTGCCCAATTGAGAGCAAAGTGCTTGAAGCCAGCACAGGTCTCCTTTCTACGTACTGTCCAGTTTGCTGGACTATCAATGTGAGGCAACTATAATCTTGAGGCTCCTGGTTAAGGGCATAGATCTATAAAACAGTGCCTGCTGCATCTGTTGTTTTTCTCCGAGCGGAAGTATAGAGCTAGTTACCCATCCGTCAACATTGTTTGCATCCTTAGTTTTGGGTGATAGACGGTGCACATAGTACTTCCGAGCCACGAACACAGAGTGCTTGGCTATTGGCTACTCCTGAAGTGCTGTATCACTTTTTTGAGGTGTGCGCGGATCCGTAGAACGCACTGAGAAATTGCAGAGATACTCCGCAGTTCCAGGTTGAGTTCAGGGCCACGCGGTACTTTTGTTGTTCCGAGGTACATCAAGAGGTGCGTCATTATTTTGGCAGCAGGCGAGTCGCAGTGACACATAACCGTCATATTGCTTCTCCTGTCATTAAAAGCAGCAGACATTTATGCGTAGACCGTTGACTGTAGCAAGATTGTTGCAGGTGGGAGCAATCGACCGAAGGACGTGTTCTAAAAATATATGGTCTGCTGCAGCACTTTATTTGCAAGCCTGGGGATTACCTGCAGCAACGCCTTCCGGATTTGCTTCCACGCCGACTCAGGCCCGACGAAGTAGAGGACAGCAACGCCCTCGCTGCACTGGAACTGAGAGGCTATTGCCCTGTCACTCTGGGTAAGATGAGAGCTCCTTTGCCGCTCGGCACGCAAAGGCTCACATATGCTCCGGTAAATACCTTCAATGAAGCACAGGCCTTGAACGTGCCCCTAATGCGTCATTAAGCCTGGTAAATAACATCTACCGCAGGCCCGTCAGCTGTAGGCTTCAGCAGGAAAGGCAAAGAAATTTTACACCGGACAGCACATTGTGTGCAGTTAATTGCGGGAACCTTGTACAAGGAGACCGGCGTCTGCTCATTAAATACGGAGATCAAACTTTTTGCTTCGCAAATGAAGACGCTTTGGGGCTCTTCTTGCTCTACCCTTCCGGTTACGCATCCCGTGCTCAGCTGCCTTCGAAGCTTACTCCTGTCCAGAGGCTAGGCCATCCCCCAAGAACCCTTGCCAGCATAGCCCAGGCTGCACGTGAACGGTGCATGCAGCAAGCAAGGGCTCACGGGTACCCTGATAACCCACTGATGGCTGAAGAGGGTATCGCTGAACTTCGTGACCAGCTAAAGGATGCTCAGACGTACATAGAGGTGGGGAAAACGATCACAAGCGTAGATGGCTAGTAACGCCTATGAGAATGACGAAATCATTATTTGGCGCACTCTGGAGCTGCTGCAAAGCCCTCTCGTGCCATTATTTTGCCGCCTTCCAAGGCTTGGCGACTTATTCTATCGAGGGCTGAAGGACAGAGAGAAATGACGTGGTACCACCAAGCAAAAAGACACTGTAGCAAATGCTACATTATATGGGCTCGTAGGTCTCAAGTTTGGATGTCATAATACAAGCACTTTCTTTCGCCGGTGAAAAACGCCTGTTACATCCCCAGTACAACCAAATCTCCAGTACAGTACGGCTAGTCGCACATTTCATCCGAGCAAAGAACCCTTTGATTGACGGTAAAGCCAAGACGGAGTCAGAGGTTGCTCTTGACGCCTTTGTCAAAGGTATGAATTTTCAGTGAATGCATTTGCTTATTTGCGGTAGCTGCATTTTAGGTAATGTGATCTGCGAAACCTGCGTAGCCTGACCGTCTGAAAACTGTGGAGACGAGGATTCGCTTCCAAAGAAATGAGCATAAGCTTTAACAGTGTTCCTTCTCGGGATATCCTCACAACATGCTCTTTTGCGACGTTTTGAAATCCTAAAGTGCTGTTTGAAGGCAAAAATGTGAATTGGTGACGGGTGAAGTAGTCTTGAAAAGGGGGACAGTGCGGATACCGTTGATTAAATTTCGCTGTTGACAGATTGTGGGGCTCTCGGTTTCTGGACCTCAGACTGTGAAACTCCTCTTCAAGCCCGTAGAGCCATCCTGCACCTGCACTGTCACAAGGCAGAGAAAGGAGAGTGCTACCTCCCGCCTGAGGAGCTCAAGGTCTACAGCGCGGAGACAGAGGAGACACGCGGAAAGCAGTGGACGTATCTCAGCGAACAAATGTATTCCAGGTTAACCAAAAGACTAGATCACCTCCTTTGTCTGGATTAGCAGTGAAGCCATGTGGGCAAAGTGCTACGGAAACGAGAGCTGATATTGATGGTGTCACACATCCAAAGTGCTTTGCAGTGTGTTTCAAGTCAAATAAATAGACGCTGGTTTTCCGCAAAAAGCTAGTCCCGCATATGCTTGTCGTTGGAAACAATCGTTGCCTGCCTGATTGGCATGTGACCCCAAGGAAATTAAGGAATACCGACCCTTGCACAGTCACCAAGCAGCGATTCCGACGTGCCGCGGCTCAAATATCGCTAGACATGCCTCTACAAGCTAAAAGTATCCAGGATCTCACGAGAAACTGCCCGGGATTGGCACCGAACACCTCTATAGAAAGGTGCTATCCGTAGCCAAGCTTTTTAGTTCGGTGTAAAGTGTGCGGCAATACGAATAAAAGTACGGTCCTTTGACCAGAAATAGTGTCAAAACCTTCAAAAATAGCTCGTCGGTAGTAGGATATGCGATCCCTTGCACTGGGGTTGCATAGATGTCCTCCATGTGCTCCAGCAGTAGAAGGCCCAATAGCGGCTAGCCATAGAGACCGAGTCTCGATTACTCTTCTGAGGTTCTAGTAGCTACGGGGATAGTATCACATCTATGGACGGAAGATTGTGAATGATACTCCTTTGTATAGCTGTTGAGGCCACCTCAAGAGGGTACACTTTAGAGGAAATCCACTTGCAAGAAGAGAGAATGGACACATTACCTAAACGGTTAAGAGAGCTTCAACCATGGAGCACCGACTTGCCGTGCATGCCTTTGCATGGCATATTTCTCTCACTAACTGACCACCACTCAGGAAGCACGACGTTTGACAGCGTCTGTGCGTGCAATAACGGAGGACCCGGTGTTCGACGGAATAGTACATCTCCGTGCACCAAGCCATCAGCGTGGCTGTGCACTACCAGATGCGCTTTGCATCTGTATTATGTATGGTCTTCTCAGTGCACTAGAATGTGTTAAAAGGTTTTGGGGGCTCGTTCATGTTATAGGGGCAGGGACAGAGAAATTGAGTACACCACTGCCAGGCGCAGCGGGCTGACCACACTAGGTTGGGGAACGGCTGTGGATCTGGGCCGACAGTTCTCCAGTGGTCTCTTTCAATGAAAGCTTTTAGGCAAAACCACGCTCTTTTAAATTCAACTTAAGCATTATTCTGAGGATCCTGTACTGTTGCACGAGTTTGAGCAGCTTTTACGCGAATTCTGGTCCTGTCACGAGGCACGAAGCTGCGTCCTCTCGGCTGTCGGGTTTGACCCCGATGCTCCACGCGCGCAGCAGCTTCACCCTCCACGGTCCAAGTTGTGCCGCCCCCTTTGGTTTCACCTTAAGCATGGAACACCGAATCTGGAGTTTCGACTCTTACGCAGAGTGAAATTCGTTAGCAGTAGGCCCTGGAATCCCAACAACAGCCCTGGGGAAGTCAGTAGCGGCATCACAACTCACTCGGGTGTGCCCCCACGGCCACGTCGGTCTTCCATCGACGAACATTAGAACCACCTGCTTTTTTCCTTTCCCTCAAATTCGCTTTAGCATCTCATTTCTTCGTCTAGCCTACGCTGCCCAGCAACTCACTCTGCCTCGCGGCTTGAGACCGCCATCGCCTCGCTGCTCCACCGCATCATTACCCAAGGCTTCACGAACAAACAGCCAACAAACCGGGGACCTGGCAGTGCGAGAAGATGGGTTACACACGGGAAGCCTCTGGCTACCAGCGGATGCGTCTCACTGCGATGGCAGCTCTCTACGTCGCTGGCTCTATCGCAGTTCAGGCCGAAGAAAACCCCTGGGGCGACTCTATGCAGAAATTTAACATTCCTTATGCTCACGGTGAGCTAGATTTTCTTTGCCTGTTTGATAAGGTACAATGCAACGTAGGTGCAACCGAGGTAGTTGGTGGCAAGCGGTTCCATACGATCCCTAGAGCATTCGTTGAAGTATCCCCACGAGCCCGCGTGACCCCTCGACAGTTTGATATGCGTTCTGCACCACAATTTCGCAGGCAGCGGCGTGTATGTAGATTTGGGCAACTCGAAAACCGTGAACAATAAGTGGTACAGGGAGCCAGCCGGTCGCTGTCCAGTGATGGGGAAGGTGATTAATCTGCTGCAACCGACAACTGATAAAAATATCTGGCCCCGTGACTATTTGGAGCGCGTTCCAACGAAAGGTAGTCAGCAGGACACCACGCCCTTAGGGGGTGGCTTTGCTATGTGGGAAACGACCCCAACCAACATTAGCCCGTTGACGCTGGAGGAGCTGCAGAGTATGGCCGAACGGCAGCGTGCAAAGAACACTCCAAACGAACTTGCCACTAAGATGCTAGAGAGTGTTGTCGATAACCACGGTCTCTGTGCTTGGTGGTCCTGGGTGACTTTTGCTTCAAACTCAAGCAACAATCTAGATGACAAATACCGCTATCCCTTCGTGTGGCAAGAAGACAAACAGACATGCACCCTTCTTGCCGTGGCAATGCAGCTCCTGGAAGGCAATGGGACCTATTGCACCGCTGGAGATGAATCCCCTCAGCTGACTTGGTACTGCTTCCATCCAGAAAAAAGCAGCAGTGCTGTGTCCTACAACTCCCCCTATGTCCGAACAGACCACGCAACTGCATGTCCTGAGAAGCCCATCAATGGTGCGCACTTTGGAGTTTGGAATGGCAGTTCCTGCGCGCGCATCATTCCACGACTGAGAAAGAAAGTCAGTGAACCATCTGAGTGCGGGAAGGCCGTCTTCATAGCTTCGCCTTCCGACAATCCTACCAAGTACACGCAAGGACCAGACACTCAGGGTGTCAGAGAAGAATACCAGTCAGGGGTAGTCACTACTTGGCCCGTGGGATCACCCTCAGCGGATCAGCCACGCAGCCGCGGTGTGGGTATCAACTACGCCAACTGGTACTCCGACGGCTACTGCGAGCTGTATGACGCAGTCCCCAACTGCTTTACGAAGGCCAATGGCCAGCTTTCTTTCACTTCTCTCGGATCAATCGATCCTGAAACCGCAGAGCTTCCCCCTTGCACCGCTGCTTCTGAAGGATGGGAGCTTTCGGTCTACTGCTCGTGCGGAAATGGGGAAGTCATCCCATGGAAATGTGAAAATGGAGAATGGGTTGGAGGAAGCAATGAATGCACCTGTACGCCATCGCCAAACATGGTTCTCTGCTCATTCCAGCCTAACAGCGGACCTGTATTCCCCAGGACCACTTCATGTCACAGGGCCAGCAGCGTTAGCCCTGGGTAGCATTTGCTATAGAGCTTCGCGGAGCGTGGTTGCTGGGCTCTTTGCTTGTGTCTTCAGGCAAAAACGTCTTAGGAGCCGCCCTAGGTATAGGCATTGGCGTGCTTATTCCCATTCTAGCCATCTCGGGATATTTCCTGTATAAACGGTAGGTGTCAGCACATGGCTGCAACGCTAGCCACCCCACCGGCTGAGAGAACCCAGCTACACATCACAAGGGGGAGGCTAATTTGTAAATAGAGCTCGCAGATTGAGGTGAATTGATCTGTGTAGCATCATTGTTCACGTGCTAGTTCTGTACGTTACTTTGGAGAGTCGGCAGCCACGCATTTGGCTTTGATGAGTATAAATGTCTGCTCATGTGCACCGTCTGCTCAGTAGCCAGAATAAGAATCAGCAAACCCCGGAGAAGAAGCGTCTGCTTTCTACCGATAGTGATAAGAACGAAGAATTCATGAAGTCAGGGCAACGTGAAAAGCATAAGCAAAGTGACCTGGTGCAAGAGGCAGAACAGTCTTTCTGGGGAGGTGGGCTCAATACTCAACCGCTGCTAACTCCCCTAATATGTAGCTCCGGAGCGGTCATTAATTCAAGTAAAGCGTATCACTCAGCCATAGTAGCCACCAGAGATGACATTTCCGTAAACTGTTTGCTGTGCTTTGGCCTCTGGCGTGATGATCCTTTTTGCAGAGACTGGGCAGGATCAAACAAATGTAGTGGTTGATGGAGCCCCCCAAGAAGCATTCTACTAAGCGTACAGCAGCTTGAACGCAAAGGGGCAGAAGCATACCATCCCTAGAACGCTCTCTACGCGAAGGCCGCAATACGTGGCCTAATGGACACTGTCGGTGTCCGCATGCGGTGCAAAGGTTCGCTGAATCCTGCCGCGCGTATTAAGGTTTATTTGGATCAAAATATGAAAAAAATCTATGGAAGGTTTTCCTGCACTCCGACATTCTGTACAGAATTAGCTCCAAGCTATTGTTCAAGCTGTTTTCTGCGAATACGGGCAACGGTTGGAGCCAGTGGAAATAGCGGGATACGACTGTTTGGGTATTAAACCGCACTGAACGAAGCCTGCGGTTAGGAGGGCTCTCAACTAAGCAGTGTGATCGCGGTACACACACAGAGAGAAAACATACATTCGGTTTGGACAAAGTGCCTATTTGCGAAGCGGTTAGATGCATGGGTGAACATTTTGCAAGCGAGTAGCTGCCTAGCATTAGGCTGTGGTTGCCTCACAGCCTGGGAGGATAGATAGGCACACAGATTTGCAGTAGATAACTAATATTTTACAAGTATCATGGAGCGGGATACTCGCAGCATAAGGACGTTTAAAGCGTATTCATTAGTGGTGCTTGCGGTGGACAGTGCACTTCGATTTCTGTCCAGAGCGACGACTCTAAAAGTCAACTTGGTGGGGGAGCCTGCCGACTCGATTTCGAGACGAAAGACTGTTCCAAGCGCTCTTGCTGCTCCTGATGAGAGTAGACAGGTACTTCTTCCTCCTGCACGCTAAGAAGTGTGAGGCAGCCCTGGTCGTCTCCAACCACAACCACTGTCGTTGTTGTTGCATACCTGAGGAGAAAGCCCACCGTATTCTAGGGAATAACCGCATGCATTCGCTCCCTGCTTTTGACACCGTAGTGGTAAGAGTGTCTAAACGCCAAAAGTGGTTATTGATGAGGACGAGGCGCCGCGCGCTTCCAACCTGAGTTGCGTTAGACGCCGTTCTATGCGTTGGCCTCCAACAGAAGGATAAAGAACGGCTACAGGATCAGATATCTGCTCCCTGCAGTTCCAGAGCTCCACCCTCCCATCGTCAAAGGTACAACAGAACGCAGTTGAGTCGTAGGGGCTCCTGAGCCACAAAGCATGCCACAACGCAATGCCTGCCAGGTAGAATGTTGGTGTAAACCTTCAAAAGACGAGGTGTGTGGTGAGCCAGGCTACAGAAAAGGGCGCTTCTAAACGTAGTTAGACGAACCAACGAACATCCGTCACTGCGCTAGGCTCTTCGGTTGACTTGTATACAGCCGCTTCCACAAGGTTTCGCGAGATCGACCATAGCCGGACTGTCCAGTCCGAGGAACAGCTCAACAAGAAGTGGGGGGAGAAAGGACTGATTCGCACCTGAAATATTTAGTGACAGCGCATTGTGGAAGCGTTGAGCACGCACTATTTGTTCCCTTCGCCGTCCAAACAACAAAATGCTCTGCAGACCCTATAGAACACCAGAAGTCTTCGTGGCTTCACCACGGAGCTTCCTTTGGCCGCTCGAACAAGTCAATACGAAACTGTGATTCTTTAGCTGAGGACACTTAGTCTTCTGCAGCTAGGGGTAGCACTTCTAGACAGCTTGGCGACACGTTGCAGCACATCAGCGCCTGAGGGCCGCCCCCCCACCCCCTAGCATTTTTCGGGTGGTCAAATAAAATCAAGCACGGAGTTCTCTGCCATCTCAGCATACTCTAGATAATAGGAAAGCCGTAACATTAAGAGAAGTGCACATGAGGCGAAGGCAGGTAGATTCAGGGTCTAGCGCCGTACAGAAGTAACAGGACCCTTGTGGCCGTAGTACGTGTCCAGAAACTGCTCATTGTACGCTAACGAGCACTTGTGTATAACGCCTTCGTCTGTTGAGACGAAATATGTGTTATTGTCAACTTTGTCTACTTCCAAAGACAGTCCAGCTGCGTAGTGGAAGAAACGGTTTCGCTGTGCCTCCTTGGATACCGCGAGCTGCATGTTGCAGGGGTTTTGCGTTCGTCTTATGGTCAGAGCCAATGAGTGCACAAGGCCTGCAACAGAAAGCACTGCATAGGCCCTGGAGTAGAAGTGAAGAGATTCTGAGCGTTCGTCTCGCCTTTGTGTTGTAAGGCCTTACTAGAAGGGGTCTTTAACTGAACTGCGCATTGCAGGAAGCGGTAACTGTGTGTTTTGTTGCATAGACGGTCAATATACTGGCTCTTCGCTAAGGGTTATCAAGTGTGGATGAACAGCGAAAGAGCTGGCGCCTCTGGAGAGCCGCAGGATGCGAATGCCGGCCATTTTATGAGTCATCAAGGGCTCTTGCCTTTCTGCAAACTCCACTGGAGTACGTGCCCGTCCCCTCCAGTAGTCAAGAGGCCTTCATTGCCATCTTTGTAGAGCCACTTCAAGTCCCACACTGTATCTGAGTGCTGACAGCCCTAGAGGACACCACATCATTGTGTGCGCAGGGAGCAGCAGGGGGTGAAGTGGCTGCAGGCACCCCAGTGGTTCACCATCTGCTACCCCAAGGGAACCTTTGGTTTGTTCTTTCTGTGTGCAGTTAGTCGGGCTTGAATGGCGTAGGGACAGAGCTATTTTTACACTGAGCAGGCAGGGGCCTGCAAGAGTGGGCAGCCCACCAGGGGCCCCTCCGTAGTGGCGCTGTGGAGGACGGGCTGTTCAGGGGAGCAACGAAGGTCCCACACGCACACCCCGCCATCAAGCAAACCCCCTGAAAAGTTCCGCAACGCGAATTTTGTCTTCTTTGAATGGGGCCGCAGGCGCTGAGTTCTCGGTACTCCAGGCAAAAGTAATGAATGGGGAGTGAGTGCGTATGAGAGGGAAGCATAGGAAAAGGGGGAAAGGCATCACAGCCACCGTTGGGATTTGTTCACCAGCTAGGAGGTTCGGCTGAAGAGAGCTGAAGTCCAAGCTGGTAACTCCACACTTGCAGCCAATGGCTCGTACGGGGCGCAGAGGGTTAACGATTGACCACAACAAAATTTTCCCTAAAAGAGACCAGCAGTGCATTTCTTGGGCAACCTTGGTTCATAGCGAAGCTTAAAGTGGCTCTCTTACACCTACAGGAGGCGCTCTTGTAGACCTATTTGACTGAGGTAAGGAAATCTTTGCTTGTGCGAATGAAAGAGGCTCCCCACTTGTGCGCCGCGCACGCCTCTCGTGTACCTTTACTGGGGGAGTCTCTTTTATTTGCATACGCGTGCCCTTGTGTTGCACTTTTCTGGGATAGAGTAAGTCGCCCTTTATGGTCTCTTGTCCGCACCAGATCTTGCCGAGTTGAGGTTGCAAGGCGAGCTGCTGTACGCAGCGCAGAGTGTGTCTTTGTGAAGTGGGTGGTATGCTATGGCGCGCACGCCATGGCCCCCAGCTATCAGGCGAGCGTCGAAGTCCATCAGCTCTTTCAATTGCTTTCTGTTTCCCCCGCCACCTAGTGGGAAAGTACAGCAGTGGCACCAAATGCAGTAGCAGCTGCTGCCCGAAGTCACCAGTAAGGGGTGCTGTCAAAGGGAGGAAGAAGAGAGGCAAGGTAAGCGCTGTTCACGAAATTTGTGCAAGAGCAGCTCGAATTATAGCGGTTATTACAAGCATTTCACCGACTAAACATACAGCTAGCCGGGAAGCCACTGATACACAAAACCATGAAGGGTAAAGAATCACAAATAATCCGCGAGGAGCGAACTGTGAGAAGGGCACGGATGGCTTTGTTGCATGTGGCAGCTACTCGCTGCACATCGGTCTCACTTGGTTCCTCGTCATCGGAGTCAGACAGGATTTGCGGCTCCACGAGGACCTCCCCTAGCCCAGACATAGCTACAGCAGCAAAGGGTTGCAGAACAAGACAAGTAGTGGCCGCAACAAAGCACGATGACGCCAAGTGAGCTAGTGAAACTGCGTCCTCTAGTTCCCAACTGGCCACCACATTTAAGTTAGCGCTTTTTATAATGCCGTAAGCGCTTATATATTTTTTTCTGTATGGCGGCACGTAAAGGCCACAGGGTCTTTGTACAAGAAATATGCTCGTAGGCAGAAAGACAGCAAGGCATAAAATGGGCCTGGCGTATTTCAAAACGGAGGAGCCGGAGAAGAAGGCAGCGTAGGGCAGCGAGGGAGGGAAGAGACGATAAGTAGGAAATACGATGTGAATGCGAATAAGAAGGAAAGGGACAGAGGCAGGCAGCGCTAAAGGGAGGCCCTGACTGGCAACAGAGTATATTTGCAACACTCTGGCCCCTCCTCGAGGTTGTCTCGCGTCAACTGTACCCCTGTCTGCTAAAGCACGGGAGTAGGGCAGAGAGTCCAGCGGCACCTTCTCATCAAGCAACAAACCAAAAGTAAGCCGTAAGCAGCAAGCAGGGGCAAGGCCGTGTATTATTTGTTCTCTGCCCTGTTGACTCACGACTCGATGCGAGCTCAGCTACAACAGAGCCAGTCGTTTCTCCGTAAAGGGGGTCTTGGAGCAACCTCTGCGGTTTGAAGTTTCTATATGCCATTTGTTGACGGTGAAACTGCTTCTGACAAAGGGCCCTTTCGACCCGTAGCGCCGCCACATCCAAGGATTTGGGCAACGGCCCTTCAGTGGCTGTCTGCGCCAGTCGTACAAACAAAGCCGGCGCCAGCAAGTGCCGCAGCTAAGCCCAATAAGTGTTGCATTAGCTCGACGCTGCATGTGTCTTAGTGACGGGATTTTCCTGCAGCAGCAGCAATGTATGTGTCCGACTAGCGGGTGCAGTTAAGGAGCTGCCGCAGCAATAGTGCGCACCTGCCAAATAGAGTTCAGGCTCGTAGGCTGAACGGACACATCTTGAGAGACGCTCTCGGAACCCTTTGCAGCAGAGGTAGTCTGATCGTTATCGCTCAAAGAAGGCCGGTGGGGCTTGCGAGGTAAGGAACGCAGTGTAGGGGGGTCTGTGAGTCCAGCAATAGCAGCATGAAACAGCTCAAAAAGAAGGCGCAACAGCAACAGCAATGACAGCACTTGCAGAGCGACACCCAAGGATCGGGGTAATAGTCCACAAGAGGGCTTAGCAGATGAACATGCCCGTACGGTACTAAATGCAAGAGCTGTACGACTGCCTACTTTTTCTCGCTTCGCCCCGGTGCCCATCCTGATGGGGAGGCTGCTTTTGGCTCGAAAAGACAATGCCCCCTGTCATTCTGCCAGTATCGCGCGTCCTGACTCGTTGCGAGGCCTGTGAGGGAACAAGGGAGTTGTCGAGCTTGCGGGAGACTGAGGCTTGTGGAGATTTGAGGGAGGGCCCCTGGACGCCATCAAATTCAGTGGCAGCCAGGATCCTGTCTCGCGGAGCACAGACTTTCCAATCAACCGAGAGCAGAGTGCCATGTGCTAGCAGGCCTTCCTGGGTAAATTCCTCAGCTGTGCGTCTCCAAGTATCTCTGAAGTCATCCATTCTAAGAAGTGCTCGCCAAACACCGAACGCCAAAAAGGCCGTAGCTAAAATGGGGATCTAAACAGCTCGCTTTTCACGACGTCAGCGTAGGAGCAATGCCAGGAGCATCAGCGCGAGCAGCAGGGAAGTGGTGAGAGAAAGAGGGCTTTGCTGGTGCTGCAACCTCACAGAGTGCGTGGCTTAGCAGCTAATGCGTCATGTATGGCCGCTGGTGAGGCCTCCACTCCTTGCGATATCGGTTCTTGTGAGCCTGTACCAACAGCCTGAAGTTTCTGCTGAGGGTTGAGGGTTTGGGTGTGAGCGACCTTAAATCTGCCTGGGATGCTGTGTCTAGAGGACTTCAGCTCGGCGTATACTTTGTTTCTCTGGCATATTTGCCTGTGCTCTTCAGTTCCAGGAACTGTACAGGTTGAGGGCCGCACAAACAAAAATTGAGTCGCTGTCTCTTCCAGCTCTATCCTGACGCTTCGCGGGGGCGTCAGCGCGGGAGCAGTCTTTTGGGTAGCGTAGTGGGCAAGCTCTGAGTAGAAACAAGGGCTGGAATCGAAACGAATATCAGGCAAGAGTACGGCGGGTATATGCATTGGGACTTAAAGCGCAAAAGAGTCACGACAGTGCAAAGACAGGTTGGTCCAAGGCATCCGCCGGAAAAAGGAAGGTGAATTGAAAAATTTTGTAGTGGTTCATCCACAGCCACATTCGCCTTTGTGTTGGCATACGGATATATGTGCATGTGCATCTTGCCTTTGGGGTTGAGGCCGCGTTGGGAGGAAGGTGTTGCTGCTGCGTCATCCTGCGCTGCTTCTCCGGGCAGCTGCAGAGCTGCGAGAGTACGCAAGGCACTGCGCGTTCTCGCATGGACGCAACCTACAGGGTGAGTGCACTGGAAGGGCATTACTGGCTGGGTTTGTAGAGCTAGGGGCCTTGCAAGTGTCAGTTAGGCCGTGCCTGCCTCTAGGTCGTCAGCTGAGCAGTTGCACGGCTCTGGAGCAACGGTAAAAAGCCGCCTTGGCGTTACGTTTTTCCCATTCAGCAGCACCTGGTAACCCCATGTACCTGCAAGGACAGCAGGGAATAAGTGTGGGAGCGTCTAATGCCTGAAAAGCAACTCGCTCCGTCAGACTGAAGGGGCCGCACCCAAGAAGAGGAACAAATGAGGATTACGGGCCCTAGCTAAGTACGAAGTGACTTGAACTTCCTGAAATCCTGTTGCTCTACCCATGCACAAGCCACTTCTAGCTGATGCTCTTCTGTTCTAGTTTCCCCCAACATCAAAGCCACAGCAGCAGCAGCTGTTCTCTTAGGTGTGGACTGCGCTACTAGGTCTTCGAGGTGAATTCTCAGGTTGAACATGGACGAGTACCCCAAACATCGGTTAGCAGCAACAGCCCTCTCTGCAACTCGTGCACTCCCACCAACTTTAGCAGAGCGCACAGGCACTTCTTGTCAGAACTGCCGTATGGGAAAAGTAAATCCTTCTTTGAAATACTACACTACCGCCCTCTAAGGCTGCAATCGTCGTGTATTCTTAAAAGTTGTTCCTTTGCCTATGCCCTGAAGTCCTTTGCTTTCCATCACCAAAGTCGCCGATTTTTATGTCGAGCGTTAGCAGGTGCATACACGTTGCGTGGGTCAGATGCTCAAGCCCATGTGCCTATGCTGCGAAGTGGAGTGTCAGCAGCCGCTATGGAGCCACACACCTCAGTCACAAGTGCCAAGCTTCCACCCGAGACCGCTTAATGCAAAACTAAGTGCTATGCAGCTAGCCCATACCCTCCCCCAAGAATCTACCCGGCGACGCTGGAACTAAACGACGGCCGCAGAGCACACGCAGTGGAGCTAAGCACGAAGTACCGAGGCTTTCAGTGACTTTGGAAGTTCTGAAGGCTGGGGTGTCTCTTGAGATGGAAGCTCTCCGAGTTGTGGTGCGTTGTTTCTGGTCAGACGAGCGGCGGGAGACTTGAGAGGCCCTAGCGGTTGCACCGCTGGGTTGCACCACGTTGAGGCTCAGTCTCTTTGAAGCCATTATGAGGCTGCCTGCACGATTCGCGAAAGTTTGAACTCTAGTGACCCTATACTAGCTGAGAAATAGATTGCAACATGCGAAGGGCTGCACACCAAAGACGCGCTCACGCCGACGTCTCCTGAGTGCCCTCCACGCGCACTGCGTTTCCTAGGAAAAAGGATTATATTGACGAAGTTTTGAATGCAATAGCTCAAATGCTCCTGATCAACACGCCTCCTACGCATGCTTTTGGCAGCAGCCCTTGCAGCGACCGCAGCCGCTGGAGCAGCGGAGCTTCACGAAGCACCGCAGAAACAGTTGAAGGCGACGCTGACGGTTAGAGGACCGTGTGAACATTCTCAGTTTGCCTCTCTCTGTGTGCTTATACAGCTGTGGAAGCTCCACAGGAGGCGCCACGCCAGCTGCAACTGCACGACTTCGACAGTACATAGCCCACCAACGCCAGCCGCTGCAGCAGCTCTTTCACGAGCAGCAACAATCTCCGCCTCCAGTCGTGTCGGTGCTGCAGTGTCAGTACACTTGCACAGTCGTGCCAGCAGGGATACGGGTGTGGCTGGCGGTGCTGCCGCTTGCGCCGCACTGACTTCTACCCCAACTCTCGAAGCTCTAGGGATGTACAGTGGGGTATCCAAGGTCTAAGCTGTGGCTGCTGCTTCCTGGCAGCCACAGCTGGCGTGTCTTTAGCGGCAGCAGCATCGACAACACCAGCAGCAGCAGCATCGACAACACTAGCAGCAGCAGCAGCAGCAACGACAACACCAGCAACAGCAGAAGCAGCAACGACAACACCAGCAACAGCAGAAGCAGCAACGACAACACCAGCAACAGCAGAAGCAGCAACGACAACACCAGCAGAAGCAGCAGCAACTTCGATTGTGGCTTTCGGAGCAGCATCAGGTGCATCAAACACAACGCAATCTATCTCACCCCTCGCAGCAGCAGAAGCAGCACGAGCAGCAACAACAGCGTAAAATCAGCTGAATTTTTTTTCGAGAAATGACGCCTAAAGAGTTTGTGGGCCCTCCGGCTTCTACTCAAAATGTGCTTCGCCTTTCCCAAGCTGCAGCGCAAGTGGAATGGATGCAGCAGCAGCAACAACAGCAGCCGACGCAGCATCCCGTGCAGCCCCAGCAGCAGCAACAGCAGCAGCATTCGTCGCATGAGCAGCACGAACACCATCAGCACGAACACCATCAGCAGCAACAGCCACAGCAGCAACAGCAGCTCAAGCAGCAGCAGCCGACGGAGGTTGATGCCGATGATGTTGAACTTCAGCGCGCATTAGAAGCGTCTCTTCGAGAAGGTGAGTAGGGTGTCATCGTAGAGGTGATGCCTGACGAGTGGACGGGTGACTGCCGTCGAGCCGAAGTGAATGATGGCTCCACAGGGTTGCTTCAGAGGCATGCGGAGCTGCACAGTAGCGTGCTGGGAAGGCGATGCAAGTACTCCGAGTCGTGGCAGCGCTACTGCCTGTGCAGAGGGAGCGCTAATGCAGCTGCTGTGTGTCGTGTTTCTTGCCTGCATCTCCAGCGGCAGCTTCCCCAGAGGCGCTCTCTGCTGCTGCGCCTCCCTCACCGAGACAGCTCTCGGAAGCTGATTTTTTGTCGTTATTGCCAGAGGGAGACGATTTGACTGACTGGTTGGCTCCTCCGCCTCCTCGGAGCAGCTGCAGCAACTCCTTTCCGCTGAGCAGCAGCAGCAGCCACGACACTGCCAGCAGCAAGAAGCTTCCAGAGGATCGCTTCGTGGTGCCTCCAGAGTGGATCTCAGAGGAGGAACGGAGAGGCTGCTGCTGCTGCTGCAGGCTACCCGACAGCTGCAGCAGCACTCCGAGCAGTCCCTCTGCTTCCCCGAAAGATTTTCCAAACCGAGCAGCCGCTTTTCCCCTCGAGAGGCAGCAGCAGCAGCAGCAGCAGCAGCAGCAGCAGCGATGGAAGTGCTGTGCCTGCATAGATGGATCCTTGCAGACGGGAAGCCTTACGCAGGAAGAACAACTCGCCAGTCTGGAGGCGTCAACGCAGCCTCTCGAACCGCAGCGACTGCGAGAACTCTTGCTGCTGCTCGTTGGGGAAGGCAGCGAGAGACAAATTGCAGCAGAAGACTTCAGCAGATGGTATGTGCGCGTCAACGCAGCGGCTCGCATTGCGCACAGCTGCCGTTTCTACGGGCCCTGCCAGTGCCGCCTCCTACACACATACGCATGCATGCACATACATATACACATACGTGCACATACACATACATTCATACACACATACAGTGTACGCATACATACATACATACATATATGCACGCATGTATGCACACCTACACGTACATACATGCACATCCACATAAATACATGCATATATACACATACATATCTGCACATAGACACACGTATACATGCACATCCATAGACATACGCATACATGCACATCCACATACACGTACATACATGCATGCATACGCACAGTACACATTCATGCACACATCCACATACATACCTGCATTCATGCATACGCACAGCACACATACATACATACATACCTGCATTCATGCATACGCACAGCACACATACATACATACATACCTGCATTCATGCACACGCACAGCACACATACATACATACATACATACATACATGCATACACACAGTACGCGTACAGCCACACTTCCTCTGTGCATTGCTCGTGCCGCTGCAGGATGGATCATCCGATAGCTTTCGTTGCCGAGTGGCCAAAGGCTTTGCGTAGCTGCACCGCGTTGACAGGTAGTGGCGCATGGGGATGCAGGGAGTGGGGGCTTGCTCAAGTGCATGGGGGTCCTTGCGGTGTCTTGGCTGCACTGCAGTGTTTTGTTCTGCGATCGCTTCTTTTTTCTAGCGCTCGAGCTCGTCGGTGTCAGCGGCATCTCCACCAGCCGAAGCAACGCGCGCGGCAGGGGCTGAGAGGGCTCTACCCCTGCGCGTTGCTGCGCCAGCACGCGCTGGCTGAGGCAGTTTCTGCCGTCTTGTTCCAGTGTACAGACACCTCCGTGTACACCGTAGCCGTAGTCTCGTGCGGGCCGTCCCCCGCAACTCGGTCGGCGGCGTCAGCAGCAGACATGGATGCAATGCAGTGCTACACCCGCGAGATCGTTGGCGTTGAAGAGGTCATGCGCTTCTACGCAGCCCACTACCGAGTGCTGCTTTCTGCTCCAGGTGCAGCACTCAGCCTTCTGGCTTCAGTGGTCCTCACGAGGGGGCCAAGAAAGGTATTTTTCCTCTTGAAAGAGGCTTTTGAGGTCTCTTTTCTGCAGGGTTCCTGGAGCCGCTTGGACTGGTGCAAACGCTGCATTCGGATGGGGGGGAAGGGGGAGAGGGAAGGGAGGCTGTGCCTTCGGCTCTTCTTGATGGTCTTTTTTCGCATGCGCTGATGAGTCGAGGGAGTCGCTGCAGAGTGGTGCTGCTGTTCTCGCGTCATCGCCAGAATTTGTTCTGCTTCCTGCGAGCTGCTGCTGCCGCTGGCTCGACAGGTTCGGAATGACATGGACCCGCCTGCGCGTCCGCTGCTTGGGGTGTATGGACACTGCGCCCAAGAGGCGCTGAACCTGCTGCTGCAGGGAGCAGCCAGCAGCAATGTTTGTGATGGCTCAGCGCTGCTTGGAGAGGCCTCTCTCGGAGGGGCCCTCAAGAGGCCGGTTGTAGGCTTTCTCTCGGAGATGGAAGTGCTCCGGTAAGGGGGGCAGAGTAGTTCCCGTGCAGCCACGACGCATTTTGTAAGGCCGTGTCTCGGCGTGTGTGATGAAAATAAACGCAGGAAAAGCCTCTGCCGTCTCCGCTGTAGGGGTGTTGCGTTTCTGCAGCTACTGCGAAGTCGGCAGCCGCTTCAAGAGTCCCCGTCTTCCTCTATGGGTGATCGGTAGCGGCAACCACTACACAGCGCTTTTTGCCACGGATCCTGCTGCTGCAGAATTACCTTCAGACGCTCTGACTGAGGCGGTGAGCTGAAACTTCCCACTGCTGTGTAGGTACGATGGCCCCTGTAGCTGTGGGTGCGTTTTTGCTGCTGTCAATGATGGCCGTTGCTTGCAGAGCCTCTGCTGTACAGACGCCAGCGTTGGTACAGACACCTGAACTGCTGCTGCTGATGATGAAAGGGGTGATGCTGGTGCCGATGATGGAATCAATGGTGCTGCTGCTTGTGCAGGAAGCGCGCTGGGCCTTTGAGCTCGCAGATCCAGGGAGATCTTTGCTCTTGCAGCGAGGAGATATCCCTCAGGTGTTGAGGGCTCTGGGTATGGTTTACTTTCGTATTCTTTCCCCGCTAACCCTTCGTCTGTTTGCTTCCCTGCTTGCTGTCTGTTCTTAAATATTTTTTCTCTCTACCTCCCAATAGTTGGTGTTTCAGTTTCGCGTCGTTCGTTCCTACTTCTATGGCTGCGCGTGCCTGCTTGCGTCCACTTGCGTCTCAGTCTTTCTCCATGTACATATGCACACATATGTATATATATATGCATATATATATACATACATATGTATATCTATACATGTCTATGTGTGTTGCTGCCATGCATGTAGGCTTGTCGGAATCTTACGAATCGCGAATACCGAGTGCGGACGAGGTCGTCCTCTATACCGACTGGCTGCATTGGTACAAGGGATATAAAGCAAATCAAGCCATTACCAACTGTGCGAGGACACCTTCTCCCTTGCTCTCGTGCACTGCAGCTCCGAATTTTCGCAGCTCCCATTTCTTGCGTGCCGTGTTGCGTTGCCCCTCTTCCTGCCGCCTTCTGTGTCAAGCAGTCCCTCACGACTCGAGTTCCCACTGTGCGTCCCCTTTCATGGCATGCATGCATGCATGCTCGCTCGCCCCCCGCGTTGCCTTGTTTCTGCAGCGACGAGCCCCGTCGAGCCGCCAGAAGCCTTCCACGTCTTCCTGTACGACGGGCAGATACCCCCAGGTAGGCTGCAGCACTCCGCGCTCCGAGAGGCGCCCAGCAGAAGGTGCTCGCGCAAGCCTGCCAGAACAAGCCAGTCCGCAGCAAGGCGTGTCATTGGGAGTGTGCAGCGATTGTCTTCAGGCCCTGGTGTCTCCGCCTTCCTCGTCAACACGAAAGGGACGGGTGCTGAGGGGCCCCAGGCGGGAAGCCTGGGGCCCCTCCTCCGCACACGCTGGCCTGCCGCTTCCGTGCGCAGTGTTGCCTTGTAGCTGCTGCCGTCGGAGCGCTGGCGTGTGCCAGCGTCGCTCGGGCGGCGCGAAGGTGCTTGTGGGAAACGGCTGCGCAAGCCCTTGCCGCCTGCGGCAGCCGTTGCTGCGGCGAGCGAGGCTGGCTGGCTCGCTTCGTCGAAAAAAAGCTGCGTTGGGAGGCCTCTGGCCCCTTTTTTCCCTTTTCGGGATAGGGGCCCCCCGCCTCTGGGGGCCCCTTTCCCCGTGCACGCGCTGGGCCTCATGTTGCGCTTCCTTGGGTCGTGCGAGCCTTACAGAGCTCGCTTCGTCCTTTTGTGTTTGCTCATTACCACGACTTGAGCACGGAGGTTCTGGGGAGATATCCCGCAGCATTGCGTGCCTCTCAGAGGTTCCGTCTCGCTGCGTTTCCCTCGATGGGGGCAGCTCGTAGCACGTCGTGGCTAGCTAGCTGTGTAGGCGGCTAGAGGGTGCGAGAGAGGCACTCGCGTGAGCCAGGCAGAATCTAGAAGCCCTTCCTAAAGGCGGCTTCGCGTTGTCTAAAAGAGCACTGGTTGAGTGTCACGAAGGAACGCCGAGGGCGGCCCCTGGAGCCGATAGCAGTAGGGGCAAGCCGCCTCAGCAGCTAGCGTCGATCGACACGGAAATATCTTTTTCTATCTATCTCAGGGGCGCCTGGAGATTGCAGGCAGCCGCAGTTCTGCGCGCGCTTGTAGTCCGCAGCGATTAACAGCGCGCCGTAGGAAGTAGCTAGCTAGTTGCAGCGTAGCGCCTCCAGCTGCTCTAACAGCTGAGCTGTGGTGGCTCTTGGTGTTGAGCCTTCCCTGCATGCCGACGTGGCTGCTCACTGGCAGCGTCTAAAGGCCCCTTCCCCTCTTTCTGCGGGAAATCTCTCCCTCGCCAAAAGTGCGCCGCGGCTATTGCAAGGGTCCCACCTCAAGCGGGGTGTAGAGCACGTCTTTTGAGCCCTCCCTTCTCCCCCTTCCCTCCTCCTTCCCTAGGGGCCTACTCTTAGCTCTCAGCAGTATTGGCGCGATGCCCGAGGCTCAAGCAAAGGGGCCCATGAAGGGTTTGCTGTTTTGTATTGCATTTACAGCTGCGGAACCGCCAGACACACGCACCCCGAGTTCGCCAGATCTTTCTGAAGCACTGAAAAACGTCCACTCCAGGCAGAGAAAAAGAGCAGCAGCAGCCCTATCGAGACGAGCCAGCAGGAGTGACAGCGACTCATACAGCAACACCAGCCAGCGAGGCAGTCGTTGGTGCTGCACGTGCTCACTGTCGCGTTCCTCGAAAGTCAACCGCCTGATGAGTTTTCTGTTGAAATCCCCGCTTTGCGTGGCTAAACGGAGATGCCGCTGCCTTCGCGCCGATCGTAGTATGCTCAACAGATTAGGATATGGCCATTCATGCTCTGGCAAGCTGCACAAAAAAACATCGGTGTCAGGTGGGAGGATGACGATGCAGTCGACTTCAGGAACGCAGCTGCGAGCAGGGGCAGGCAGGAGCCGCGAAAGGCTGCTGCCTCAGCAGCAGCAGCACACGCGGAGGCGTGGCAGGAGTGCCAGCAGGCGGATGGCAGCTCACAGCTTGCACAGTTCCTCTCCAAGCTCGAAGTAGAAGAGTGAGTGCCTCGCGAGATCCACTCCGAGGGGATCCTTGAGCAAGGCGTCCACTATTGCGGGGCCGTATGACGGGGGAAAGGAGAGACGAATTTTGCCGGCAGAGAGCAAACTGCGCGCTTGGAAGAGCAAGAGCTGCAGGTTGTCGGAAGGCAGCAGCTGCGCGAATCGACAGACACACACTGGCACGAGAAGAGGAAGCTCAGGGAAAGCTTGGGAGAGCGCGCGAAGGAGCAACAAGACAGCCCTGCACACGGAGAGGAAGAAAAAGAGGCGCTACGCAGGAAGGCGCAGAGAGACATTCTGCCTGGAGGAGCGAGATCTGCAGGGCTCTCTGTGAAGGTGTCGGGGAGGGAGTAGAAAACAAAGGGGGAACCGCCACGGCGAGAGGCTCGACACGCGCGCAGGCGGCTAGCGGCGCTGCGACTGCGGAGGTTTGGTCAAAATGCGTTGAAAGAAGGCCAGGCTGCGCGAATGGGAGTGAGGCTTTGCTTGCGTGAGGAGTGGGGTGCGGGGTATGTGTGTGTGTGTGTGGTGAGGCGTTACAACGTCTAGCCGAAGTTTCTTCTTAAATTCCTCCTTCGCCGTGGCAGAAAGGAAGGAGAGACCCTTCAGTTCCATCAACGGCGAGCAGGGCACCAGCTGCGCGCACATTCGACGCGCTTATCTTCTCCTTCCCGTCGATACACATACAAATTTTTATATATGCACATATATATACACATATATATACATATACATACATATATGTGCAACAATGGGCCAGAGGGTACGCGAAGCTATGCTAGTTGTTGCCCGTCATGGGGGCAAGCCTAGAGCGGCTTGAACTCTCTTCGAGCAAAAAAGGCGAGCGCTTCCCGACCTCATGATCGATATGCAGGAAGTCTTCGGCGAGAGCCTTGGCTTCAAGCGTCCTGAACCACGACCCCTGAGAGGCTGGGAAAAGCGGCTCTTCCTGGCTATTGAATGGGTGGTTATTCGAGAGGGAGAAGTCGTTAAAGGCGCTCGCGGGTGCAGCGGATTGCAGAGAGTCCTCTCCCTCGGGGGCAAGCATGGTCTGCGCAGCACTCTCTTATGCAACCTGCGGAGCAGCGGAAGGACAGAAGTTGCTGTCGAAGAACATGAGGCAAAAGACCACAGCAAGGAAGAAAAGCCGTGAGAAAGGAGAGTTCAACTTCATCACTTTCCTTCTCGTGCAGAACCCGCTCTCACGCACGCACACCAGCAGCCTCTGTAATCAGCTCTCGGCGCAAGACGTGGACATACACTGCGATTTTCTCAGCTCAGCTCGCCCCTGCCTTCCGTGGCACTCCCAGCAGCCTATCGCACTAATTTCCAGCATTTAAGTCCAGTTATTCATGCGCTTTCAGGAATTCTCCCTAGTGAAAGGGCCTTCAACGCCAGCGCTCCCGCCGCCGCCGACGGTACAACAACCCCACCGGCTGCTCCCCGTCCAATGGGGGCCCCCGCTATTCCATCGTATCCGCGCTCGCGCTTCCGTGGGTCACCCCCCCCTTTCCTCTTTAAAAGCGTCCGTGATAATGCATGCAAATGCTTCTGCATCTCTGAAACGGGAGCAACACTTCTGGGGAACCTCTCGTAGACAAGGGGGGCCTATGGAAAGCAACACTCTGCTGCTTTCCCGCACCTCTTTGTGCGTTCGAAGAAGCGCGGAAATTCTTGTCACTAGAAACTCTTGACGCTAACACTGCGCTGCGCTGCCTGCGACTGCATCTGCCGTAAACAAATACCTCCGCTACTGTCCGCTACTGCTACGGGTGCTGCAAACCCCCCTACACGTTGGGTCGTTCTGCCTCCTCGCCGCAAAAGAGCAAAGGTACAACTCAAAAAAGCACATGTGTCCTCCTGTTTCTCCCCAAGTTCTGACTACAGCCGATGCAGCACCGGATACAGTAGCCACGTGGACAGACGGCAAAGGCGTCTGCATCCGACGGCGCATGCACAGCGCCGTGGAGTGCGCTGCCTTTCTCGCTGGCGGCAATGCAAAGCAATGCGCGCTAAAGACTCGGCTGTATAGCTAGCTGGTTGTACAGATATTCAGCTAGCTGGGGTGTGCGCGTGGCACGACCAGCTGCCTGTTTTGGGGGCTGTCTTGCTAGTGTTTGACTACCTGAGCGACCTTGTGCTTAGCCCGTCTTGTGAGTGTCTCGTCTACAGCCATCTCTTCGAGCTCTTCTTCTTCTGCTTCTTCCTGCTGCTGAAGTTCTTCTTCGATTTCGTCCTCTTCCTCTTCTTCGGCATCCTCTAATTGCTGCTTGGCAGACTCCCTGAGCGTCTGTGGCTTTTGCTTCTGTTCAATGCGGTCCATCTCCTTCAGGAGATGCTTGTGCTTTTTCATCAGCTTGTCTGCTTGGGCTTCCTGCTGCTGCTGCTTAAGGGCATTCAGCATTCTATTTCTGTAAAAGACTGCCGCGCGCCGCTGCCGTATTGCGTCCAGCCGACGCATAGTCTGCACAGTCCGCTGCACCAAATCTCTGTCGTAACGTACAGGGCAGTTCCGGCGCTGCTCGAATTCGAAGGAAGGATCCTCGCTCAACTCTTTGCCTAAAAACAAAGACGCGCATCCCAGCCAAATCACATAGCCACAGCGGGTGGCGATTCGTGTTCAACGCCTCCAGAGAGGCCTGGAGCGCAAGCCGCGTCAAAATGGGAGAAACTTGAAGAGGAGATAAAAGAGCCTGCACTAAACACCCCATATCTGCACGAAACACACCCCTCGTTTTCCTGTACGCCTTTGTCCACTTAAACTTCTTGGGGTTACCCTTCGCCTTGAAGTGCTTGTGGCACTTGGAGCGGCAGAAACGGAAGATCTTTGCATCGTTGCGCACAAAGACGATCCCATGCCCTGCGTCATCAAGCACGGGGAGAGACAGTGCGAGAAGTCTGCTGGCTTTCAGGCAAGTCGTCGAGAGGCCCTCCAGAGGCAAGAGCGAGAACTCAAAGGCAGACGCAGGGAGAAGCGGGGAGGGAAGGTGGGTGCGCAAAGGAAGGGGGCGACGGGGGGAGAAAGCAGACGGAGCAATGGAGCGAAACACCGAGAAACGGAAACGCCATAACATGGCGGGAGCGCTAGAGAGGGAAAAACAGAAAGGTCAAGAAGAGGGCCCTCGGAAACCACGAGAGATGCGGGGATGAAAGAAACGGAAAAAGCCGCAAAATGCTGGGAATTGTAGCCATTTCAAACTTGCCGTACCGGGGTAGACGTTGCTCGAGCAAAACCAACACCTCTCGATCCTCATCTTTCAGCCTCTCAGTCGACACTGCCCCTACCGCTGTGGCTTCTGTTGCCTTTGTCTTCCACGGAGCTGCTGCTGATCGTCGCGTTGCTGCGTATTCTGTTAAGAACAGCTGCAGTTCATGGGATCCAGCTCCGCCGCAGGAGGGTAGAGCACCGCGGAGGCTAAGCGCCTCTGCTTCTGCTTGTTTGAAGCCTTCCAGTCGACCTCGTCGGGCAGAACTGAAAATAGCGAGCTCCTCCTCTCAGAGGCGGCAATCTGTGCAGCGGAAGACGCCGCACGACTTCGGCGCCGCAGCAAGGAGGTACCGACGATGTGCCTCCTCAGCCTCGCGAACGAGAGAACACTACGCCGAGCTGAATCTCCACTTCAAGCCACAATTCCACAGCTTTTATAGTGTAAATATTCTCGGGGAGAGCCGCGTTGGAAGCCGAGTGGTGGTGTGGGGCCGCACGCAAGCCCCGACTGCATGCAGCAGCAGCGTCCGTCCGTCGATACTCCTGAGATTCAAAAAAAAATTTTCATGCTGGACTTTTATGATTTATATTTGTGTAATAGTGAAGGATTTAGGTTCTCGGGCGCGCTGTTGAGCGACCATTCAAGCAGCTGCAGCAGATCCAGCACGGCGCCTTGCTCCTGTTGGCGCGCACTGTGTAGCTGCTGCTGCAGCTCTTGCACCAGGCGGGAGAGGCCTAGCCCCTCCTTCGCACTAACGGGTATGACTTGCACTGAGCGCTGCAGCTGCTGCCGTTGCGCCTCCCCCTCCTGCAGTTCGCGATCCTGCAGGGTGAAGAGGTCCTCAAAGTGCTGCTGCAGCAGCCCCTTGATGTGAGCGGCGTGCTGCTGCTGCTGCTGCTGAAGCAGCCGCCACAGCTTGTCGACTTCGCACAAGCTCAGCTGAGGCTTCAAGTCACATTTCGTTGCGACTACCACTAGAGGCCTCGCTGCTAGTATTGGTGAATGCAGAAGCAGCTCCTTTTGCAGCAACCGCACGGTGTGCAGCATGCTGCAAAAGGAGCTACTGCTACTGTTGCTACTGCTACTGCTACTGCTACTGTTGCCGCTGCTAGTGTCATGATACGCAGCGGCAGCAGCGTCCACGACGAGAACAACCATTCGCGTGCCTTCTGCATGTCGTGGAGCACAGCTGGCAATGGCGTTAGTTGCCTCGGGGAGAAGCCCTGGGAGATCTGCCATCGAAAGGCTCCATAAATGCTGCTGCTGCTGCTGCATAATATGCTGCTGCTGCAGCATAATGTGTCCGACCTTTGGTTTGGTGGTGCTATGTGGCCAAGGAGCAGCAAGCGAGGCGCAGCGCGTGAGGGCTGACAGCAGCAGCGACTTCCCCGCATTGGGGAGACCTATGAGAGCGCAGTCTGAGAGGAACCTGAGCTGCAGCAGCAGCAGCTGCTCCTGCCCTTCGCTCCCCTCCTCTGCGGTGTATGGACACCTCCGACAGTTTCCTCGCCCCCCCCTCCCCCCTTGAGCCAGCAGCATCTCCCTCCCTAAAACTCTCGGGCCCAATAGCTGCAATAACTGGGTAGCAAGATCTTGAAGGCTGTTGTTATTGCTATTGCTGTTGTTATTGCTGTAATTGCTCATGCTGTTGTTCTTGCTGTTGTTATTGTTATTGCTATTGCTTTCGTTATTGCTATTGTAATTGTTATTGCTGTTGTTATAGTTATTGCTGATGCTTTCGTTATTGCTATTGCTTTCATTATTGCTATTGCTGTTGTAATTGCTGTTGCTTCTGGAAGCAGAGGCGACGGCGGCAGCAGCAGCGGCGGAAGGATCGAGCAGTCCGAGAAATCGCATGCGGCGCTTTAGGCGTGTTGCATGCATTTGAGGTACTTCCAGCCCCTCCGTCGGCGTATCCTGGGAATGTTGAAGCGCGCTGCCTTCGATTTTCAGTCCCTCAGAGAAAAACTTCTCCTCAACTCTCCACACTACGCAGCTGCCTGGCACCTCAATCACAGCGTCTCGACCGCGCCTCCCTGGCAAGCCGTGTCGACCCCCATGACACCCAGGGGCCCCCCAAACGAAGCCTTTAACTGCACTGAGATCCTGCGCACCGACAGGGGGGCCCCCCCCAAGGCCGCCCCCCTCCAGGGGGCCCCCCAGGGGGCCCCTCAAGGGGCCCCCTTCCCCCCCCCCCTGGCATCGCGCCAGGCGAAGCAGTACGTCGCCTCCGTCTCCTCCACGCCCTCCAGAAGGCTCTCCAGGCCCCATTAGAAAATGCTGGATGTGCTTGACGAAAGAAACTGCACCAGAACCTCCCGATCCCCCCTTGACACGCACCAGCTTGCTGTCGCAAAAGCGCTTCCCGCTCGCCTCTCTGCTGGAGGGACGCTGCGTTGGCGCGTGCTGCTGCTGCGCTGGCGCGTGCTGCTGCTGCGCTGGCGCGTGCTGCTGCTGCTGCTGCTGCTGCTTGCACTCCTCTTGCCGAAAAGCAGACTGGGGCGGCTTCCCAGTAGAGGGGGAACGGATGCCACCCCACTGGGAGTGCGTATGAAGAGCCGTGCGCAGTGCGAAATCGCCTAAAACGCAACACGTCCTGAAAGAGACGTTCCTGCAGAGACTGGCGCTGCCGCCTCCTCCACCGCGCCGCATGCTGCATAGCATGCAGGTTCCCATGTCGACAGCTCGCGCTGCTGCTGCGGGAGGAAGGATGGCCTTGTGTGCTCAGAGGATCTCTGAAAAGCCGCGGAGAAGCGTTCCGTGTTCGCAGCTTTGCATTTACAGGGGTAGGTGTGCGTGTCGCTTCCCCTACCCCGTGACATGAGCGCGTCAAGACAGCAGGGGGAGGAAGGAGGAGAAGCCTCCCTCCGAGGGATTCCTCGATGCACAACAGGGGAGAAAACCTTTAAAAAACTTCAAAGCGCTCATTGGGCGGTAGTAGTGGCGTCAGCGTCCGGGTATTTATTGCATGCGATGGGGGCTGAAACGACGGTACCCTAGGGGGCCCCCCTGGGGGGCCCCCCAGGGTACCCGCAGAGGGGGCCCCTCCATCCCAGAGCGCTTCAACAAGTTCAAATCGAAGTTCAGTTCTCTTAAAGGCGTTCTTGTTGGGCGATTGGGTGTCTTTGCTCGCGGCATTGAGGCATTGCCTCCAGTTTCCTCACAGAACTGCGGGGGAGAGACACCCCGTGTAGACGCAGCTGCTGCAGCGGCCCCTCTGTGTGCTGTGGCTTCTCCCCAACGGGAAGGAGAAACAGAGAGGGAAGGGAGAGTGTCGAGGGAAGCTCGGAGGGTGTGTGTGCTTTTTCCGAGCTCTGAGCGTGACGCCAGCCAGAGAGTGCCTGGATACGATCTTGGAGAGGGTTCCCCAAGTCTTTTGGCTGAAGCCTATCCTCTCATCAGCAAGCGCTCATGCTGCGCAGGGGGTGGGGAGTGGGGGTCGTAGTATGACGTCTGCCACTGGTCGTGGCTATGGAGTTTCCACTGCACAGACAACAGCAGCAGCGGCAGCAGCAGCAGTGCGTGTTTTTCCTGCTCCTCCTGGCAGTGCTGCTGCTGCTGCTGCACGAGGTCGTCGCCGAGCATGCTGCCGCCTCGTTGCAGCGACTGCGTTGCAGCTTTCTCGTTGCTCAGCACGCCAGCAGCAACGCAAGCAGCGGGGGGGGAGCTCCAGCGAAGCCTCCTGCTAGGGGCAGTGTCTCCCACCGCTGGAGGGTGTCGTGGAGCTCTGCAGCAGCGGCAGAGAGTAGTCTGCCGCACTCTTCTCGTCGTTTTTCAGGGCAGTCTGAAAGACACAATGATGAAGGGCGTGGCAGGGAAGCCGCCTGCGACGCGGATGCGCTGGTGGCTTCAAACTCTCTTCCAGAGAGGCCCCATACGGCGCAGCCATCCCCCCAATCCCAGCAGCAGAAGCGCACGAAAAAGCGCCTTGTAGTGGACAGGGAGAAGCTTTCAGCCGCTTCGGAGGCGTTGGATGAGGAGAGCGATCCTTGGGGTGTTCAGCCAGAAGACTTGGTACCCTCTGGTGTACGTTCGAGTTCATATTCCGCTTTAGCGCGACGCACTGCGTCGCTCTCAAGTCGCTAGAGGCTTAGAGACGCGTCTGTTCAAACCCTCGACTCTCGAGTCTTTATTTTCCCCTTCTCTCTTGCTTTCTCCGGCGGCTTCAGCGTAGGCCTCTAGCCGCTTGCTTTTGCGTGAACGCTCCACTTAGGGCATGAAACTCAGAATTTCTGGGGTGGGGTGTACAGGCAGCCACTCAAAAGCTCCTGGCGACAGCAAGCCGGCTGGCGCTGCAGAGACACACCAAGGATACTGGCAGCAGCGAGGCTCAAGTTGGAATTCTGACTGCAAGGCACGTCCAACGCCCAAAGGCGCAACCTCCAAGCTCGAAATATCTCATGAGCACACAGGCGTCAATTCTACGCTCAGGGGAAAACACACTTACGGGGGGATGCGGGGAGAGGGAAGGAGGGGGCTCAAGGGCACTCAATGCGCAGTTCAAATCTTGCTTTTCGATCGCAAGTGTGTATATGTATACATGTATATACATACATATGTACATGTATATATATGTATATGTATGTGTGTGTGTTTCTACGTGTGTGTATACGTGTGTGTGTGCGTGTTTCTACGTGTGTGTATATACGTGTGTGTGTGCGTGTTTCTACGTGTGTGTATACGTGTGTGTGTGTGTGTTTCTACGTGTGTGTATACGTGTGTGTGTGCGTGTTTTTACGTGTGTGTATACGTGTGTGTGTGTGTTTCTACGTGTGTGTATACGTGTGTGTGTGTGTGTGTCTCTACGTGTGCGTATACGTGTCTTTCTTGACTTAGGATCGCACACCTTACACGCCACATGCTGCAGCACCGCAAGGATTTTGCAAGCCTCAGAGGTCTTAAAGCCCTAGTAGTTCGCCGACGGAAGTCAGTTGTTTCTTCTGCTGTTGGTACACTGCAGCAGGTGCTGTTGTGGCGTTTGCACGGTTTTTTGGTGCAGGTGTGCTGAGCTGCTAGTTTTTCGCTGCGACTGCTGGTGAAAGTGCAGACTGTTGCAATACTTGGGAGTGCGCGACTTTGAGCGGTACGCTCAAATCCTTCGCATCTTGAACATCAAGCCCGTCAACCTGCCTGGTAAGGCCTGAAGAGCGTTTTCTGGACGCCGCTGGCTCAGACTCTCCTTGGAATGCAAAAAGCTGCTTCGCTTCGGGAGCGCGGCGCAGCAGCGCATGCGCCTTGATGGCGCACTCCGCCAGCAAGCGCGTAGTCGCGCATGCTGGAGCTGCTTCTGCCGTCTGCGTCGCTGTGCAGGCAGCATGGACGGCCTGTTGCGCGAAAATCGATACATGGGGAGAACCCAGACAGACCAGGATAAGAAGCGTTGCGCTGTCGCCTTGCGGAAGGCCAAGGCTGGCGAAGCATTTCATGAGAGACAAAGGAGGAGGTTGGCTTTCTGTTGCCTCTGGCTGCTGGGGGTGCTGTTTCTGCGGCTGCGTGTTTGTTGTCGCCTTCGCACACCTTGCACTAGGACGCAGCCTCCAGCCTCACAAGAGTTGTGAGAGAGGGGTCTCGCCTGATCCACGCGCGAACGTGCCTGCGAGCTGGTTCTGCAGGGAGGCTGAGGAGCGCAAGCGAGTTCAGCAGCTGCGGGTTAAACCCTCGTTGCTTCGGAGAAGTCTCGCTGCGGAAGAGACGCCTCCTGCTTCAAAAAAATCCCCCGCGGTGCACCAGGAGCTTCCTTTAGACAACAGTGCTGCCACCCCTTAGCTTAGCTGCGCTAAATACGGACGAGGGATCGCCACGTGGATGTTGAGGGGCTTCTCCTCCTAAGTCCTCCTCTCCCTGAGCACGCCTCGCGAGATCACCAAGTGGCGTCGGGTTAATAGCGTTGCTGCAGAGCTACTTAAACCCCCTAAAAGGGGCAGTTTGGTTGGGGGTCTCTAGAAGAAGCATCTAGAATAGTATTGTTGGGGGAAACCTGTAGAGAGAACTATCTAGAATAGGGTTGTTTCGGGAGTCGGTAGAGAGAGAGATAGACATAGATAGATAGATAGATAGATAGATAGATAGATAGATAGATAGATAGATAGAGAGAGAGAGAGAGAGAGAGAGAGAGAGAGAGAGAGAGAGAGAGAGAACCATCTGCAATTGAATTTTGGGGAGAGGGGGGGAGCCTGTAGAGAGAACTCATGGGTTATTAGAACACGGTGTATATTGGGGGCCATGGGCATAGTCCGTGCCGAAGTAAAGGTTAAATATCGTTTGATGCAACGGGCTTAGCGCGCTCTAGAAGGTTTATGCACAGGAAGCTGTAGAGGGGCTGTAGACTCGTGCATAGTTGAACAGTTCAGATGTCTAACACCCCTCGATTCAAAACACCGCAGGACGTCTAGGGGGCCGCTTCGGCCGAGGCTTATGCGCACTACACTAAGATCAACACTCCGAAGGGAGCCGACGGAAAGGAGTTTTCCACGCAGCTGTTCGCGGTGAAAACCACCCCCGGCGGGACTCGAACCCGCAACCTTTGGATTAGAAGTCCAACGCGCTATCCATTGCGCCACAAGGGCGACGCGCGTGCTCGCAGACTCCCAGAAAATTTTCCTCCCTACGCAGGTGTGGCGATTTGCCAATACAGCTGCAGGGACCCTATTCTACGGTGTATCACGGGGTGGACAAGGCTATCTGAAGAAGACAATCGTTCCGTGGGAGGTGAAATCGCGTCGGGGGCACCTAAGGGTGCTGAAGTCGTCGTCAGTTCTGATCTTTAGGGATCATTTCGGGCCCTTCGCGAAAACCAACTCCCCCTACACCCTCCTGCAATCGTGGAGCCGTCCTTGACTCACTTGAACGCGTGGCCACGTCCTGGGCGAAGGATGCGTCAGCGAGGCATTTCACCTTTGATGGGCACAACAACAGAGAGAACTCCGTCTATTTCAAGTGAACATGGTGTTAAACGCAGAAAAACTCCGCGTGGTTTCTCGCCGCACTCTCCCCTGCGCGGGCAGGCGGAATGCATGCGCGTATATCGCTGTTAGAGTTGTCAGGAGAGAGAGCGAGACGCGCCAAGAGTTGAAACGGACTACGTGTGGGTGAGAAACGTGCCAGACACCATCTTTCCAGGGGAGAGAAAGTAAAGCAGGGAAGAGCTTTACAAAAAGCAGAGCACCCCCGGCGGGACTCGAACCCGCAACCTTTGGATTAGAAGTCCAACGCGCTATCCGATTGCGCCACAAGGGCCTAGGGGTCGCCTGCTGCTTCCGTGCAGCAAACCATGGCTGCACCTTGAACTCTAAATCGGTGTATATAATTATGAATAGATCCTTAGAAAACTGCTGTAGATGATAGCTGCAAGGCCGTAATATGCTTTTTGCATAGGAAATCGCACATTTGGAGGCAGCCTATACTTGCAAGCAACTGGCTGCTAGAATCCGAAGGAGGGAGGGGCCTCCCAGAGATCGTCACAGTCCTTCCTCTGGAGACTCCTCTTTCTTGTGCTACGCCTTCCGGCTAAAAAAGACAAAGACATCCAGTTGCTCGCCGACGTTGAGGGCTTAGCGGCTTCTTGATTGTAGAGCGGCACAACTCCCACTATGGACAGCCTCTTGCTCCGTGGAGTTTTCAGAAAGAGGCCTGCTGCGTAGCGGCGCCCACTGCTGCTACGCCTGCTGTTAGCGCTCGTTTCTGCGCTGCCGTCGCAGCTGCTGAACAGGTGCATATACGGCGCCTCCACAAATTGGGAGCGTTCGACCCCGTTCACATAGAGCCTCAATGTTTGGGCAGGAGATGCTGCCACGGTTGTTGCGGATCGGACTCGCTGAAAAAATCAACGCTGCCGCTACAGTCGGACCGTGGAGATTTCCGCTTAGATGGAGGGGCCACAGGAGGATCGGGGGGCCTCTAACTTCGGGGTTACGTTGCATGCAAACTCGAGGCGTGGCAGCTCTAGCGGCGACAGCACCAGTGGCTGGTTCTGCCTCGCCAGTCGCTGCGGAGGAAGCAGCGCCGAATGCTTCTTCTTCCGTTCTGAGTGGGGGTGCAGAAACTGTCGGTGATGCCCGCGCCAACAGCCGAACTCACTCCAGCAGTCACAGCACCAGCGATGGGTGCAGCAGTAACTTTGACATGCAAACACTGTACAGACACCACTGGGCAGTGCCAGTTGTTGGCTTCAACACACGTTTGGTGTTGCCAGTTCACTCTTTTGAAGCCTGGGAAGGCGAAGAAAGGCAGCCCCCTGAATTGATCGGTGTGCCTTCATAATCACCTCCTTTTGTCATTTGTTTTTCCCTCCCCCTCCCTGCCCCGCCTACATTCATATACATACACACACACATATACATACACACACACATATGCATACACTTACACAACTTATCTCTGACTGCAGCTCATGGCGCAGTTTCTCCTGTCTCTCCTGCTGCTTTTGGCGATAGCGTTCCTGCTCCTGCTCCCCCTTCTCTGCGCGTTCTGCTTTCCTCAGAGGTTCCCTCAGAAGTGTTTGGTCAGCCCTTACGTCCAGACATTTTGCACCAGGTCGGTGTGAACTTTGAGCCTCAGCGGAGCAGTGAGGCAGGCAGACGCGTTCTCGTCCTGCGGCATCTGCTGCTGCGTGCCCCTTCCGCATGCCGTACTTTTTATCGCGTCTAACGTGCGCCGCAGCTAGGCGCTTCTTGAGACTGCCTGCTAGGATTTTGGATCCGAGGAGTGGATGCTTTAGAAAAAGCGGGTGGCACGCCGGGTGCGGGCGCGACCGCGTAGCGAGAATTCGAGCACGCGCTGCTCAAGACATTGCGTCGCGCGTGTTTTTCGACGCCTTCAGGTGTACTGGCATACGCGGCGAGCGATTGCGGGATGGACTGAACGCATGCAATTATACAAGTGGGAGTGGCCAGGGAGCAGCCGCAAGGTTCGTCCCCAGACGGTCAAGACGGGGATGGCGAGGATGGGCTGGCGCAAGGCTTGCGGCAAGTACTTGGGTGTACAGACACACCCGCTAAGACCTCATGATCAGCGCAACAAGTGCAACAAGCGACGTAGGAGGCACACGCGAACGTCTCCCTTCGCCTCCGCACTCCGAACAAACTCCGCGGAGGCTGCCGAGAAAGGCTCCTTCAGTCGATTCTCGAACAGCGCAGCAGTCGCTCCAGAAATGCAGCAGTCGCTCCAGAAATGCAGCAGTCGCTCCAGAAAGCTGTCTCAGGCGGGCTCGTGACGGCTTCGCGATCCAAGGCTCACAAAGTGTATGCATGTGCACACACATGTGTGTGTGTGTGTGTGTTCATGCCTCACGCTCAGTGCTGTGGCGAGGAGTGGAGCAGGCGCTGTCTGCGAAATTCGCGCAAGAACAACTCGTTCTTGTGCAAAACCTCTGCCTCACCTCCCACAAGACGAAGCACTGCGTCAAGCACCTCAGGAGGCTGCTAGGTGACTCGCTGGAATGGCGAGGCTTGCTTCTTCTTCTTCTCATTGCCTGCCTTCTGCCACGCGTCTCGTACGTGCAGAGGCTTTATCTGGGGGCTGCTGCGTGTGTTTCCCGCTGCCTCCGCGGCTCCCCTGCGGCGCCGCGTTCTGCTCCTGCCTCCGCAGTGCGACGAGCCACAGCGCTGTCTCGTTGCGCCAGCTCCTTCGCGAGCGCTGGCTCTGATCTCCGCCTCGAGGCTGTGCGTCTCCCATCGCCGTGCTCAGGCACTCGATGTCATAGCGCTCTGCTGATTCACGAAGGTCATGAAGACGTCAACGAGAATTTTCGCTGGGCGACTGCGCATATTACAGGCGTCAAACGCACTGACGTCGCCGTAAGCCTCCTCTTCCCCCTCCCCCGTCTGGAAATTCCTCTGTGCCTGCCTGTCTGGCATCCTCGACTTCTACGTCCTTCCAAAACCTTCCTCTCCCTCTCAAGGCGCATCCTCCGTCGCAGGCTCCTGCGTCTGCACACAGCTGCGCAAGGAGGAGCTCTCTGTGCCGCCTCTGCTGCCAGGCGCGGCGCGCAGACTCCTTTCTCTGGTCGCTGCTCCTTGCTACTTGCTTGTTCACCGTTCGCTGCTGCGCATCTTTTGCCAGCTGGGCGCTCGCTGCTTGCTGTAAACTGCTTTCCTGAAATGCGGTTTTCAGGGAGTCAACGCATACACTTTGCTGAAGCATCGCATGGTTATCATCACGCTCAAGGCTCTGAAGCAGCTGCTCTTCGAGCTGCACCAGCAGCAGCAACAACGGCTGCCTCGCTACGCTACTCCCGACGGGCGACCTGCCCCTCCGCCTTCGCCTGTTCCTGGCTGGGCGGATGAATGGATTGAAATCAAGACAAAGGAGCGAGAAGCAAAGTTCGACAGAGTGCGCTGCTGCGTGGCATCAGGAGCTGCCAGCTACGCCGCAGGGGAGGGTGGGAAAAGGGGAGGGAAAAGGGGGAAAGGGGGCACGGGTTTGAGGGAAGCATCTTCTTGCATGTGCATGCATTTGGATGGATGTGTCGCTGCGGAATTCTCTTTTTCCTTCGCAGCAAAGGATTCGTGAACTGGCGACGAAGTGGACGTGGTCAAGTGAACCGAAGGGCCTCTTGGTACGCAGCGCAGGCTTCTTGTAGGGGTGAAAGGCTTTCAAATGCATGACGAACTCAAGAGGAGAATGGCCTTTTATGTGGAGTGATGCTCCGGGAAGTATAGGAGTGGTTTGCATCGCACGCCCGCTTCAGGGGGCTGTCTGCGGATTGCGGAAAAAGCTGCAGTGACAGTGTGTGGACGTGTTTTTAATTGGCGTTGTTTCTTCAGAAAGTGCCGCGGTTCGATCCTCTGCGCGGCTTTCGAGTCGGACGATTTTCTTCCGAAGAGGTGCCCGAAGCAGGCAGCAAATATGATGATCTCTATGCAGTAAGCCGCCTCGGCTGGAGTTAAGGCTAAATAAGGCTTTTCAGACTTTTGCCGCAAGCACCTCTCCCCTGTTCAGATTGAAACGGTGATGTGGGTTCCGGAGTGTCTGAATCTGTCTGCAGGATGAGGAGCCGCTCGATGAAGACGGCGAGGATATGGAAAGGCTCGCAGCCGCGTTGGAGGTGGGCAGTACTGTCTCTCTGCTCTCCCCGTGCGACGCTTTCGACTGGAGGTTCAGCGGTAATTTACACAACACAACACAGAGAGAGCACCCAATGTATACTCGCGCTTTCCTGGGGTGTATGTGCAGCTTCGAGAGCGCGAGGAAGCCTTGGATCTCACCGAGTCAATCACCACTGACTTCCCATTCAGAGACTCCAGGAACGCCACTGCTGCGACTGTGGGGGATCAGCAACCCTAGACAGCTTCTCGGCAGTGCGCGGCTATTTGCAGTCTTGACTCTTGAGAATGGATCTGATTCTGTGGCATAGAGTGGTGTTTTCCCCTGGTTGGAGAGCACACTTGAAGGCGAGCACTTTGCAGTTACAAGACCATCCCCCCTCCTTGGCCCCTCCCCGCGCCGCATTTGCTGAATCGAATGGCATCCCGTGGATGTTTCCTCAAGGCTTGCTTGTGAGAATTGTATCTTTCAAGATACCACCTTGAGCCCTTTTGCCTGCATCCAGCGCCCTTGTCTCCCCTCGGGAAGCATGCGAAACTGAAAAGTTTGTAAGGACGCAATCCCCGAACTGTAGGCTAGCGGCTTTGCATAGCAGAAAGGGTCTTTGCTGTCACTCACACCCGTGATAGATGAGGCTTCTGCGGCATTTGCTTCCAAGATTTTCAGGCGTAGACCTTTGCCACAAGTGTTTTTTGCCAGAGCACAAAGCCTGTTACGGCTGCAGGCTCTGGTTCTGTGCCATAGCAGTTTCCGACTGGCAAACGAAAGCCCCCACATGCCTTGAAGGGAATGAGGGTAGTTAGGGGGTATGGAGCAGCTCCAATGCCGCTAGCAATTCATCTAGTTCACTTCAGCATAAACACCCTGCTATCATCGGTGGGCGTAACGGTCCCTTCAGAGCCACAGCCGTGCTTTTTCCGTTCCCAGTCGCTGAATTTCCTCGGTATGAAGCATGGAGGTCCTCCAGCCGTAGTAGCATGGAATATCTTAAAACGCGGAAATCCGAGAATGCTGGGATTTAGGGTCTTGTAATAGCGCTTGTAATCTTGCCTGAGTTTACGAATAGGTCCAGTGGTGCTGCAACTGCAAGAGCCTTCTGTAAAAGTTTTATGTCCCCGTCAGTCCCCCCTCTGTGTCTCTCACGCCGAGCTGAATCCGGTATTTTGCCATTAGCTTTTCTTCGTAGCTCCAACGAAGAGGCCGCTAAGTGGACGTCGCTTACTATCACGTAGCGTTGTTGGCTTTAGGGATCTTTTAATCGACCAGAACGCCAAAAAGAGGTTCCCGCGCATTCGACGCTCTTTCCAGCTTTGCAAGCCCGACGTATCATTGCAAGGCCCTACGTGGCTTCACTGCACTTTTAGAAAACGGCAGCGCTCTGCTACAGCTAGCTGCCCACCTGCCGCAGTGCGTCTTTCAATAGATCTCGACCCCCACTGACAACAGGTCCTTGTGAGGCCGACTGGTGATGAATTCGAGTGCTGTCTCGAGCCTCGACAGCACTGTGAAGCAGCAGGGGCTTCTTACGCAAACCGCTTTTTGCGCGTGTGTGAAAGTGCCTAACGTAAGGATCACTCAGCTCGAACTCCGTGGAAGTCCTTTGTAATCTCGATCTCGAGAAGGGAATAACATTCCCCAAGTACTTTTGGATCAGTGCGCATCGCTCATAAAGACGCCCTTGAAATGAATTGCTTCCGCTGTCTTCGCGCGTTTGCAGTCTTTGTCAGGCCGCAGTACTAGGAAAGATATCTTCGCTACTGGACACGATTAAATAATGCCCTAAAGAGATAGTGCATTCGGTACAGCGAATTAACACTGCAATTACGTCTTCTGCTGATATCTTCGCAATCTATGGCGCACGCTAAGCACTAACTCCTGAATAACCATGGGCTGCTAAAGAACGAATGGCCTTGCACGCATGCACTCTGTGAAGGCCCTCCAGCCTCCAAAACCATTGCTGCAGATGCATGACAGTCTCTTGAGTAAGTGAATCATGAATCTGCGTGACTATGCTTACAGCGGGCGGCAATATTGTTCTGAGACTTAGTTGTAATTGCGTGCTATTCTCATGCTCAAGGTTAACCGGAAACTCGTGCTAGCCTTTGGGCAGAATCGAATGAAGAAGGACAAACTAGGAAAAGCTGGTTTCTCGACCAGTTAGTGGTGGCGGAAGGGCCAATGATGCCCGCTAGGGGATACCTTTCGGGAGAACACTCAATATTTTCAAGTAAGTTTGTATGGACTCTAGACCTGAGTGTCTCCGTACCGAGAGACCTTAGTCAGGGGGTAACAGCAATGCAGTCATAGCAAAGATAAGCTAGCATTTCTCTTACCCTGTAAATCTTACAGGGTTCCTTATCGAAGGGCCAAATGGAACACTGGGCCCAAGCAGCTACACTTTCTGAGCAGTAGGGCTATTTACGCATACGGCTTTACGTACATATAGCCGTACTGCGCAGCCGAATACGCAATATGTGACTAGGTAGTACAGCATCTAACCCAAGACGCAGCATAGAAAATAAAAAGAATCTCCAGATTATACAATTAACGCTTCACAGAGTGGTGACTCAAAGTAGCTCGTTAGTAGAAAAATGCCGACGTGCCGCTTGCTTGTTCCGCTGCTTTTGCTAAGGTGCCCTCCAAAATAAAAAGCCTACGAAGGCTGCTCCTTGGCCAAGGTGTTCCCTTCTTAATGCAGGCGAGCGACATAAGCTTCTTGCAGTATTAAGCATATGCCTCTCTCCTTTCGATGAATTACGGGGTAGAGGAGCTCGTGTTGCTGCATGGTTGTCGGTCGTCGGCCATCTGCCGATGGCAAGGTACCCGATATTGTCGCTAATATGTGCAAACCGCAGCAAGTGTGCCCTCCGCTTGAGACTAAAAGCCTATTTGCTGTGCCCACTGGAGCCGACAACGTCTCCCTGTACTTACGCTTCGCGGTTGGTTCTCCTTTTGTGTGGCTCTCGCCTGTCTATCTCGCTCTCTAGCTAAAAGGAAATAAGCGCCAAAGAAGAGCTAGACGGCCAGGGTACGGAGTTAAAATGAAAATTCCAGTCACTGTACATATAAGTAAGGGGATAGACAAATGGATCAGGCGTAAAGTAGCAGCAGAGACTATCCAAACCTCAGGAGGGCTTCATGGCCGCGTGCGACTGCTGTGGCTCTCTTCGGCGAGGCAAGCGGCTATGGAGACTCTGCTACTAGTCCGTTGTTCGTGTCTATTACGAGGTTTTCGGGGTTTTTTTGGAAAACGCAGTTGCTGCTTGCAATAAATAGTGTAGTTCCTTTCAGGATCTCGTCTGCTCGTTGCTGCGGCGGCTCTCTTCTGCGTCCGTGTTGGACCGAGAGCAGCGTCTCACTTTGCGTGACTGCGCCCCTCAGCCTTTGTTTCTCTGCCTTTTAATTTCAACAGCAACAGAGAAATGCCTCTTTGGGGCACTCTTTTGGCAAATCTAGAGTCCCCTTCCAGCAGGCATCTTCGCCCTCTCACCCAGCAGCAGCAACGCCAGCAGGAGCAGCAGCAACTGTCACAGCGCCCCCTGCAGCCAAAGGCTGCGTAATTCGGAGTAAAGGCTTCTAGAGTCCGAGTATTTACGCCTAGTCGCGTCAGCAATATCCTCCCTTTCTCGTGGCGCCTCCCGCCAGCGCTTGCATTTGTGCAAGATTTCCCAAAGCCCCGCCTGTGCCGTTTTCGAGCGAAACAGGCAGCCAAAATGACGTACAAGTTCGTCATAAATTCGGAGGGCATCTTGCACCGCATGCCGCCGGATGGAATAACAACGTACCCCTCCCAGTCTGTCCTCATTTTGGACAAGATGTTCCCCATACTCAAGCCTCTGTACTTCGATTTGTAAGTTGCAAGCCAGAGCTTTCCCTCGACTTGAAGGGCGTCACCGCCTCTCCTTGCTCCCCGCTGCTTCCTTGGCAGATTGCCTTCCAATCGAGCTGCATGCCTTTGAGTAGAATGCTCGACGCACCGCATTGGGCTCCACAGCTCTTGTCGCCGTCAGAACGCTGTCTCTGTTCATAAGCAAGCTGTTGGCTACCACTTATTTTGAACCCTTGTGGTGTGCTCTCTCCTCATGAATGTTCAGCAGCAGCTGCTGAATGTTCCCCAGCACCTGCGTTCCTCTGTGTCGCTCCCGTGTTGTGTCGCGACACTCTGTGGTGTTTAGGGAGGGGTATCCCGATGCTATCCCGCTGTCTCCCCCCCAATCTCCATTTTTTTCCCCGCGGCTGTCTCATCCTACCCTAGAGGCCTCTTACTCATGACGCTTCAACGAAAGACGCCTTGCAGTGCCGCCGTCTATCTCCCCACGAGAGGCTGCCGTCCAGATCTCGCATGGCAGTTTGCACGCGCTTCCTTCCAGCCTGAGAATGCCTTCTCTGCATGTGCGCTGTGTGTCTGTGTGGGTGTATGTATATGCCCTTCAGCGAACGTCGATTCAGTGCAGCGTCAGCCTTGAGTTGGAATACAGAGAACTACTATGCAGCCCCCTTGGCGGCAACTCTCTATCTTCTTTTTTGTTATTTTGGAAAAAAGTGGATGCAGGATAGGCCAGCTTACGACCTCCGGACACCCCTCAAGTACTGGAACCTCGTTTTGGCTATCTTCAGCTTCATTGGCATGGTCGGTGAAGTTATCTCCCTCCCTCACAAGCATGCATGCATGCTTGCCCCTTAAATTCTGCACATGGGCGGTGTTAGCCTCTCTCTCCCGTGTGCTTCAATCGCGAGGTCGGGGTGTAGTCCACACACAGGTGGTTCACTTTTGCGCATGCCCACTGGATGTGGCAAGGAATTTGCATGCCAGATTCTTAGCCGTAAAATTCGAGCATGCGTACGTCCCTCATCAGATGCGCTTCACGGTGATGAAGGCGCTATGTGCACCGATACGCATGTATTTCAAGGGTGAAGAATCTGCCCATGGGGGCTGATGCGCGTTAGAGTTCAAGTTTTCGTGGCGGGCATGTGTTTCACATGTGTTTTATTATTGCATTCTAGGGGTTCCTGCAGAGTGCAACTTTTCTAATACATGAATAGAAAGCCGTTCCGGCTCTCCCGTGCAGCAAATGCTCCTTCCTTCCTTCCCTTTTCTTTCCAGTATCGCATTCGAGCACGTTGTGTGGAGTGTCGTACTGTGCTCCAACTGTGCATCGTCGTTGCAACATTTCTGTAGTTGCCATGCAGCCACGTGCCATGTCTCATGCATGCATGCACGCCACATGGCGTGTGGCTGCTTGGCGGCATGGGCTCGTGTGGGTGTACGCCAGTGTTGGGGTGTCTGAACTGTTCAACAGCAGTCTAGAAGTAACAGAGATCTTCATGTAGCTAACTGCCTGCCCGCCTGCCTGCCCGCCTGCCTGCCCGCCTGTTCATACTCTGGCCCTGCTTGACGTGTTCAAAGTCGTTTTCCCCGATGTTTGTGCTGATTCTTGTTTTCACAGATCCGCATAGTTCCCCAACTGGCGATTTTGATATGGAATTGGGGATTTGAATCATCGGTTGCGGGGCCCCCGGTGTATGCATACGGCCACGGAGCTGCAGGTCTATGGACTCTGCTATTTATCTACTCCAAGTTTTTCGAGCTTCTGGATACGGTCTTTATTATTCTGAGAAAGCGTCCCTTGTCTTTCTTGCACTGGTACCACCACGCGACGGTGCTCCTGTACACTTGGGATGCGTACACCTGGGAGCAGCCGGCGGGGATCTACTTCGTCGCCATGAATTACAGCGTCCACGCAGTCATGTACTTTTACTATTTCCTCGCTGCTCAGCTGCAGAGGCCGCTTTCCTGGGGCATCTTTGTAACAATCGCGCAGATTTCCCAGATGTTTGTGGGGGTGGGGGTGACCGTTGTTTCCATGTACTACGCCTTCACGTACCCGTACAAAGCCATGTGGAGGGCTGATCAGCTGGCGGATTCTCTGGCGCACGGCCAGTACATCACGGTAAAAAACCTGTACTGGGCCTGCCTCATGTATTCCACGTACTTCTACCTCTTCGCTGAATATTTCGTCAAGCGATACGTAAGGGGCCGAGAGCAGCGCGCTCAGAAGAAACTGACTGACAAGAAGCTCGAATGATGCAACCTGCCCTGAAGTAAACACCCGCCGCGGTGCTCTCGAAGCATGCCACGCTTCCCAGCGCTCTCTCGCGCCGCACTCATGGCCCCTCTCCCGCCACTACTGGATCCTGGCAGCAAAGTCGCAAGAGCCAGCCGTCTCTGCTCGGGCCGAGCAGATGTCTCCACGCTTCTTTCTCCCTCTTCTTTCCTCCTGTCTCCTGATCTCTGCCGGGGATCCCGTCGAAAAGCCGCTTTCCTGGGATGTCATCCACTGCATCTGTAGGGGCCCCCGTCATCAGGGGCCCCCCCTTGCTCTTCGTCGTCACTCGTGGCATTCGGCAGAACCGCAATTCCGAGGAGTTTTGGTGGCAGGATCGCCTCTCCAGGGTGTCTGGGGAGGCCTGCCTGCACGCGACCCCCCTTCTTGTGCATGCGCCTTCTTGGAGACGCTCAGGAAGGCACAAGGGGGGCCCCTTATGTACCAGTTACCCGACAAACAAACACCCCGCGTCAGCAGCAGCCGATAGCCGAAAACGGCACGCAACTTCTTATGTTGGGGGCCTCCACCGGCGCGTGGACTGATCGCAGGTGGGGCCTAGGGGGCCCCCATGAGGCTGGGCAGGAGGAGCCGCAACAACATTTGCAGCAACTGTTGCAGCAACTGTTGCCCTTGTGCTTGTGGGGTTCCCCGCTTTCGTGTGTGCACTTCGATGCCTCCAATGTGCGCCCAAGCTGTCGTTGACTTCGAAGGGGGATGCCTCCTCAGTTAGGGAAGAGCTTCTTTGTAGCTCCTGCCTATGTTAGGGTGGGGGCCCCTAGGGACAGACGCCAGCAGCTGCTGCACTCGAAAACCCCCGTTTGCCTTAGTCACTAGACAAGAAGGCTCACAGCTCATAAACAATTGTAAACACCGCCAGAGGGCGTGTGTGTATATATGCGCACTTGTTAGCGAAATTTCGCTCTCCAGGGGTGGGTCGATCATGGGGGCAGCTAGCGCATGCGTAGTCTCTAGAGCGCGTCTGAGCCTTTCAAAAAGCTCTCGTCCTCCGGGGATAAAGACTCCCATGCGGGCACGTGTAAAGTAACTTGTACGACTTAGTTGCCGCAGCGAGGCTCTCGCATCTACTGAGAGGCTGCTGACGCAGTGCGCATGTCCATGTCTAAGCTCGTGCAGAGAGACATGGCGCTCCTCGCTGTTGCTTGCTGCCCTGCGCATGTGTTGCATGAGTTTTTCGCCTCTCGATTCTGAAGCGGCAGGCCCCTGTGGAGTGCATTCAAATTTCGGTTGGGGAGACGGATTAGGGGGCCTGCGAGGCAGCGGCGTGGGGGTAGTCTGTGGGAATGAAGTAGGATTTTTTTCTACACTGACTGAGCGGTATGCGTGGAATAGCCGGGAAGAGGCGCTGCGGCTCTCGAAGTTGGGCAGCTTAGCTCGAGATCGTGAAGGGATTTCGCAAAGAAGGCTTGGGTGACCCCGTGCAGGCTTGCGTTCGCGGGTGTCAGCTTTCGTTCGAGACTTGTGTAAAGTGGCTGTCCGATTGCAGTGGCTACGTCTATATGTGCTTCCTAGCCTCGCTGAAGGCTTTCCACGTTTTTAAGGACACACAGAGGGGGAGGGCACACGCGAGGAGGTAAGGCGAGTGCAAGAGAGCAAAAGGGAGGACCGAGAGGGTGTAACGAGGGCGAGCGGGGGGCGAATCGAGGTGTTAGGCCGATACAACGTGGAGCGCTGCGCAAAGGGGTCTGTCTACTGGTGTGCGGCGAGCGAGCCGGGAAGGGGAGGAGTTGGCACGACATCTGCGTTTCTCTCTTCTTGATAGACAATTAGCCTCGCTCATCGATAAGGCTCTTATCCTCCCCAGCGCGCCCTCGGACTGAAGGCAAGGATGTGCGCGTACATGCATATGTGTATGTTTTTCTACCTCGTTCTTGCAGTCCCCACGCGGAGGAGGCGACAGCGTGCACCTCTTCCCTCCGTGTGGCCGCTTGCAGTCGTCTTGTCCGCCGGCAAGTCAGGGTGTACGTACACCCCAATTCTTGAAGATTTTGTTTGCACCGCACCACACGCTTTCGCGGACGCATCCATTGCAGATTGCCGCGGCGCATCTCGGGACTGCGGCGCCTCGGAAAGAAAGCGATGCCGACAGCTGGGGGCCCCTTGAAACAAAGGCAAGAAGAAACTCACGAAACGTGCATTCTGCCGCAGTTTTTTGTTTTTTCCGACGTAAATACGCGCCGAGAGGATAGCGACTCCCCAAGCAGCCATCCAGAGCGCGACGGATCGCCGCTGCAGGAGTCTCGTCCAACCGATCGTTGGGGGGCCCCTTCCAGGGGCCCCCCAACGACGCATCCATCCCGAAGTGCTTTCCTCCGCCAAACCACCCTGCATGCAGAGGCAGGGGAGGCTCACTTGGGTGCATCAGGGGCCGATGTTTCAGTGCCTGTGCTCTCCTGGGGGCACTCGAAGGCGTCGCCTGCCGTTTCGGTTGTCTTCGCCGAAGTCTGCGTCTCGTCTTCGGGAGTCTCGTTCGCACGAGACCACCCAAATCGGCTCTGGCTGGCTGCCCTTTTGAGCGCTCTAGGCGCGCGGTCTAAAGCGTCAGATCCGCGTGAAAAGTCGCCCTCGGCAGACGGCTGCTCGCCACGCAGGCATCTTGTGAGAGGCGTCTCCGCGCCTCGCCATCGTGGCTGGAAGGCGGAGCAGCGACGCGTCTCAGGCAGCGAGTAGGGGCCTTAGTTCGCCAGGGGGAACCCCCCCCAAGAAACACCCCCACTCAGCACCTCGCTCAGCACTGCTGGCAGCGTCGCGAACTGTGCCTTGGAGGAGTTGTGAGTCTGTGTGACGCAGAGGAAGCCTCGAGCCAAGACGAGGGGGGAAAAGGAAGGGATTCTCCAGATGGCTGCTCTCCAGCAAGGGGGGGGGCCCCCTCGTGCGCGACCTTCTGCCCCAGGGGGCCCCCCTAAGTCTCCTGGCGTGCAGGAGGCGCAGAGACTTCCCGCAAAAAAGAACGCGGGAGAGTCTTTTGCGGAGAGCAACTCCCCCTCCGTCGCAGGAGCTTCTCTAGGGGATCTCTCCGCAGGAGAAGGCATTTCCAGCAGCTGCTGCCGCTATCTTCGGGTGTCTTTGAGTCGCATTCTGAAGATAATTCCAGCAGGTCGTAAGGGGCGAGCCTTGAGGGAGGCAGTGCTGGCGGCGGATGTGCGTCTCGCCGAGCTTCTCGCGCAGCAGCAGCACCAGCAACAAGCGCAACGAGAGCACCAACATGCAGCCGCTGCAGAGAGCGCTGCAACAGACGGCGGAAGTGTGCCTCTTACCCCCTCGAAGCAAGGCAAAGAAGGATGCAGGAAGGAGGCGTCTCTCAGTGAGGCTCCTAGAGAGGCGTCGTCTTCTTCGGCAACGCCCAGTAGCACTGCGTGCGTGAGAGATCTGCTCGTCGCGGCGCTCACGCAGTGTCTAGACTTCGACATGCCCAAGCTGCATCTCTTAGCTCTCGATGCTTCCAATCTCCTGCTCTCTGTAGGGGCCCTCCGATCGCTGATGGGGGGCCCCCCCCGTCTCACCGTGAGCGTTGAAGGAACCTCAAGGCTCAACAGCTCGATTGCTGCTCCTCCCGTGCAGCTTTCTACGGGGGGGGAGGCAGTTGCCGAGGCTGCAACTGCCCCCGCACCAGAAACGCAGCAGCAACGCGAGGCTCTCGCCGTCAGCGAAGACTCTGCGGGAGCGGGAGCAGGAGCTGCAGACAGACAGACCCCTCCAAAGATGGCTTCTGCAGAGACAGGCAGAGCGCAGGAAGCCACGAAAAATGCCACCTCTGTGGAGTCGCTCACAGAACGAATATGTTCGCTAGCTACGGCAGCCGATGAGGCAGTAGTTTTGCAAGTTGTGCGGTGTCTGTTGACTGCACTCACTGCGGCGAGACTCCCCCTGCATGGAGGGACCCTCCTGGAAGCTTTTGCTACCCTTTTCTCCGTATGCGTATCCTCGTCTGCCGAGGAAAACAGACGGACTGCTCACGCAGCGTTGCTGCAAGCGATTTCTGGCCTTGTTCTCCGAGCAGAAGCAGCAGCAGAAGCAGAAGCAGAAACAGGAGCAGAAACAGGAGCAGAAACAGGAGCAGAAACAGGAGCAGAAACAGCAGCAGCAGAAACAGCAGAAACAGAAGCAAAAACAGGAGCAGAAACAGCAGAAACAGAAGCAGAAACAGGAGCAGAAGCAGCAACTGCAGTATCACCAGTGTCTACTGGGGCAGAAGCAGCAGCAGAAGCAGCAGCAGAAGCAGCACCAACGTCAACTACTGCAGTATCACCAGTGCCTACTGAGGCAGCAGCAGATTCTGTGCAAGATGCAGCAGTCGAACTGCCAGCGTCGCTCGCTATGGCCTCTAGTACACCTTGTTTTGAGAAGCGTGAGAGCGGCTGCGAAGAGGCTGCAGCAGGTGATGAAATTAGGGAATTCGCTTCTGCAGAAGCGGCTACAGGAATTAGGAATGCATGCGCAGATGCACAGACGCCATTAACAGAGTCTGCGGGAGCAACAGCAGAAGACTTGGCAGCAACATCACCATCACCATCATCACCATCGTCATCACCATCATCATCATCATCATCGTCATCACCATCATCATCATCGTCATCGTCATCATCATCATCATCATCATCGTCATCATCATCATCATCGTCATCATCATCATCATCATCGTCATCATCATCGTCATCGTCATCGTCATCGTCATCGTCATCGTCATCAGCCTCAGCTGCACCAGCTATGGCAGACACCTCAGGAGGAGTGGCAGCAGCAGCAGCAGCAGCAGCCCACTGTGCAGACAGCTGTTCGTCGAGCTTGACACCATGCGCAAGCTCCCAGCCGTGCAGCCATAGAAGCAGCCGCAGTAGGAGAAACAGCAGCAGCGCATGCACCAGCAGCTCCTCGACCCCAGTGGTGTGTCGTGAGATGCGCGACTTGCTCGTAACTTTGCAAGCATTCTGCCGCATTGTTGATGGGCAAGGCTCGCTTTGCAGTCGTCTAGGAGACACCGAAGGAGCTTTATTGGGGGGTTTGGAGGGATCCTCTGCGAGAAAAAGCAGGCGTCTTGCCTTGGAAATGATCCATGCTGTTGCTCAGGCAAGCTGTTTTCATGGGGGATTATTGGACGTTGTTAGGCTGCTGCTGCTCTGCCTGCCTGCCACGGAGCTGGCTTGTGCGCTGTATCCAGCTGCTCTGCAAGTATTGCTCACACCGTTGCTTTTGATGCTTTTGGGAGTAGCAGCGTGACACTTGACGCACGGAGCGTGCAGCATGCAGCACACGCACCTCTTTTATTTTGACTGCCCTGCGCGATCACAGCGACTTGCTGCATTCAGAGAGGCTGCTGATGATAGCATCTACTCGCTATTTTCTCTTTGGGGGTGCTACTTGTGCTGCTGCTGATGCTACTGATGCTGATGCTAGTGATGCTGATGCTAGTGATGCTGATGCCATCTACTGCTACTTCTGCTACTGCTACTGATGTCATCTACTGCTACTTTTGCTACTGCTACTGATGCCATCTACTGCTACTTCTGCTACTGCTACTGCTACTTCTGCTACTGCTACTGATGCCATCTACTGCTACTTTTGCTACTGCTACTGATGCCATCTACTGCTGCTACTTTTGCTACTGCTACTGATGCCATCTACTGCTACTTCTGCTACTGCTACTGCTACTTCTGCTACTGCTCCTGATGCCATCTACTGCTACTTCTGCTACTGCTACTGATGCCATCTACTGCTGCTTTTGCTGCTGCTGCTAATGCCATCTATGCTGCTGCTCTCCTCTCTGTTAAACTGCAGAGTATGTCGAAGCGTCTATGGAGGAGTTCTCCGCTCGTTTTGCTCGTTCGCCAGCAAATGTTTCCAGCGTTGAGCCGCTGTATCAGCAATCCTGCTATGTGTCGTATTGCTCTGCAGACGGTTTGTTGCGCAGCAGAGGCAGCAGAAGTAAGTTCACACCCTCATCTGCCCCCTGCTGCTCCTACCTGGCAGCGATTACTTCACAGCGCTAAGCGACGTGCTCTTTCGCACTGCCTGCTGCTGCTCCTACTGCTGCTGCTGCATGCGTCGAACGGTTCTGAGGCTGCGTCTGCACTGCAGAGAAGCCTCCTCATGTGGACGGGAGGCTTTCACGCCGCAACTGCTCACGCCTCTTAGCTGCACAGCGCTTGCCTCCTTCTTCTGCTTTCTTTCTTTCTTTCTCCTTCCCTCCCTCCCTATCTCTCTCCTTCTTCTTCTGCTTGCTTTCTTTCTTTCGCCTTCCTTCCCTCCCTATCTCTCTCCCTATCTCTCTCCTTCTTCTTCTGCTTTCTTTCTTTCTCCTTCCTTCCCTGCCTATCTCTCTCCCTATCTCTCTCCCTCTTCTTCTGCTTTCTTTCTTTCTTTCTTTCTCCTTCCCTCCCTCTCTCTTCTCCTCCTTCTGCTTTCTTTCTTTCTTTCTTTCTCCTTCCCTCCCTATCTCTCTCCCTCCCTCTCTCCTTCCTCTTCTGCTTTCTTTCTTTCTTTCTCCTTCCTTCCCTGCCTATCTCTCTCCCTGCCTCTCTCTTCTCCTTCTTCTGCTTTCTTTCGCCTTCCTTCCCTCCCTATCTCTCTCCCTATCTCTCTCCTTCTTCTGACAGTCTCTGGAGGGATGTATGTGACTGTGCATGTCTTCTGTGTAGGGTGCACTGGCACACGAGGTGTGCCTCTTCGTAGGCGACTTTGCCTTTCCCCTGCTTCTTTCGGCAGATCAGTTGCAGGCTGGGCATCAGCTGTGCTTGCTCGAGTTTTGCCATCGCTTCTTCCTCTTGAAGCCTCCGCTTTTCCTCGGCGTGTTCGCGGCGTTCGACCTGTGGATGTATGCTGAAGACATTCTGCTGCAGGCTATTCAAGCGCTGCAAGCGATCGCGTCAAGGGGTAGGCTGGCTTCCTGCTACTCGCGCCAAGTTGGTTTTCTTTTGCCGTGCTTTCTGCTTGCACTGGCTGGCTCGCCGTGTGTAGTCTGTCTCTTCCCTCCTCCTCCCGTCTTGCATGTTGTGCTGCGTTTGCGAATGCACGCTTTGCGCCAGGGAACGGGATTGTAGGGCAGCAGCAGCAGCAGCAAGAGCTGCGCATTGCTGCAGTGTCTGCCTTATGGTCTCTTACCACCACCTTAAAGACTTGGCATTCCCCTGCAGAACGGAGACGTTCGGGGGGAGAGACGTCAGAGGCGGCTGTCAACGAAGGCAGTGCCTCCTCAGATCCTAAGGAGTACGAAGAATTCGCGCTCGAGTCGTCTCTGACACCTGAGCACCCAACGGACCCACATCACGACGCGCATCAGCAGCAGTATCAGCAGATGGCGCCGCCGTCGAGATCTTTGGGGAGTGGAGGAAGTACAAGACTGAGTGCCTTGGAAGTGCAGCAGCGAAGAGAGCTGAAGCTTCAGCTGCGTGGTGCGGTTGCTTTGTTCAATAAGAAGCCAACAGAGGGCATTGCTAAGCTCCTCGCTCTGCAGGGGTTCTCCGTGAGTTGCTTTCGCCATCCAGCTTTTTTGCCTGCCAGACACTGTGGCAGATTTGCGTATCGCCTCTCCCTGAGCGCTCACGCTTCTGGCGAAGCAGCGATTTTTTCAGAGAGCAGCGTAAATGAGGGGGAGGGGTCTCTGAGAGGCGCTGGATTCCCTTTCCCTCCCACCTCGCTGCTGCTGCTTTCTTCAAAAAAGCGGCTGGAGAAGTCTGCTTGCTAAGTGCGCTGTGCTGTGCCGCGTTTCCACAGAATAGCCCCGAAGAAGCTGCGCGGTTGTTGTTGCAGCAGAGAGGTCTCCAGAAGACGGCAGTAGGGGAATTTTTAGGCGGAGAATCGGAGGCTTCTCGGGCGGTGCTTAGTGCCTTTGTTGAGCAGCTGAACTTTTCGGTGAGGCTGGGAGGCAGCGGGGAGGGAGAAAGAAGGCTGAGAGGCAGCGGGGAGGGAGAAAGAAGGCTGAGAGGCAGCGGGGAGGGAGAAAGAAGGCTTAGAGGCAGCAGGGAGGGAGAAAGAAGGCTGAGAGGCAGCGGGGAGGGAGAAAGAAGGCTGAGAGGCAGCGGGGAGGGAGAAAGAAGGCTTAGAGGCAGCAGGGAGGGAGAAAGAAGGCTTAGAGGCAGCAGGGAGGGAGAAAGAAGGCTGAGAGGCAGCGGGGAGGGAGAAAGAAGGCTGAGAGGCAGCGGGGAGGGAGGCATACGGCGGAGCGGCAGTAGTGAGGGTGATGCGATGTGTGAGGGGATGCGCAGACAGGCTGAGACGGGGC